ATTCTTTTAATTTCTATTTGCACACACCACCTTCATTTTTGTAGATGCTGATGGTGTTTGTTCTTTACATGAGATTGGTTTTATTAGCAGTCTTTATTTAAATATAATGCATGAATTTCTGAGGTTTAGAAACTGAGGTTTCTAAAATCTTTTGCATTTTGGTGTTATTTTTTTGCCTGACTTCTTTGTTTCTTTTCTAGGATGCTGTAGGACACATAGAAAGACATGCTGAAGATGACAGCAGGATTGACTCATGAAGCTTTTCACCTCCCACATTGGGAAGTAATTTTATGTCAGAATTATTCCAAATAACATCAGTTTCTTACTCCAGTCTTTTCTCTTTCTTTTCATACTTGGAATGCAAAAAGGGAGTGGGGCTGAAAAGCCTTGCTACAGAGACTGCAGGTTGTGTTGCACTCTGTAGAAATAAGGTTGGTCTATTAAGACTTGGCCCAAATGTAAGATTCTTGCAAGTTTTTAATTCACTGACAAATAAGAATGTTCCCCCCTCTTGTCTGCCTTGTTTTTTAAAGAAGCTTATTCTTGAGAGTTTTAGGGAAGTACAGAGGGGTGTTTAGAACTTAGATTACAATGGATGCTGGTGTTTGCACACTCAGCTTGAAGCCTGTTAACTGTCTAACTGACATATGACTGTTCTTATGTTGTATCCAGTTTTTTAGATGACTTTAATAAAAATCTGCAAGCCAGAACGTCACAAATTCTGACAGTGTAACCTGAGTATCTACTGTACATATTGGCTTTATTCAGAAAAATGAAAGGTATTTTATGGAGAACTGGAATCAGTTTTTTAATGTTAACTGTAATTTAGTTTTTAATCATTGTCTAAAAATTGCTATAATTGACACAATATATGCAGTGACAGACTGCCCTAAATATTACACTTCCTGAGGTATGTCGGTGGTAGAGGATTTTTTTTTGTGTTGTTTTGTTTGTTAAAGCAGTCCTTTAAAAGGTATGCCAGTAGCAGCAAAGCATCTCCACTCACATGCTTTCTGATCTTAATCTCATATAAGTCCTAATGTTCAGGAAAGGAGGAACCAGTATCAGCTTTTGTTTCTCAGTTAAATACCAGTATAACCACTACAACCTTGATACAACACCGGAGTTGGATTCTTTATTTTATTTGGAATTCCTGTGTCTGCATTGCATAGCAAACAAATAGAAATTCAGAGGCACTATGTGTCCAAATCATCTATTTCCACGGTATTTTATTTCTGTTGTGAACTGTCTTGATTTGCTTGGGCTATGCTTGGTTCACAAAAAGTCAACTGGAAAGAATGGAGCAGGATTTTAAGGGGTTTTAAAGTCTAAAGCTCTTCAAGCAGAAGCTGGGGATACAAAATGCATATTGCATGTAAAAATCTTGTTTCCAGAAATATACGTAATTTATACAGGGAAGCCAGTGCAGAGGAGAATGTTTCTACTTGTCCAGGTTCCTCTGCTGTTGTCTCTTGGAGATGCAAACTTGTTCTCATTGGCCTGTGAAGTTCAGTGAAATGGAATTCTTATATTTGTGATGCTCTCTTAAATAGTAAGTCAAATCTGGCAAGGACATTTTTGTTTGCTTTTGACTAATTTCCAGCTCAGGATAAAAAAACAGAGGTTTCCTTAAACTGTAACAAAAGGTAAAGAAATTCCAGTGTCAAAACCAAGCTGCTTAAAAACAAATTGAGTGCTTTTCAAACAAATTGCATGACTTTTTCACTGGGTATCTAATTTGAAACTTCATATGCCAGCCATAAACCAAATAAATTTTATAGCTAAATTCTTTGACTATAAGAAAGTCTTCTAAGGCTGAGACTGTGATTGAGGGAAGCCCATGGATGTTCAGCTCTGCCATCAAATGAAGGAATTTCAGGGCCTTCTCTGAAGCACACAATTTTTATTTTGTCTTAGCACATGAGCATCATTTCTCTGTATTTGCTTGACATATGGATGTTGTTTTTTTCTTGAGAGACAAGAACAAGTTACAGGAACAAGTTACAGTAGCATCCTACTTCAAACACATAGGAATCCTTGAGGTTCCAGTGCTCTTGTTTTTGAGTATTTTTTGTTGTATTTTTTTATTGTTATTATTTTAATTAAACTGTTTGTAGACAGGAGAAATAAAAACAATATGTGACTTAGACCCCAGGCAGTTTTGAGAGTTTTATGTGTTTTTTGGGGGGTAGATTTTTTTATTCTTTTATTATTATTATGTGGATGAAACAATTTGAAAGAATCAAGTTCAGGGAAATCTCTGAGCAGTGTAAATGTTTTCTGACTGCTCTGGAGTTTTCAGGAGTGTTTTCTATCTTTTTTCTTTTCATGGCCTAGAAGCAGAGGGCTGCATGAGATTTAAACCATTTCCAAAATCATTGATATTCAAGAGTTTTTGAACTACAGTAAGGGAGCATGTAAAGGTGTGGGGAAAAAACGATGCAAACTTTTCAAACTATTCTTCATAGGCTGTTATTGAAGTGACGGTGTGGAGCTGTGTGTTCTGAGGATAAGTGTGTGGAGTAGTTGTATGTAAAAATGGTGTGTGAGTAGATTTTCATAATTTGTGGTTCTTCTCATTCTGCCAGCTGATGACTGTTTTAAGGAACCTGCAAAGATCTTTCTCACTAGGTGTTGCAACAAACGCAGTTATTACACTTTATTTGCATTCCTGATTAGTTAATGGGTTTATGTTTTCTAGTTGGTGTAAAAGCAGAATTCCTCTTCTTGTAGACCATATTTCCTTCTTGGTCCTTGAAAACAGTCCTTCCCAAAAGCCTGGACTTCTGAAATCCAGCTTTAACAGTGGTGTCTTTTGGTACTTCTTAGGTTGTTTCAAGAGCATTATTAGAATTTTAAAATGGATGGGAGCCAGGAAAATAGCAGAGATGCACAAGTATTTATAAAAATTTTGCTTCATAAGTTTAAACACACACACACACACACATGTGTAATATTGCTCAGGGGTTCAGAGGAAAATACTGTGCTGCTTTGTCCTGAGGATATCCGAAAAGGATTTGCTATGAAGTTGTCATGTGGATATGAAGTTCCACAGACTTCTTTGAACTTCTTCAGGAAATGCAGCTTTCATTAATGGCCATTCATTTCCTCTACACATAGAGGAGAGAGATGGTAAACTCATGTATTAGATTGGTAGCCATTAATGAGATCCTCTCCAGTCTTGCAACTTAGGGTTCTGACTTCTGATATACCTCTGGTCAAAAAGTGAAATAACTTTGGGTAGGGAAAAACTTATAAAAATTTGACTGGGGATACTATTTGCCTGAAAAGCAGCACTGCACATCTGAAGCCTCTGCTCAGGACTGTTTTTGTTTAAAGTTTTGTTGTTGTTGTTGTTTTTTGTTTTTTGTATGCAACTAAAAAGCTGCGGGTGGAGAAGTGAGTAGAGTGAGGATTTATTTTATGGTTAGCTGTGTTTTATAAGTCAAATGTTAAACAATAAGCTCTGGACTTGCCACATGGCTGTCTGAAAATGGCGGCAGCTTTCAGGTACAAGCCGCCATTTTCTTTTGAGCAGTACTGACATTGAGCTTAGTCAGCTGTGAGCCTCCTTGGTGGATGGCAAGTGCTCAAAGCTATTGTACTTTTTTGTAATACAAAGAATGGGATAGGCATAACTGAGCACGGTTAGATATCATTCCCTTAAAAAGTGGGGAACTGGCTGCAGCGTATATATGTTAAGGCCTACTCAGGCTCAAAAAGGAGATTGTCAATAGCATAAAGTGACCACTTAAAAGTTCAAACGTGCCACAAAGCTTAACTTTACCCAACAATTTCATCAGAGTTTCAATCATAACAATGCTAAGACTAATTGTATTCCTTGCTCCTTTTCCCTTCAAGTCACAGGAGAAAAAAATAAAAAAAAAATCTAACTGACAATGCAACACTGTATGGGCGAATGCTGCTGCTGCTTTGTGTGGAAGGGGCCAGAGGGAAAACTGTTGCATCTGTTGAAACAAAAATGCATTCAATACCCCAGCTTCTGTTTGCCATGTGTAACTTATATGGATTGCAGTTCAGCTGTGCAATGTCTTTTGAAGTAGTGCAGGTTTTGACTGTTTAGTTGGAAAGTGTGCATTATGCTGAATCATGGTAAAACAATAACTGAAAGCTCGCAATAAGCTCTAGGTTTCCAGAAACAAAAACGTGGTGTTGAGAAGGTATTTTCCTCTTTTCTTAATGAAAACACAGGTACAGTGAGTCTTGGTTTTCAGGCTTGTATGGTACTATCATTCAAACATAATCTAAGTTGTCCAGAATTGCAGAATATTTTAGGAAGGATAAGGAAGCAGTCTCAGCTGCTGTTTGTAAAATATTTAATAGTGTAAGTAAGAGCAAACTGTGTAGGTATGTATTCTGTTATATGCACCTGCCAGCTTCTCAAACTTCATTGTGCTGCAAGTAAGTGTTAAACACAACAAGTGTTTTGGAAGAAAGAAAATGGGATAAAACAACATGACTGAATATTTAATAAATTAAGCTGTGTAGAACATTTGCACAGATTGACCTTGCTTTTCCTCTTTCATTTTGTTACAAAGCTGTGAGTGTAATAACAAAACTTTACACAGCAAAAAATGAAAAGAAAATAAAAATAAAAATTCTTTATATTGTTATGGTTTGTCAGCCTGATTCTTCTTCATTTTGAATATCATGATTCTTTCCTAGGGTTTGGTAGAACATGACATTCCCTTTGAGGGTGAGAAAAAATCAGACTGGCCACCTTGAAGCTGTATATTCCAGTGGCCAGGCTCCAGCACTGACAGGACTGTTGAAAATTTTCACTCCCAGTGCACAGGAATCTAAGACTCATAGTTCTGCAGGGAAAATGGAAACTGTCCACCCAGCTGGGATCTCTGAGGCGACACACTGACTCCCTTGCTTTGTGACTTGTTGCTAAAACATTCTCTAAAGCTGTTGGTTGTTCGCTCACCAGGACTTTAAGGACAAGGTCTGAGTTGCCAGTCAAAAATCCTGATATATTTTTTTTGACTGATGGATTTTCTTTTTTTATGAGGACCCCAACCAAGTGTATCTCTGCCATATTTTTGTGTGGAAAATAATGGCTTACTAGGGATACCATGTGGCTGGAACTTAGGGATCCTGGTCTTCCAGTCATTTTATAATCTTAATTTGGGTTAAAACAAAAGTTGAATTTAAAGGAGAATAACCCTTCCTTACATGAACTATAGGATTTTCTTACTCTTTTAGAGTATGTTACAGTGCAAGACAACATTAAGAACCTTTATAGTCAAAAGGTTTTCTGTTTCTTAGTGAACTGTCAGTTAAATGTGATACTTATTGGAGTAAGTATGCTAGGATTTGGTTTTGCAATTTTTCTTTACAATAGTAGCTTGTTTTGCATTGTTACTTTTCACTACTAAAGAACTAAGACTATTCATCTTTTGTTGCCTTAATTAAGCAGCTATTCTAATGATTCCTTAGATTGTATTTTTTAAGCCTCACATGAAGAAGGGGAAAAAAAAATAAGAGCTTTTAATTTGACTAGCTACTTTTCATATATGTTAACACTTAATTAGAAAATAGAATACACTATTTAAAATACAGACTTCACCAAAAATTTTGTGCATACATGCATGAGGCAAGGGCTTCCTCTCAGTAGAAGGTTCTCCTGACCAAGTCTGGTCTCTTCACACCCCTTTCTTGCGCATGTTTTTCTATCCTATTTTGTATTGATTAGTGATTGATCAGTTCTGAAAGCCTATCAAGCTTACCTGCTTTTTTTAATGCATTCAGATCATGAACTGACTGGCGTTTGAGATCTTAAACTGATTTCACGTTTGCAGTAAAACTACAGAAGCTGCTGTATATTCATGAGAATGATGGGAGAGTGCTCAGTATTCATCCCCCTTTGTTTCTTCAAAAAAGTGAACTCTAAAGGATGGGTCAAAACTCGGTTGATGTATTTTCAGTTCAGTTAAACTGTACTTACACATTCTAACCATCTTCCCCAAGTGGTCACACCAACGTTAAGTGTCTGATTCTGCTAAAACTCACATCTTACAATAAAGAAATACTGAATAATGCCAGGAAATACTTCTATACTTTGAGTGTGTTGTTGTTCATTGTTTTAGTGCATAACCTGTACTAAAAACCCGCTGCTTATTTGCTCTCTGCATTAGTCTGGTGTTATTTTAATTTATTGAGCCCCTGAAATTTACTGTTAGGTTGTAGTTAGTAATTCTTTAATCTTCCTCCTAATCATTGACTCCCTAGTTTGCGGTTAAACTGCAAGAGGGATAATGATCAACTAAGACAAGAGGTGGAAACACCTTTTAGAGGATCTGCAAATCACTGATAGGAAGACAGAACAGAGGAAGGTTTTATCAAGGAAAATTTAGGCTAGCCTTGACATACCCACTAATACAACAGCCACTAAATTATTTGCCTATACATTGAGAAGATAATACACTAATAAAAGGCAATACTATGTTCCTAAATGTAGAAGTAGTAGATGTGATTCTTTTACAATATTCAGAAAAATGGAGTTTTTACTTCATAACCAGTAAAACCTTTACTTCATAACCAGGGAAAGGACTCTGAGTTGGGATCCAGCTGGTTTTGAGATTAAAACAGAATGCAGAAACTGTTAGTCAACAACATAGAACCCTGAGGACAAAAAAGTGTGCGTGTATGGTTTTACATGTACATCTATATATAAATAATATATATATATATATATATATATGTGTGTATAAGAGATTTTCTTTCCTGAGCGGCTTTCTTGAAAGCAGAACACCACTTCCTCAGTTTTACAGAGAATGCAGTTATGATGAAAAAGTAAAACCATTCAATGCATAACAGATAGCATGGGGATACTAAAAATGTTTGAGACTGAATTGCTTTGTTCTGCCATTTTTACTGAGGCACTAGACCCAAGACATACCTAGATGGTGCAGCCTGTTGTGCCTGACTTCCACATTTTAGCACAGCAGAGAACCAACCTGCATGGCTACAATGACATACATTAACATTATTAGGATGCATAACATTAATGTAGTTAGCGCAATCTCATGTGAAATAGTCCACATTATGAAGAGGCTAAAATGAAAGTACCAAAATCAGAACAAAGAGTTGACTAATTCCAAGGTGGTAGTAAACATCTCTGACATTCACAGTTAGATACAGTCCCAGTTCTGCCTGACTCGCACTGACTTGAGGGAAGACTTTGTAATTGTCAGCGTAAGCAGACACGGAGCATGAACCATTACTCATTACCATGCAGAAACATCTTAACACAGTCATTAATAAATTAATCCTTGCTGCCCAAAGTAAAATGTCATAGAGATACTACAAAAGTAGTTACAGATTATGAACACTGGTCTACTGGAGTACAGCTGTCTCTTTTCCAAGGGATTCTTTCATGTACCATTCATCTCAGTGAGTGAAGCGCATATATAGTGTGCAATGCTCATTTGCACTTGGGGATGAATGGAGTTCATTACTTAAAAGAGAGGTCTTGAGCGTGTTCTTGATGAAGGTGGCAGAGGGCTCCGGTGTTAGGCGTACATGGTGAGCTGCAGCCACTGGAAGGAGAGTTAAAAGTAAAGGAATTAAAGATCAGGCAGGACTTAGTGGGGAGCTGGGGCAAAGAAGGGGAGATGAAGCGGGGAAGGCAATTCCCCGTGTGCCTTTTTCATGACTTGAAATGTGCTACATGTCAATGAGCAAGGAACACCTTTAGATGTACTAACTCGCCCTAGGTTCACTGCTTCTTCAAAGCTGTGGTCCTCTTCCTTACGCTCTTCTCACACTAACTTGTACGTACAAATAGTGTCCATACTCTTCTACATTGTATCTCTGTGCCCCTCCCTCCTCTAGACCTCAAATTTACTGTGTCTCTGGACAAGAGGATGTCTGTGTTACTATCAGGGCCGATTGCTGAATGGGAATTACAACTAAGTCTGTACATTCTGTGGGAAGGGGAGAGAGAAAGCAAAGGAGCAGCTGCCTAACTAACAGCTGTGCTCCTGCAGCAGCTGAACTTTGTGTAGTGAAGACTGTGATGTGAGTCATCTTGCAGCTCCTTGCTGTGTGTAGGCACATCCTGTGCTGAGGGACTGACAACATTTGAGACTTAAGCCCCTTTTCAGACACCCTGATAAGTGCAGCCCCTTGGGCAAGGCAATGTACAACTTGAACACGTGAGCCAGTGCTGGGACTAAATTTAAGATTGTGCCACTACTACTGAAATGCCATAAGCTCTGTAGCTGGAAGGCAGCTACTTGCTAACATTTAGTAGGAAGCATATTGGCAGTGGAGAATTTTGTCTAAGGCTTTTCTCCTATTCCTCTTTTGCTTGCAAAAAGTGATTTAAGTCCTCTGTATAAGATTTTAAAAAGGTAAGGAACTATGCTGACCCCCATTTATCAGCTAATGCCTCTAAAATAAAGTGTGTCTAATTTAAACTGCCTCATAAAAATCACTCAAAGTCGCTTTGAAACACTTTAAAATGATCTGAAAGTCCACAGCTGTGCCCTACAGCACCAGCTAGAGTCTTACACAGCAGCTACTACTGGCAGATCATGGGTACAGGTGTTTTCTGGGTAAAATCAATAGCAAAAATTTGAGGAGGCTTTGTGGACTCTTACTGACTTGGATGACAATTTCAGTCCAACTTGCATAGCCTCCCTTAAGGATCTGTACGGTGAATAATATAACTAAAATTTAGTATTGTGATACGTTAGAAATACTGGCATAAAGCAGTTTACCTCTAGCACATTGAGCTTAATGATTCCATCCCCGTCTTTATCAAAGGCGTGGAATGCCCCTAGAACAATGGAAGAAAAATATATAGAATAGATTAAATTATTGTGCAAAGTGTAAAGAAGATCCCACATAGCAAACTACATCGTATTCCTGCTGTGTTATACAAACTTCTGCAGATATTTACTTACTTGGTCAGCAAGAGTTTCTGCTATGCTTTTCCTTAGCTTATACAAGGAGAAATGTAATGGCTTGTTATCTTTTGCATGCAGGATGACTGTCATAGTTTTGATTCCCCAAGGACATATCTTAAATTATTAAAACTATTTGTAGGTAATAGTGGTTTAAATAAAGTTTGCTTTGAGTATGACTGCATTTTGAGGATGGAGGAGGGAACAACACAGTAAAATGGAGTCAGCCACTCACTGAACATAGCATCCAGTCGCACAAAGCAGCAGATGAAGCTGTCAAAATCGATGTTCATGTTCTTGTCAGCGTAGCGCATTGTAATGATGTCGTAGAGCTGGTTGTTCAGCCGAAATCCTGCAGAGGAGCAGAAATGGGGCACAGCTGGGCCACGGCTGAGGGGAAGCGCTGGTGCCAGTCAGTCCCAAATAAAAGGTTTGGCCATAAGTGCTTCTCAGGGCCAGGCTGGGCTCAAGCTAGAGGAGACTATTGCAGCCACAAAATAAAATAAGTAAAGCTACAAGGGGCTGCCCTGTGTTGAGCTGCCTTACGTAACATTTTGACATTACTATTTGAGAGTTCCGGTAGCATATACATTATCTCATGCTGTAAATAGAAAGAGGAGAAGTGTACACTGAAGGGTTTACAACTTAAGTTAGCCTGGTGAGAGTGAAGCAACAAAAACTGGGGGACGGAAATGTAAGAGGAAGTTGCTATGGAAATACAATTGCACAATGGTCAAAAAATAGATACGGTTGTAACTCCTCATCTTGGTATTACTGAATTGTGGCACTGACTGCTGCAATTTGCAGCCTGGCTACTTAAAGGATATTTCATGATTTGAGTACTGTTGGTTGATAGCTAAATACAAGATCATGTGTAGTTTATACGCTGCAAGGCTGAGACAAATTTTATAGTGAAATGTGTGCTTAGTTCTAAAGTCAGGAGGTATTCATATATATATTTATTTTAGTTATATTTTATATAAGTATAAAATTACTTATATTATACATGTATATATACATTACATTAATAAGTTTCCTGGTGAGAACAGAAACCTGGAAAATAAAAATGACCCATGTTTCTACTGTAGCAAGAGTTCAAATCCAGATGTAGTTTTGTCCTTGGCAAAGAACTGAATCACTGATGTTTTATAAAGTACATACAGCCATCAATTTCTGTTCCTTGAAGAACTGGTAACTGATGTATCAAGATACCAGTGAAGAAGTGTAACTGAAATCATCCCATTTATATTTATAATGATCATCCCATTTATGTTTATAATGAAACTCCATATTTTTCTGAATAAAGAAGTCATCTCACCCCTTTAGAGAAAAAGCTGTTGATAAAGATATTTATTTGCTGGGGGAAGCCTGCTGCTCAGAGAAAAAAAGCGTGTCAGTGTGAGACAAGAAGCAAAAAATGTTGGAAATCTCTCTGCAGGATGAGTTTCATTAGCTGCAACTTCTACAAAAATACTTTTGTGCTGCACATGTATGAGAGGAGACTGAGTCCATGTGCTTAGTTGCAAAGAAACATGAACTGAAATCAAGAAATGTCCATCCAAATGCGTCTAAGACAAGCTTGGACATCGACCTGCTCAGTCTCAGTTTTCTGTACAATTGGGATGAAAATTTTCCACTGTTCTTTGATTGTTACTTACACAAAAATAAAGAATCCACAGCTTAAGTGAGAGCATGTGTGTAGCTTAGGTGGCAGACTGAGTCATCACAGGTGCATCTGTCAACAGCTGGATGTAGCTGGGCTCCCTGTTGCTCCTTTTGTGTGCTGCTTGGGCAGTTGCACAAACATTGTGCTGTGTAATCAAGCACTCAATAAAAGGGTAAAACAGCGCAAGTGTGAATGCTAATTTGGTGCTTGACATTTGATGATTTGTGAGACTGAGATAGTCGTGTATTTTTCACTGAAATGTGAAGCTGGTGAGATGTACAACACTTGCAATTCGGATATTTTGAGAACCTCTGCTGGGGAAAAAAAGGGATTTTTAAAATTTCTCTAGGGTCCTCTTTAAAAGGCTGCACTGTGTTCCTGTTTTCAGCCTGTGATACAACAACCAAAATAAGGTTTCTTTGACTGTTGAGCAGTGTACACTGGGAGAAGTACCTGCATCCTTGACTGCATTGCGCATCTCATAGCTGTTAATGGTTCCCGAATGATCTGTGTCATAACGCTTGAAAATTTTCTGGAAAAAGAAAAAAATAAATACACAGCAAAAATAAAAAACTTGTTTGTTGTTGTTGTTGTTGTTGTTTTGTTGTTTTTGTTTGTTTGTTTGTTTTGTTTTGTTGAACATACCCACTGATGTGGGTGCTACCCTCACGCACTTGAAGGTTTTGCCATTTGCCTCATGTTTTTACAGCTGCTGCTGCTAAGCAGTCCTCTAATTACCAACATATAAATTTGTGTCCTGAGAAACAAAATGCTCTCCTCTAGAGACCCTCCTTGCTTGAGTTTATGCTGTTAACCCTCTCTCTTGATTGCCCTAATTAAGTTATTTGCAATGCCTGATTCTATTTCCTATCGTCCTCCTCCACCTTGTGTCTCTCTGCTACACTCTTGGGCTGAAATCTTTATAGGAAAGCTGGAGCCTCAGAAGTTTTCTTAGGCTGAGAGTAAGATTAAGAAAGACATTAATTTTCTCCTTAAAAGCTAATTTTCATTTTTTTGAGCATTTTTTTTCATTGGTGTGGTGGTGGTGTATGTGGAGGAATCTGGTTTTCCTACACAAGCTTTTATACTACAGAAGTTCTGAAGAACATTGCTGTGAATACCAGCAATACCTGCCAGCTTTTAATCTTGTCCCAGAGATGTCGAAATTCATCAAAGTTTATCTTCCCTGAGCCATCTGTCTGTGATGCAAGCATTCAGGTAACAACAACAAAAAACAACAGCATTTTAAAGGGAAAATGAACTAAATCTGCAGCTCGTGGTGAGAGGGGATGAATGTGAAACCTAGTTCAGAATTTCCTCAGCATTGAGAGCTGATTGGACAGAGCAGCAAAGTATTTGTGAACACTTCAGTTATCATGAATTGCATGTTGTTTCAGCATTGTGAGGCAGTATTTCCTTGAGTAGAAGCAAACCTCCAAAACAGGAAAGAGGCTTGTTCCTGGAGCTGTTATAAAGTACCTAAGAGCAAGATGTTTTATGGGGCTCTTTCAAATGCCTATACTGGTAAAGTTTTTTCAGTATTTTTTTATGGTATCTGAGCTTTATCCTAGAGTGAAGCCTTTCTGCCTTGCTAGAACAAATTGAAGATCAAGCAAAATGTTGAATTTGCCAAAATGTGTTTAGCCTCCAACTAATATGGCTCTAGGTTGTATTTATAATTTGGTCTGATTTGGTTTGGATGTGCTTAAGTTCTCTCAAAACCCTACATTATGTCAAATAGGAAAACTGAGTGATGTGTTGGAGGTAACCCTATGTGGCATCTTGTAATGTGCTTTATTGTACTTACTCTGAGACACTTTCCATATGCTTTGCATACTAAGTATACAGTGCAATATGTAATGCGTTTAAAAACTTAAAGGTAAGAGAGAAATACACTAAGCCTGTTGGCAAGAACAGCAGTTATGTTGAGATGGGTTAAAGGAAAGTTGTTATACTGAATTACTTATTCAGTAGTTCTGTATTTTGGGATAGTTTTGTAACTCTAGTGTTAAGAAGACTGCAGTTAAGATGTGCCACGCTGGGAATGCTGTGTTATCTGAACCTGGACTATGATGTACTGTTCTGTTTTCCAGTTTACTAAGTTGCATTTGATTCAAAAACAATCTGTTGCATGTGGTGGGGGAAAGTAAAACTCAGATGGACTAGTGTGGTATCAAGCAATCCTCTATCACTGGCAAAGGATACATCCATTAAAGCAATCATGCTGCGGCAGGATTCCAGTTCAAATCCTTCTGTCTTTAGGTCCTTATCTGAAATAAATAATCCCAGATAAAAACAAATCGTGCAAGTCAGCAAGTCCTTCTTCCTCTTAGGTGGGACTCTAAGTGGAAACCAAATCTGCTTGCTTCATTCAGCAAGAAATGAGTGAGAAAGAAATCTGAAAAGGCCCTGAGTAACATTACAGTTTGTGAATGACAGATGAAGTTTAATAATCAGGGAAGAAGGTCTACCTCTCCACTAGAAATCTTTTTTTTTTTAAGGCCATCTGCAGACTGCTAGAAATGCTATATTATCCTGTGTGGTGCTTCCAATAAACTTTTGTTCATTACTGCATTATCAGTATTTGATCAGTCATAGATAGCATCTGTATTAAGATGTTGCTAAGTCTCAGATGCAGATTACATTTAAGTGAAACTAGGAAACTTGTGAAATTGAAACCATAAAGAATTTTGAGAGTGCAACTCAGAGGTGGAGGGGTACATAATATCACAGATTTCTTTATCTAGGGTTACTGAAAAACATGTTAAAAACTCACGTTTTTTTACGACATTATTTAGAACGTTCCTGAGTTCTTCAGCATTGATCTCCATGTCCTGGTAGAAAATGGGGGAAGAATACCATTAATTGCAACATTTCTTATTACAAAAATCACTTTATGGATGGATATGCTAAAAGTATGAAGTCTCTGGTCACTTTTAGGTGTTGTGTATGCTTCAAAATAGAGAGCATTCCAGGTTTGTATAAGCAGCAGTCCAAATCTTTGAGGCTGCAGCTATATTTTCAGTACAAAGCAGGTCTGAAGTTACTGTGCAGTGTTTTTTAAACTACAACTAGAAGAACAACCAGTAACTTCAAGCCACTGTGAGCCAAGCAGCAAAATATGCTCTTGATTTATGTAGCTTTTTGATCTGTTTTGACTTTCTTAGCTAAGTGTATACTGGACAGCATTGTATTTATAACTTCACATGCTATGCAAAATTGCTGGAAAAATCCTGAAGAACCTCATGCAGTAGTGATAGAAATAAAAGCCTGAAATTAAATAAGGCTCCCTTGTACACAATTAGAATAATAAGTTAGATGTACATATGAAGATAGCTGTATGCTTAATTCAATTTTGGTTTGCTTTTGCTTAGCTTTAGATCTCAAAAGAAATGTAGATACATTTTAAAATGTCTTGAATCTGTGAAGTTTTAGTTTCTGTTGTGGCTAGGCTTCTCTGAAGGCAGAGGTAGGAATTGGTAGCATACTCACATCTCCTGCAATCTGTTGGAAAATATTCCTGAATTGTTTTTCCTCTTCATTCTCTTCACGAGCTTTTGCTGAATGACGCTGACAAGATAAAAGCAACGAAGATATACCACCTTAGCCCAGCAGGAAAATGAAGGGATCTAGGAGCTGGATGTCTCACTCCCCCTCATGCGAACAAGCCTCTAAGTGATGCTGGAACTGCTCAGAGGAACAGGTCTCCCTCCTGGTCCTTTCCCCTTTCTTTTGTTAAATGTACTCCTTGGCAAGACTGCTGCATTGTTAGCTTCATCTCATTGCTCTCATTTCTCTTGAAATAAGCCTAAATGTTTACTTTCACTGATGGATGTTTATTTTCTAATTTTCGTTTTGAAACATGGCAAAGCAGAAATTTGGAGCAGAAGAGGAAAAGGTTCCATGGCTGCCATGTAGCCTATGAATTGTCCAGAGGGACTCAGGGGTTTGAGAGCACTTTATAACATGGAGGACCCTTTCTAGAGACACATCACATGCAATAATTTCACACTCATTGTTTTCTTTTTTCTCAGACACATGCAAAATCCAGGCCTGAAATCTGAGATGTACACTCTGAAGTGTACTGGAAAAGGAACTATCTATATGCTTTTCCCTGCAATATTACCTTGTGCATAGCAAAATTAAGTTCTTGGCTTAGTCCTTATTTTCCTGTGTCTGAACACAAAAGCAAGTTAAGATTGGTTCCCACTTTACAAACAGACGTGCAAGCAATGCCTTCAAAAACCACAAGCTTGGGTGCAGGATCTGATGTTGCATCTTAGGCCTCTCACCCATTTTCTGGAAGCAGAAATTCTGACTTCACTGTCCCAATTTTCTCCTCTCTGGTCATGAGAGGAAAGAGTGACCAGGGGTCACCTTGGGTTACTCAGCCTATTGTTCTCTGGCTAATGAGGACTGGTATAGGGCTATGTAACTTGTAATGGGAAGAAGTTGTGATCACTGCCAGGAGCTCCTGAAGCCCCTCGAGTGCTATTTGCATGTGTGTCCTATATAAAGTGGGTACTGGTTTGGGGGGCTGAGCAGCAGTGGATTGAACTATGCTGCTTGCAGGGAAGAGGTCTTTTTCAGCCAGGATCCCTGTATGAGAGAACAACCAGGAGCTGTTTTCAGTGTTATATTACTATAATGTTAGTGTAGGCACCAAATAACTGAAGGGATAGTCTCTGCTCATGCTCATTAGATCCACCTAAAACAGATATAAGTAATGTTGAGATTTGAGGAAATGCTGTTGTGTATCTAAAGACAGTTCTTTGCACAGTTCCTGTGCTTTCCACAGCTACTCCTTCATGTTAGCCAGACCAAGCTCCCCAGCCTTGCCAGTTACTGCAGAAACCTTTTTCTCATCTCTGAGGGTTTTGTCACCATCTTTGCCAGCGTCTTCATCTGTTGTCAGCTCCTTATTGCTGTTTGCTCTGTCAGAAACAAAGATGATAGGCTAGAAGAGGGAAGACAGCAAAAGAGAAGTGGAAATTACACAAGAAACAGTAGTAGAGAAAGTAGTTGGGGACACCCATTTTGTGGTAAAGTGCATGCAGCCATATCTGGGAAAGAAGAAAAAAAAAAAGTAATTTCTGAAGTTACTGTTCTTCTCATGCCAAAAAGAAATCTACAGATGCCTTTGTACAATTTTTTGCTTCTTTGCTTTCCTGTTCAGAAAAGCGCTAACACTTTAAATGTTATGTTGTTTTTTTTTTTAAATGTCTCCCTGATTGTCAATTCATCTGAATTTTCCCTTCTCTATGAAGGACAGTAGTACTGAAAGAAGAACAGAATCCACATCCTGCATGAAGAATGTGTATTTGTGTAGGAGCTTGTTAATTACGTAAAGCGAATGTTATTTCTCTTTTAATTCTTGAGGCATTCAACCATAAGGAACCACATGCAATTGTTCTGTTTCACTGTACTTAAAGCAAAGAAAGCTGCTACCAGATGTGAATGTGTTATCCTAGAGTATTAATTGCAATCAACCTCTCTTGAGATTAACATGTCTGGTTAGACTTTCAAGGTCCTTGTAGGAAATACGATTTTATATTGTGATCTGATTTATGTTGATTTGTGGACAATTTTGGGGTATATATGAAAGAAGAATCCAAATTAGAGTCAACCACATTCACCTTCAAAATGTTTCCCTTGTGGGTCTTTTTGTACCCTTCTTCTGCCTGATAATATTTCTTGGAACCTCAGAGTATGGTTTTTGGTTGCTAAATACACTGCATAGACTTGCAAGGAGAATCCTGAACTCTGGTGAACAGAAACTTAGGAAAGACGAGTAGATGCACTGGGTGTTGGAAAGTGAATGTGAGGGCATGTGTCTGAAGAAGGGGTGCATTTCACCAGAAAGAGGTGTCAGGGTGCCTATGGAGGGGCAGGCAGGAGGATCATTTGAGCAACTCAGAGGTTCAAGCTTATAAAACTGAACAAGTTTTGTTATGGCTTTGCCACCTCCTTGAGTGAGAGAGGCACCTGTTGTTATAGCTATATTTCATCAGATTTTAGTATAGGAAGACAAAAATCTTTGCTCCCTGAAAATTTCCTCTTACTCAGTACTAACAAGATAATTAGTTGACTAACTAGATCTGTTTCTAGATGCAGAGAATTCACTAATGATGTCGAGGAATTCTGCTGCATGCATTGCACATGCTTTTTGCCTTGTTGTCATTCAGCAAATTGTGCAAGTACCCACCTTGCCTTTTTTCTTCTTCTGTTTGAACAAAAACACAATATTTTTTTTTAAAAACAGAATTACAGATTTTAGCCACATTATTCAGTTAGAAAAAAAAAAAAGTATAACTGTAGAAATGGGAAAACAAATATGAGAAAGGAAGAGAAAAGAAGTTGCTCTTTTCTATCTAGTTTGTATATTCATACAGGTTTCAAAAGGAAGGGAAAATACACCCATAAAGAAATTATGTACTGATGGACAGAAATAGATGAAAACATATCAAAACAGTGGCCCATGTTGTCTGGGGCTTTGTATACTTGAATGAAATCTCTGCTGTATCTTTATCTCTGACTATTCCATTTCTTTTTCCCAACCAGTCAGTAGAAATTGGACTTCTGTGCCCACAAATCAATGTGAAGTAGCCATTAAATTCCACCAGATTTGGACAGCTATTCCTATACAGATGTGTAAAACCCCAGGCCAAAGAGTTAGTTTCTCGTGGATTATAGTTTGAATCAGAGTATCATTAGGATCCCTTTCCAGAAAGCTTGTACTTCAAAATATTATTTTCTTTATTAGATGAGATGCCAATTTCACAACCAAACAAACAAAAAAATCCAAGAGCACAGAGCTAGGCCTCCCCCAGTACCTGAATACTCTCAAATGATGGAGGCAAAGGCAAGGTTTAGTATGCTACACCTTCATGCCAGGGGCAGATTTCAAATCTGGCAAAAAATATTTTGGTCTGTCTGAATCAGAAAGCAGCATATATAATGTCAAGTGTTAATAGGAGTATCTTGATGAGAAAATGTGAAAACTTATGTTAAAGGAACTGGTGTGTGGTTGTAAATGGTTTCCTGCTATATGTCTCCTTAAATGTGACACTCCTTCCCTCTCTCCCTCTAGTCACACAAAAGAGGCACAGGACAGTACTTACTGATGGACGGTCTGCCTCAATCATGTTTTCAACCTCCCTAGAAGAAAGCAGGAAGTAAATAAATCAGGCAAGTGGCTGTTCAAAACATTGTTTGATTGTTTATCTGGTTAGTAAGCAGCCACTTGAACTTTCCAAACTACTGGTGTAGGTTGGCTTCTAGACGTTACAGCAGCAGACTGGATGGAGCTTCCCCAGTTTGAGCTGCACATCCCAAGCACTGCTGCCAGGAGCACTGCTGCCTGGTTTATTCCTCTTAGAGCCTTCACAACACTGAACATCAATGGCTGGGAGTAAAACAGAGGCTTCATGGCCTAAGTGAAGTGATACTGGCTGCAGTTTGAGCTCTGGAAAAGTAGTTGAAGAGCAGGATGTAAAAGCAACTACCTATTCCTGTATTCTGTTCATGAAGCAGAGCAGTAAATAACAAACTTTGTTTGCCTTATAAAAATGGTGGAGAGCATGTTTACAAAGGATAACCTGCAAGTAGTGAGCTTATCCACAGACAATTCTAAACGGGTTCTTGATAAACTATGAGGTAAGCTTGTGGAATTAAGTTCACAGCTTGGTGTTTCTAATGGGGTTAAGAAAATTAAGAGCAGGGTGTTGCAAACTGGGAAAATAACAGAGTAGTAAGCTCACCTCTACCTTTAGAGACAGATAAATAGATCTGCAACTTACTCTGAAAGACTTCTTTTCTCTGAGAAAACCCTCAGAATGAATTCTCCTTCCTGGTGGGGTTCATATGTTGATGGTATGACAACGTACTCGCTGGGAGGCAGCCGGAAGCGCTCAGAGATTTCTCTCATGTTTATGTAAGTCTTACTTCTAGCTTTGGAGGCATTGTAGAGGAAAAAATCCTTTTGCAAGTGGTGCTTAGTGCCATGCATCTGCAGAACAAAGGAATTAGCATGTCATCTTATCCATTTACCAGGTGGCTTCTCATGCAGGTACAATGTGGTCAGGACAGAAAACACAAATTCAGCAGCAGAAGCTTTTTTTTTTTTTTTTTTTTTTTTGCTAAAGATACTTCATGAAAGGTATTCATTCAATATGAAGTCAAGAATTGTGGGCTAAAAACAAATACTAGTTTTCTTCTGCAGAAATAACTACCTTTTAAAATAAGTCTGTAAACACACCATTTACATTGTCAACTTTACATTTTTCAGGTAACACAGCCTTCACATTAGCTTATTTGCAGAACTTGTGGTGCCAATGATTCAGCTACTAGCAGGATCAGGACAACTCCATCTGTGCACTTCTAATGCATTTTCTTCAAAGGCTGAAAATATCATTTGTTTTCCAAACTGGTTCTGAGACTGTAGAGCAAACTCTAGGGCAGCTGGCACTATTTGCAGGAGGAAACAGAAGTGGTTTAAGGGTCTTCTGTGTGGGGTGTAATGTCCAAGTGCTAGCTGATGCTGCTTCCTGCAGTTTAGGTTCACCAACCAGCTGTGAAAGCTGTGCGTAGGCCTCATGTAGAATAGAATGGAAAAGAAGGACTGGGTAAGAGGTGCAGGTGTAAACAGGGTGTGAGTGAGAAGGAACTCAAAATGGCTCACAAAATATTACTAAACACTCAAAGCTGAAAGGTTATTGGTTTTACTTCTGTAACATCCTTGAAAAGGAAACTTGACCATTTTCCTACTGACTTGCAGACAGGTACAAAAGTAACACTAGCTATGAGAACACACCAAGAAGTCAGTCGGTTCCCATTCAGCTCATACCTCTTTGGGCACCTAAGGGAGAAACAAAGAGAAGAAACAGAGGTATTAGGTGAGTGCACTTGTTTATAGATCATATAGAAGGGCTTTCACATAGATTTCTGGGAATGCAACCAGTAATGAAAATGCTCCAAGTTATATAAATATTCTAAGCAATTTATTTTCCTTTCCAGATTTCTTAGGATCTATATGAGATCCCTTAAGATTTGAGCTAAATATGACTGAGCAAACTGACTTCCTGAAATCACTAGGGAGAAGGGTGTTGATCACTACCTTTGTCTTGGATATGCTTCCCTTTTTACATTCTCCCAATGGTCTGTTTAGTTTCAGCATGGATAAAGGGGAGATTGAAGTATATATGGGGGAAAAATATGTTAAAATCTGGCTTTAAGTCACTGTAAAAGCCTTAAAAAATGTGCTACTTATAGATAGGGTAAACCCTGAGGTTACTGTGGGCTAAATGATTATGAAGCCTTGAATTTCCTTCTTCTTTTCCATTCATTTCCTTGCAAAGTAAAAATTACAGTTCATGTAGTCAGGATGAACAATTCAGTGACTCTTGGTAAACGCATACTGCCAAAATGTGGGGATCTGATGCTAAGAACAAAGTCTAGAGCTGGTACCTCATAGATGGCAAAGCCAATGGTGTACAGGTTGGCTCCCAGCTTGCGTTCTTTCCTCCTGTTTTTCTGCATCAGTGCAACAAGGAAGCTGCAGATAACCTCTTCATCCTCAGGATCGTCATCTTCCTCCAGGAGCTTCAGACGATACTGGGGATTGGTCCAAAATGTATCTGTGAAATGCCACCAACAACCCGAAGCAAACATGTAAAGCTTCAGTTTTCTAACAATACTTATGACCAAATGATTCTAGTATTCCCTGTCTGCAGTTCCTGAGGGAAAGGATAGAATGGAGTTTTTGTTTATATTTTTTATATGTTTTTATTTATTTTCATGTGTTTTCAGTTTTACATAGTTATAAGGAAGATTTAAAATGAAGAATTAGCAGCTGACAAACATCCAAAGGACTGAAAGCTGGCAGAGTTTACCACTGGATTTCCCAAGTGAAATCTAGCTGATAGAATGGAATTGGTATCTCTTACCTGAGGCACTGCAAAGTATTTGAACAATGGTTTATCTTTGCCAGGCCTGCCTTTTTGGGTTTATGATGTACTGTCACAGACATGGTGACAGAAGATTTCCAGATGGAAAATCGCTTGGCTCATCCACTGAGGAATCAAAGATTTTCTATGGCTGAGCGCTGATCAGGTTCTAGTGTGATGTAGCCTGTGGGGTGTAATATAGTCCCTGTCAAAGTGATGATATCCCTTAAGACTCATTGCTCACCTGGATAATTGCGGCAGCCTCCAGCTGAGCAGCCTCTCACCCAGCGCCCTTCGTTGACTGACACAGTCCAGGTCTGGAGTTTATCAGCTTCCAGAGTATCAGGTGTGAGGTTACAGATCTCAAGTTTTGTGAAATGCCTCATGAAATCTTCAAAAGATATCCTGGAGGAAATGAGGGGAAGATGAATCTGAATGAATATACGTGGTGGGTGGTTAACTGAAAGATATATTGCTCCTGGAGAGATGGTAGAGAGTGACCCACATTACTGCTCCCGCTAGGGCAAGTTTGACATGGGAGCTCTGTGATTTCCTAATGTGTTTGACCTGTTGGTCAATTAACACAGGTACAGCTCCAAAATGGGGGACACCAAAATGAGAGGATGGTGCACAGGAAGGATAGAGAGCTTGAGAAGTGTGGGATAACTGGAGGGACTCTGCTGGTAGGACTCAATAAACCCTGGTGGGAGATGGAGATTGCAGAGCAGGGGTTATTTGGAAATATGAAGGGAAACAGATTACTGTGATAGTTTTAACACACTTAAGTAGTGTAGTATGAATCATTTTTGCTGTAGTTGCACATCCAGAGGAACACTTTTTTTTTGACTGATATTCTCACCAGAACTCCCCATCCTCCGCGATCTTGTGCTGCAGACGGACTTTCTCTGCTTCGTTAATGAAGTTCCACTCTTCTGATCTTCAAAGGAGTAAACAAGCTACATTACACTTTTGCAATACACAATTTTCTCTAAAATTTTCTGCTCTTTACTGTAAGTATCTGTTGTAGAATGACAACACTTGAATTTAATTGACAAAAAAACTTTCTTTGTGTAATCTGCAACTATTTGTTCTCAATGCTGCCCTCTCCACATGCTCAAACAGAGAAGGAATTGCTCTGCTCCTTTCCACCTTCACTTCAGACTTCCTACTAGCAGCTCTCAGAAATCTGTTATTTTATTTAGCATAAAGACAAAATTGCTTGCAGACTTTCACTGCCAGAGTAGCTGCACAAAATTCTTTTTGCAAAACATGATGAAAAGCTTCATCCAAACATGCTCATGTGCTGACATCTTGCTTCACTCAGTTTTTCCATAACTTGGAAGATTCTTCCCTGTAAATTCTTTAAATTCTTGATTTGCATATGAACATTGCTGACCTTGCTAGACAGTAAAAACAGACTAAATGTATCATTAGACCAGCTTTCCATTGGTTAAACCCCCTTCACTCAACATCTTTTCTACATGTAGATATGCTTTGCTTTCTACAGCTTTATCTAAGCACTGAAATGTGATGTTCTTCAAAATGCCAAAAAAGACCATTTAAATACCTCATTGTTAAATGCTAGGACCATGCATAAGCTGTCTAAGGGCAAATGAAGCTGCACTATTTTTCTTTTTTTTTTCAAATCAAGTTAAGCTGCTGGATACTTCTTACTCACTTATCACTCCAAGGTCCATTCCATTCCACCTGTCCCCAGGGGTTTCTCAACCTTACCAGGCGTATTTTTTCCCCTTTAAATGTTGTCTAATTGAAAGAGAAGGCAACAAAAATCAGCTCAATTATTTTGTGAGAAATAGGCTCAAAAAGGAAATGCTCTGTCTGACACATCCCTGATACCAGCTGCCCAAGTGGTGGTGATTTTTAACCCAGCCCAACCCGACTTGAACGAGTGCAGGAAGACTGTTAGACCAGGAGGTGGCCAGCAGTGGCCACCTTTGCCCATGCAGACCATGGAGGAACAATTGTTTACCTAGAAAGTCAAAACTTGGGTTTGTTTCTCCACAAAGCTGCTCTTTTATTTAATTATTAGATTTCTTTCTTTCATAATTCATCTCCCCCTCCTCTCCTTTTTTGCTCCCAATCCACAACTTTGCTAGTGTGCATGACTCTAGGCCATTCTAGAACACAGGTCCCCACAGTAGGAGAAAAGGGACCATACATACCTCTTCCACAGCTGTGACAGAGTAGGCATGACCTTTGACCAGTCCGCAAGACATCCGGGTTTCATACTGCATTGGCACTATGGTCTGTTAAACACAGGATAAAAATTTGTGAAAGACACATGAAGCACAGATAGCTGCTCTGAGGCAGGAGGGAGAATGACACTGTTCAGGTGACAAAGTCTTTTTTGTCTTATTCCCTTTTTCCCATTTATCAAGGTGACCAAACTTAGTGCACACAGAATTAATATTATTGATTAAAAAGGAGTTAAAAATGAATTATAAGAGCAAAAAGTTAATAATACTCATTGTAAAAGACATTTTATGTTTTACTTGTTCCCCTTTTTGTAGTTCGCTTTTTTTTTTTTCCACTCAGAACATGCTAGTATATAGCATGATTAATTTTTCTATTAGTAGGACTGTTCAGCCTGAGGTAGTATGTTCTTCTACAGCTCAGTAAAGTTATTGCAGATAAAACAGGGAGCACCTCAGCACGTATTAGAATACTTTCATCTTTGCACACTGCTGCAACCTTATCACAACAACATTTTTAAAAAAAGAAAAACTGTTTCACAGACTTTGTACTAAATTAGACTATTAAAAAAAAATAATCTCCAGTAGAGATACACATTTTATTCCACAATCCTGTGACTGTATTTTTTTTTTTTTATCTGTCACACAGGAAGGATGTAGCTTTCTTCAGCAGGTATAAATAAATTTTCTCTCTTGGTAATCAACTGTTACAGTGTCTGATGCATTTTTATTTGTAAGTCTGAAAATACTATTTATCTGGGAGATAAAGAATTGGGAGCAGGGTGGCAGGTTTATATAGTTCAGTATCCTTGCAGGAGAAATCACCGAAAAGAGTGGGAAAGGAAGGCTACACTAAGTGCAGGTGGATCATGTGTGAAACTTCCCTTCCTTAATTCCCTCACAGAGAAATGACAGTGAGGCCCTGCCAGTAACTCTTCCATCTGTTTTTTGATACATCTGAGGACATGAGAAAGTCAGGGCTGGAAATGGAGAATTAGTAAGGTCACGCAGTTACATTCTCAGGTTGCGCAGGGAGGAATCTCATCCAAATACTTCCTGGCTGTCACAGTTATTTTCCATTATTTCCTTTCTGCTCTTGTTTCTTTTATCTTGCTCTAGATTCTATACACTTTCTATCTGTTACCTCCTATCTATTTTCATTTTTCTTAATTTCTCTTCATGTTGTCACCTTCATTACTTAGCAGACCCCCTTTTACTTTTCCCTATTTAATAGTATTATTTTCTGTTGCTGGTATCCTGATCTGCTTCTCTGGAGTGCTTCTGAAGTATGCATTGTCTGCCTCTTTCCATCAAGAGCCATGATATTTTCTAGTGATGGCTTGGGAGTGTAACAACCAGCAGCAAAACACAGCAACTATAGAAAGAGTTTTGTAACCTTCCAACCTTTGGCAGTCACCGAGGGGGAAATTCCCCTCAGAACGCGGGTGATTTGGACAGTCATGCGTGCAAAAGAAGACAACCAAATGGGGCTTTCCCAAAGAATTACATCATTTCAGTCTTTCAAGAAGACTAAATATGGATGACTAAAGCAGAAAAAATGGCTGCTACTGCTGCAAATGCAGAAGAGTTTGCACAATCAAAAATTTTAGAAATGTAATATGCTTTTTTAGGTGTATTTTTCTTTTCTCTATAAAGCGAGAGAAGTAATTTCTGTCACTGAAATGCAGCTCCCTAAAAAGTCAAGGTATGACTGTTGAGGGATTTTTGAAACAGCAAAGATCCCATGGCTTGCTGCAGCTGAATTTCATTGCCCAGCTGAGGAATTTAGAAGAGTATTGTTGCCAGCAGCTGGCTTCAAGGACAAGGTCTATGTGACTGCTAATCACAAGGGGGTTGTTTTCTTGCAGGTGGGGTTGTTTTCGTGCAGTTGTGCTTTTTACCAATAATCTTGTGTGAGTCACTATCGGCCCCTGTTAAGTTCACTATACATGTAAAAGTCAGGCTATTCAGGTAATAAAGAGAGCATGATCTGACCGTACTGGTGTCTGTTGTGTTTTCGGACGTTCTTCCTGCAACATATGACAACTGTCTCATAGAGAGAAAGGGGCAGCAATGTGTCCATTTACAGATTTGGAAGCTTTCAAGTTTCAAGTTAAGATATGGGATTTTCATTTAGTGTAACAACCCTCTCTTTATTTTTCTAGATACCAAGCAACTTCAGAGTACCATTTTTTTTTCATAGCACACACAAAGCTAGACGTGTTTCTCCTTTTCCATGTTGTGCTTTTAAAATTAGGATCTTAAAGGCAGTAATCTAGTAAGAGCTCTCCACCTATATCTGAGTGTTCGCTCAATCCAAGTCCACCCCAAGGGCAGACCCCTCCATTTGTGGGCAGTGTTCCATAGTGCTTTGTTACAAAGTAAGTTCAACAAGAGCTTTTGTGCCTGGAGTGAGAGCTATACAGAGCTTGCTTTTAATTTCTTTTGAGCACACCCCCACACGCTCTGGGAACTTGTTCCATCCTAATATTTTAATTCTCTCACTCTTTACATCCTCTGCAATTGAGGGACTTGCTAAAATGTGTTAATAGTTTCCTGTTACTAAATGTAATGACAAATGTGGAACTTGGATGTATTTTATGTGACTCTGCTTTCATTTCTACTGTACAATTAAGCTCTGGAAATTAGAAGCTTGTACCAAAAGTCAGCAGCCCTTTGCCTCAGTATCAGCAAAGCCCTCTAGACAGGTGTATCAGTGATGGATACACTTGAAAGGACTGAAGTCCTTAAACATGTATGTCAAATAGCATTGAAAAGAACAGATCTTTACCTTTGGGATAATTCAGTGAAGTAAAATAAGGGTTTCAAATTTTCAGAGATATGTTTCTCTGACGGTTCTATTTGTAAATGAAAGTGCTGTGAAATTAACTGCTTCTAGAAATGTACAAACCCAGGCTGGCCTTTCATCTGTCCCCTGGTAGTCCACAGTGGGGTGAGACATCTGTGCATTTTCTAGATTCTTCACCATTCGAGCAATCATTTCACCAATGTCGCTTCTAGGAGCTGATCCGTAGGAAAAGCCTAGGTTATCCTGAGACAGAGAATAGCAGAAAAGTTCAGTGTGGAAAGAGGAGGCAGGGAGAGCAGAGAAATAATGCAAGAAAGAGGAGTGTTGTTGTTGTTTGTTTTGTTTAAAAAAGCCTTGATAGCTTTTCTTCTTCTATCTCTTCTAGATGGTCCATACTTATCTACAGTGGTTGGTATCACCTGTTGTTCTGCTTTTATTGCTATGTCACACTAGTTATTGAAACTAATAGTTTTTTACTTTCATTTCTAAATTAGTCACAATGAATATAGATGATCTAAGGCTATGTTGGGAATCAAGGGATTATCATTTGGACACTTTTAGCATCTTTGACGTGAAGATTTGCATCTCAACCAAGTTGCAGCACCCCCCTACTAACCCCTTTTTACTTGAGGTGAAGGCACTGAGAGGGGGGTGCTGTTTTTGTTGATTGGACCCCTTCTTCTGACCTCCCTCTTCTGCTTCTGTTCACTTCCCTTTTGGTGCTTGCCGTTCTCTAATTATAGGTGTTTAGTGCAGGCTGCCCTGTCTCCTACAAATGGATGTTTATGTGGACTAAACCAAGCTGTTCCAAAAGTTGGTATATATTTGATTACAAATGGAGATTTTTGCCATAGCTTAAGGGTTATCTGCCAAGTTTATATGGACTCACATCAATAGAGCTGGCCATGAGGGATCCTCTGGCAATGGCATGTTTCATGATTTTATAGATATCTTTAGGAGCATCCTTTATCTCATAGAACTCTGTCACTCCTCCAGTGAAGTCCTCCATGGCCTCTGTGGTGTTTCCTCCTTTCAAAGCTTCGTAGGACCCATGGAGTCTTGGAATGAGAAAAGAACAGCAGGAGTCTCTTTTACATAGATTAAGATATGTACATGTATATACTATGTATTTTTTCTCTTATACGTAATATATTTATCTACTGTGTGCATGTATAAATACGTATACATATACTACATGGATTTGTTTGGTAACCCTTAAATTTACAGTTTCAAAAATTGCCACCTGCAAATAAAAAAAATATGTTGAAAATAAAATGTAGCCTTCTGAATGAGTACCCTGAAAATATGCTTTACCCTATCCCTAATTCTGATCCACTAGACTCTATTCAAAAAGGCAGTGGTATGTGCAGAGCCCATCTATGTGTACATGACAAGTTCTGTACGGGATTTTAGCCACCTCCCCAACCACAGGGAGTGTGGCATGGTGCATCACTTTGCTCTTACTTTGCATAGGCCTTTTCCAGGAGAGCGCTCCAGAACTCGTTGCGTTGGGAGGACTTGGTGAAGACCAGCTGGTTGTTGTATGTGGGTAGGCAGTCATCAATGATGACATCCACCCAGTCTCCATAGCGCCAAAACTGAATGAAGGCAAACAGAAAAACCTCTGGGTTCATTCTTTGCAGAGAGGAGGAAGCCTGGCTGAAAAGCTGCTCTGGTTTATACTGAATCTCAGATCCTTCAGATTTAGCTGATGCTCCTGCAGCCGCCTGGATTTTGGACAAGCATGGGGAAAGGCCTGTGGCTGGGGTGAAGCTGTGCTGCCAGGTCCTGCAGTACAGGACCAAAAAGCAATGACATGGGGAGGGAGGCAGCTGTACTGAAATACCTAGGGCAATGCATCCATCTTAAGGGAGTCTCTTAAGAGAACCATGGGGAATATGTAGAGCAGCCATCCTTTTCTGGGAAAAAAAAATAAATAAAAAATCAGTTCTTCAAGAACTTGTTTTTGACAGAGAGCAGCTGCTTGTGGGTCTAAAAATAGATGCTCTTGCCAACCAGTGTCTTTGTGCTGGCTGTAGCACTGAATCAGATCAGCAAGGCAGGACTGAGCACCTGTTGGTTTCCTTTACACACGGGCCATGCTGATCTGCACATGCTTCATTGGTGGGTTAATGCTCCCTGATTGCCCTTCTGTGACTGCCCTGTTGGAAGAGTTTAGGGTGAGGGAATTTAATCCTTATTCCTTCTCTGTTCTTGCTCACGCTTTCTTAGAGTGGAGAAAGGAAAGGGAACAGGGTACTAAGAGCTGAGCTCTGAATATAATTAGATTTGCTTTCTGCTAGACGAAGGGACTCACCTGAAAGTGAAAGATGCCAGCATAGTTTTGAATAAAGGACTGGTCATGAGGTATAACTCTGCAGAGCAGTTTTTTATTCAGTGTCAGACAAGCAATGGCAGCCAGGAACCAGCAGTCACCTGTAAAAAAGAGGAAGCAGCAGATAAAAATAAGGGACAGAGCAGCTAGAATCAGAGGGAAAAGCTAATGTACTGCGAAACGATACATTAGTTCTTAGTACAGCATGCCATGGCCTTTCAGTAAAGGGCTGTTCTCAATGTGTTCTGCAGTACTTGAGCACTTCTTATTTATGCTGCGGAAGTGCTCGTTGGCACCATTGGCTACATACACCTGTTAAACAGAATGGAAAGATTAATACATATTAGGAAGACAGTCAGGGGAGATGTTATAAAACCTGAGAGGTTTTAAAACCTGAGAGTTATAAAACCCGAAAAGCTGAGAGGGGAATGACTTCCCAAAGCAGTGCAGGTAAGCACCATATGGATGGCAGTTGCAGAGGTGTCACTTGTACCTGAGTAGTGGTTTAATATATCAAAGTATTTTTGAGCTTCTGAGCTTAGGTTCTTCAGTATAGGGATTGTCCTTGACTACAAGGCACACTTAGCTGAAGACCTCCAGAAGCTCCTGTTTGAAAATAACAAGACTAAACACCTGAAACAATACAATAGTGGTAGCTGATGATATTTTAATCCAAGTCAAGTAACTCCTTATCTCTTATTCTTATCTTGACTTATTTTGTTCATCCTCTATGCTTGAGAAAAAGACCAAGTTTTGCCAGATGGTGCTTTGTAACACAGTCATGAAATTAGCTGATGAAAAACAGAGTTGTTTGCTCAAAGTTCTTTCCTAGACTGGTAGTAGGCAGATATCACCATTTTGCTATAGAGAAAGAATTAGTAGATGTGTGGTACTATACTGAGAGAATTTAAAATGTCACCTTGGAAGCAAAAGTAAATTGAGAGCTAAACTCTGATGCAGACTGAAAAGTACAGGGAAGAAGTAACAATTTCATACCTAATTCTCCTTGGCAGATATCTGTTCTGTTAGCTCCACCAATAATAAATCGTGGATTCTCACAGATTTCCTGTAAAATACAAACAGATTGAGAAGTAAAAGCATGTTTTGGGATACCTCTTTTCCACAGAAATAAAGGCTGTTTTAGGATAATGGTTTTTCTGTAAGACAGTTTGTGGATATGAAAATCTCTTTTAGATTTTCATCTGTAGAGCTTCACTAATGAAATATTTTAGAATCTCAATATTCCAAATTTCAGGCAGCAGAGGGAAGGACTATGTAGGAAGTACCAGCAAATGGAGGTGGGACTATTGCAGTGTTTGCACAGAACCTTTTCCATATCCATTACATCGTTGGTTCTCAAGTGGGATGAAAACCCCCACAGGGTTTGGAAAGCCAAGGAAAGAAGTAGGTATAATCTGTCCTACAGGGGGAAATAAACTATCTCTAATGTCTCTGCTTTATCCTGTCCCTCACACTCAAATACTTGGTTTTGGGAGGAAAAGGAAGACACCTAACTTTTGGACCATCACTTGTGAGTGTACAAAAAGGAAGATATTGCAATTTGAGGACTAGTTTCCTGAGCAGCTGCAAATGGGGAAGAAGACATAGTCCAAGAACCTGTCTTTCTGGAAGATCACAGGGATGGAATGGGAAGGAGAATGAGAATACAACTGATAATTGCTTGTGTGAGTGGAAAAATTGGCTGTACAGGTGGCTGATGCTACCTCTGTGGACTGAAACATTCCCCCATGTCATCAGGGTAGCCCTGGATTTTCCCAGACTCATATTTCAAGTCTAATAGTTACACTTGGCTTCGACCCATTTTTTGCCCCATTGCAGTGTCCAGGAGGGTTGCTTTGATGTAACTATTTGGATTAGTCATGGAGCCAGATAGAGACCATCTCTTCCGGCTCCCTGCAGCAATTGCCTTACTCTCCCTGCAGAAGGGAATGGAGGGATTGTCCTGTTATTTCAAGCCTCAGTCAGCTGTTCTGAGGTCCAGTTCTGTCAAGGAAGCTGTTTGAGATAACTTCATGCTGTTCTCCACCCACTAGCTTCCTCACATTGTCATGGTTCTGTCTTGAAAACTAGCTGTGAGATATCAGGCTTTGGGATTTTTTTTCCCTCCACCAATCTGCGTTTATGTCCTGACCCTGCTACTACTGAAGTAACCAGCTCTGGAATTCAGCATGCTGTATTTTAGTTGAAAGTAGTTAGATGATGCTTAATTGTTTCCAAAGATTAAATGTGCATTGATGATTGATTGCTATGCAGTGCAATTTATTACATCTTGAGCTCATTTGCTTTGGAGGATGATCTGTGAAGGAATACAAAGGAGGGAATCATACATTTGCCATATGGACTGATTTTGGGCATGACCAAAATGCTTTTCTTGCATTTTTTTCATGGTGGCTAGATGCTTTTAGTACACTCTGGATATTCTTTCAATATTGTATTACTCTGCTTCATCTCCAGCTGTGCTAGTTGTGCCGAGTACAGACAAGATTGCAGGGAAAGGTTTCAACATCTTCCAAGGCTGATGAGAAACAGTCAGCAGAACAAGACAACCTGGTGTTTAAGATGCAGCTAATTCATCTGATCTTCCAGTCCTCCTGGCTGAGCAACAGGTTGCTCCTCATCTCTGAGGTCAAGTTACCACAGACAATTCCAATAGAATGCCCCTCACTGATACCATCATTCATCTAGAGTCTCCTCTGATCAGTTTATTAATAAATAAAATAAATATAAATAGTCTATAGACCATAGACTATGGTTTTCTAAGTAAATTCCCTAAACTCATTCCATAAAGCAGTGGAAGCATCTTCTTGGCCAAAGAGAATTTGTAGGCTGCTGCTTTTCTCTTAGCCCCTTACGGTCCAGACCTTGTTTGCCATGACATGGCTGCACTGCAGGCTTCAAGGCAGAGCCCACCCTTGTCAGACACCAAGCTGGTTGTAGAGTTAGAGTTGGATTCCCCTAATCTGAAAGTCCTGCCTTGGTGGTACTAAACAATGTCCTTGTTTTGTGGTAGCAGTGTCCTCATCTCCCAGAGCTAACGTGAAATTTCCAGGGGAAAGCAGGACATCAACCTAGGAGCTGCTAGCGATCTCATTTTATGACAAGAAACCTATGCTTCCCTGTGACCTAGTTCAATGTAACATTAAACAGACTGTTTCAGATGCCCTTGTCACTGCCACAGGCTGATAAACCATACTGTACACCTCAGTAGCCTGGTCAGGTGAGGCATTGAAGCTTCCTCTGGCTGCTCTCAGCTGGAGGGCCAATTCCCTCTGTGTACGGGGCCTGCAGCTCAGCAGGACAAGGCCGCCACAGCTGTTGCTTGGATTTAACCCAAGCTGTGCTTGCGAGGTCCTCTCTTCATGTTCAGGTCATGGCACGGCCATCACAGTATAGAATTACAGAGGCTTCTTTGCCACCCCCGTAGCAGGCTTCATAGCTGCCCCATGTGGCAGCCGTCCCTTTGACGGTGATACTCCTCGTGACCTCCCTGCCCAATTGCTTTCAGAGGCACTGGCAGAGGAGCTGATCCCTGGGGAGTCCCAACTGTGAAGGGAAGAGCCCGCAGGGCTAGATGCAGGATAGCAGGGGGGTAGCTCCAGGGGGATCTTGTCCCTGATGTGGGATCCTGCCCAAATCCCGGAAAAAGCAGCAGGCATTCCTTGTGTTAGTACGTGATGCTGAGGCCTCAATTCAGCAATGCTGTTCAGCTGCGGAACATTGCTGCTACCAGTGCTTGGTTACAGTGTTTGTGAATGGCAGATACACGCCCTTTAGACTGACTGTGATTCCTTGAAAAATACTTGGAATTTCTGGAGAAATGTTCATTCAACAATCCCATGTGGATTTGTGTCATGGAAAATAGTGCTCATTTACTACATCACTCTTTCATGGATATTAACATTCTCCTACATTAATCTTTTTTGTTGAGAGAGAAGTTGGATATAAATTGGTTGCATGGCATGGCTAAGCTGACACAGAAAGCCAGAGGCAGTCAGGAACAGATCACTTCTTTCCCGGCTCTGTTTCAAACAAGATCTTATCTCACATGGACCACTTGTTTATTTGCTATTTCTGGGAGTTAAGTGATATATGCAATACACTATAGGGAAAGGATTTAGAGTGAAGCAAGTATTAAGATACTCTCTTGGCACTTACTGAACGGTCTGGTATTTTGTTTTCTTTTAGAATATGTTCTCAAATTCAATGTGAACTTCAAATCAATTTCAAATTACTATTTTATAAGACTACAGTTTATGAACTAGCCACTTCCTTTGCCAAAAAAAAACCAAAAAAAAACAAAAAACAACCAAAAACAAACAAACAAACAAAAAAATTACAGTTTGATAAGAAGAAATGTTTTCCATATCTTTATGGTATTATAAAACATATGTTTTGAGTCTGTGATGTTCTTTAATACACCTGTCATGTCTATTCCTGTGTGGGATATTATCAGACATGCCCTGCTGACAGTGATAAAGTCTTCAGTTTCAAAGTCCAATAAAACAAAGATTTGTGTCAATCTGAGATCTGCATATATAGGTTGCTTGCATCAGGTTTCAAGAGAAATTTAATTTTTCAGTCATGGTATGGGTTCATTGTAAAAGAAGCAAGCATCACATGCCGCTCTTCCCTGTTTGGGGACCTGCTGGGTACAGCAATGGCCTGAATTACAGGGTGGCTTTAAAACAAACATTTTTGTAGCAGAAGGCACAGGCATCTCAACCACCAAGGCCTTGTGGGCCCCAGGCAGGGCAGCCACCCATGTCAGGGTCAGGAACAACTGGTTCTGTGACCCCTAGCATGCCAGAACTCAGCAGGCCATGACCCCTACTCTCTGGAGCCCCTGCATCTGCTCCAACCTGTGACTGGTATCAAGGATACATCATTTGCCTGACTCTTGTGTTGCAAAAACAAAGATGGCTTTGGTTTTGGTATTTAGACTGTATTTTGAGTTTTATACAGTCTCAGATGTGTTGTAGCTATGTGAATAGTAAGTATGGATGAGAAAAAAAATCATTGTTAGTAACTGGCCTAAATAAATACCTTTGGGATAGAGATCCTGAAGTCTGAACCTTTCTAAAAAACAGGCTTGATTTGCACATGCTCATTTATATTAGTCAAAGGTGATGGTGCATTGAGTTTTGATGTTTTGATATTTTCATATTCACACTTGCAGACTGTTTGCCCTAGGTTGCTGGTACCCATCCACTATAGTACCATACCAAACCACATTCCTCCCTGTAGAAATACGGGTAATCCCACCCTTTTAAGACGACTGGTCATGGCTGCATTTAGCTCATTCACATCCATTTCCGGGAGCTGATGCAGCTGAGGTGGTGATGATGATGAAGGCGTGGAGCTGCACCCTGCCATGTGATAGCACAGATGCACAGGGCATCCAGATGTCCCTCACTCTGCTGTGAGGGCAGCATACAGCCTGCCTCTCGTTGCGTAACAGCCACCCACTAGAGTGCCTGCTCTTTTGCTATTTATTTATGTTCCTGTAGTCGGTATTATCTATCTGTGCTAACTTTGTCCCTGAAGTACAGATTTCAGTGTTGGAGAGGTGTGGCTTCTGAGGGAGCCAGGGAAGCTCCTCAGAACCACATTCTTGTCATGCAGGGGACAAGGGGACATTCCAGGATTGGCTTGCTAGAGGACAGCAGATGCCCAGCAGGAATGACAGAGAAAGAGGAAAACTAGCCCTGCAGTAGGACAGGGAATCAGTTATAAATTGAAGAATTATTCTTCCATGTGTGGTAAAGAAGGCAGCTGGCTGAGGAATGGCCACAAGACACTAAAAGGAAGGAGGATTTCTAAGCAGGAGTCTGTCCTCATAGTGATTGCAACACCCATACTCTTGGCAAGCATATAAAAAGCTAACCAACCTTCCCAAGTCTATTAAGCAATGTGGAGAACTAACAACTGAATAAAAGCATGTTTTGGAGTATCATCTGTCCTTTTATTTTCACAGATTAGGAAAACAGAATACAAAAGACAAGTTGTAATGAGGTACTGTTGAAACACTAAGCCTCAGCAAACCCAGGAGTATGTTGCAGAACAACAAGGACAATTTTTTTTCAGATGAGAAAATTCCTAGCAGGTCATGTAAGAATAAAATTAAGTCCCATCCTTCTACATACTTCCTTCAATTTTTCTGTTTTTATTGTATTTTGGCCATAAATACAGAAGTACATATACTTGCTAAGCTTCTAAAGCCTAGCTAGTTATCTTCCAGGAGAGCTCTAAGCAAATACACTTCCAGCTTATTCTCCTCTCAACCCCTTCTGCAAGAAGAATGCATGTTCAGGGTGAACAATTTACAGAAAACAAAAAATAATCAGCAAATGTGTTACTTACACGTGGTCTTTTCCATTCAAACTTGATGGGGATTTTCTGGCTGTAGAAGAGGGAACTCTCATTAGGTGGGAAATCAGGATCCTCATAGAGAATGTTTTTCTCCAGGCACTTCCTGTGAAGCTCTTCATAGGTCTTTTCCTTTACTTTGATAATGGGCTGGTTGCGACTTATAATGGCAGAATAAATCCCCCCTGTGCCCCCACCTGTACCTTCAGCTGTAGTGCTAACAGTAGCACTGGGAACTGACCCAGCAGCTGTCTGCTGAGCCACTGCTGCATTTATGGCGGACGGCATGGGAATCAGCCTTCGAGCAAGTGTTGAAAGAAAGCAAGATCTTGAAAACTAGAAGGAAATTTGTGAAAAGAGGAAGTTGCTCTTCCCCCTTTTTTCTTCCTGTTGAAAATCTCCTAGTCAGAGTTGTAAGCGATGAAATTCCTTGTGATTGAGCACATCGTGCATCTTCTCAAAGGGCAGCAGTATTTTGTTGTAAGAAGCTGGAATTTGTTCCTTGATGTGGCACAAGGTAATTTGTAGGCTTACTCCTGTGCTGGAGTTGTACTATCTACAGCATGTTTGCTGGCCCTGTGTGTAGGAACACTGAGAAGAGGCGAGCTTTAACCAGTGAAATCTAAAAATATCTACGGGCAAGGAGTGAGAGAGAGGGAAAGTGATAGGGAGGGGGTTAGCATGGTGGTGTCAGTCTGCTGCACAGCTTATGCTGAGGCCAGGAGCTGTGTGCAGCCTGACTCCTGGTGCATGCAGCTCCTCTTTTCCTTTGCTAGAGAGAAAAAAACTCCCACTGGTTTGGGAACGTATTCATGAGGTCTCCCTAGCCAATAAACTAGTCCTAACTCTCCTTAAGGAACTGTTGTACTTGACTTGTTGTTTCTACTCTTTGCTACAGAAGAAAAAAAAATGTTGAGATGATTATCTGAAGACACAGTCCCAATAGCAAAACCAGTAATTTTATTTGATGCTACTGAGGCCATTTCAACACCTGCCAGCTGGGAGTTGGATCCTCCAGGTAACATCAGAGAGAGCAGCTTGCGAGCGCTAAGATTCACTTAGTGATACCTACTTCCCATGTGAGAAGGACCTTTTCATACAGGGGCAGTAAAATTTGTAAGGGGCCCAGTATGGAAACTGGTCCATTCTGTGTGTGTTAGGATATACCAGTCTTAGAGATGTCTGACTTGAAACATTTATTATGTAACACAAGATTGGGGCGAGGGATAAATTCAGTGTCTTTATGAAAGAAAATCAAGTTGCTCTTCCTTAATCCCATTGTTCTTCTCTATAAAAAGTTTTTTAATAGTTGACATTGTCTGTATGTCAAGAAAAGCCCCCTAAACCTTTACTTTTATTTTTGATTGTGAAGTCTTAAATCACACAGTGACATCAATGTTATTTTTGCCTAGTGAAACTAGTATCTAGAGTCTGGCTGATGTACGCATCGCTGACCTTTTGCTCTAATACTGTGGTATTACGCCAAAGCACTGGTTCTTTTTTGTTTCTCAGCTGTTTGCTCAATTTATTAATTTCAAATCGAGTACAACAGACCATTTATATGGTCTTTTTAAAAACCCCATGAGGGCAACCTTTTGAAGAAGGTAATATAGCTAAGCTATACTAACCTGTAGGAGTTAAAAGTTATTAACACTTATGCTTCTAATTGTGACATTTTTTCTTTTTATCATGAATACAAGCTTCCTGCACCAACAGGGAAGTCAGAAAGGAGAGATTTGACTGTGTGTGGAAATAGGAATGCAATTGCTTCATGATAGGTTGTCCAGCTGCAGAATTGATGACTTCCTCATTACATTTAGATGCAAGGATTGCAGGTCTCATGTTTGACATGTCTCTGCCAAGCTGTCCGGCATAGCCATGTGTCACTCTATCTAGGATTTTTCAAGTGGTAAGTAAGTAAGTGGTTTGCAAGTAGTAAAATGCAAGGGCCTCTCACCGCACAACTTCAGAAAAAATGCTCATTTTGGAATAAATGTGTATATTCTGTCTTTCACTTTCTCCTGTTTTGCCCAATACAAACATTTATCTGTTATGTCTCATACACAGAGCTCTGTTTTGGAAAGAAAGACAGTAGTAGCACAAGGTGTGGTACCTGACAGACTCTTTGTAGACTGCAGAGAAGGATCAAGTGAAGGATTGGCAGTGGCTTATATATATTTGTTCTTGGGGTGGGGAAATGGCAGGTTGGCACGTCTCACTTTTAACCCAATGTTGCTCTTTACGGATGTTGAGAAGTATTTTCTGCTTATATCTGTTCAAAAGACAGCTTCTTCTTTTCCATTTTTTTTTTTACGCTAGACAGATGGTTTGGTCTTTTTTTTTTTTTTTTTGTGATGAACAGGAGTTGCCAGTGAAAGAACACTGGTGTCTTTAAAGAAACACCATTTGCCACAGAAAAGAATAGATACACTGTCTGCTACAAACAGCAAAAAATCCCTTTGTCCATTAGGTATCAAAACACCCTTTGCAATAGTATTTCTTGTGAGTAGAAGTACCCCAACCCACAACACCTGCTCAGATACAGTAAAATTCATCTACATGGATGATAATCTTTCTATTTTATTTTTATGAAGCTCTATCTGATGTTTTCAGTATCTGAATTCAGTTACTTTCTGTAGAGATATATTACAAACTTATTTCTTCATTTATGGCAAAATGTGTGGAAAAGCATGTGAGTTGCTACAAACATGAATGTAAACTTTTTTTGAATTTTTCCCCCTAAATTTATTGTATAAAGACAACCGCAAAAAGGTTTTGAGCAAATAATTCGTATTGAAGTCCACAGAAGTTAGGCACTTCATAACACTGAAAATTTGACTTATGAGTACTTTCTGTGGTGCAGATATACTGAGTCACAGCATAAATGTTAGTGATTCACTTTAATCAGATACACTTCAAATAATACTTAAATGATTCTCAACAGTAGAAATTCAGAAGGAAGAAGCATACAACTCACTTCATTGTTACTTCATTTTACTTTCAAATTTCAGAAAAATCAGTTAAAACATTTCACTAAAATGCTCCAGACAATAATTACACCCTGCCAGAAGCATCACTATGCTTAAATAAAAGAAGCAATTATCAAGTAAAGCTTAGAAACTGATAGAAAAATAGGGTCTGTCTCAAAAATAGGTTTTGTCTCTCTTCTTACAGATGTATAAGATCTATATGCTACCGTCCCACCTGGATTTACTTATTTGCATTAAGCATTATTTAGTCTGCTAGTTTAGGCTGCTAGTTCCCAGCTCCTGGACTGGGGGTTCATGGTATCTGCTAGGAACTGAAAAACAGCTCTGCAGAATCAGGGGGTAGGAACTTAAGGGTCTAGTGGGAAACAAACTGCACTTGGTACTCAGGAGTGTAGTAGTCACACATAGTCTGCTCTGATGTTCCCAGAAATCTGCCCTGCAGAGGACCAACAGCAGCAGGTGGGAGATGACTGGGCAAGCACAGAGAGGGCTTAGGATGAGGAGTAAGAAACAACATACAAATGGACTATTATGTCCCTTTCAGTGGGCAAAAATAGGAACCGCCCTTCTCTTTTTCCTAAGATTTAATTCACTAATGTTTTTAGAAAATATTTCCTTATCATATTAAAAGATACCGAGTCATTTCTGCCTTTTTTTATATCCACAAAACCCAACCAATGGCACGTTTAGGTTTGACTCAAAGCAGAACTGGTTTTAAAATAATATACTTTAAAAGCATAGCAAATGGAAAGGGCAAACAACTTGAACTGTAGAGCAGTGGGTAGCCTGTGAAGAGAGAGACCTCATATGGAAATGGCTGTGGAAATAAGCAGGATGTAGGGCTCTCATGATGTCTTCTAGTTTTGAAAGGAAAGAAAACAGCAGGACACAGCAGTTCTGTATGCAGAGATGGTTGGAAAAAGAGGCAGGGGAGCATTAGGGTCAATTTTAAAAGAATAGGGGAGTAAGTATGAAATCAGACAGCCAAATGCAGAACTTATCCCATTAATTTAAAACATTTTCTGCTATAAAGAAAATTTTAAGCACTTCAAATTTCCCTTCTGTGAATAAGCTCTTTCATTGTCACCTACAAACCTCAAATCTCATCCAGAAACTAAAAGCTGACCAAGAAATTACTAAACTATGTGTAACAGAAGCCAGATCATAACAAGCGCTTGAAGATGTGGAGGAACAGAGCTCCACATAAGGACCCTTGCTTCACCAGGCTAACCTTAACCAATGACATTCAATTAATCAAAACAGGTCAATTCTTTCCTAACAAAATACCTTCTACTTTTCTTTGTACGTTTGTTTAAGTAGCACTGGCAGAAAGAGAGGAGCAATACTGTGGAAGATGTTTCCATGTGAGTCTAGCTGCTACCCTAACCTGCTACCACTGTTATAGACCTGTGCCTTTTTTGAAAAAGTTTCACCAGCTATTAGAAAGACTTCTACACTCCCACATCACTGTCTTTTACTATCATGAAACTGGCTGGCACTACTTATTCAAACTTTACTTTCAATGACTGAACTGTTCAGCTAGCCTGTTGTTTATTTTCCTGTACAGACTGCCTAATTTTGCACTGTTCTAAAGACTTAAAAGAGGAAATATCTGTAATGACCCTGGGTGTCTCCTTCTGGGTTTGTTTTCACGAGGCAGCTTGCAGACAGAACTCTGATGATAACCTCTGTATCAGGTGTACCTAATGATGTTCTTTGTCAAACTGGCACAGTTTCTCTCTTCTCAAGTACTCTAATGTGTGAAAGGTGTGATTGCCAAATACATTAAACCCCATGCCAATAAGCCACAATCTCACACCATCAAATCATGATTTTTTTTGATGCAAGTGAAAGTAGAACTTAATCTTAAAGCCTAACTGAAGCTAGTCTGGAACAGATAGTATTTAGCTCTTTCCCCACAGATACAATCATGGTGCTATTACCTTTGCTGAACAGAAGAGCTATCCAAGTTCAAATTGGTGTTTTAAAGAAAAAAATGTTGGTTTGGGGTTGACTGGGTAGGAAATAGGTTACTTGATTTGACTGGATTCAAGTGAATGCTCTAAGTCCTCCAGACTGATTTCCCTTCAACCTTTCAATGAATTCTCTGAAGAAGTTGCATCGTATTTCACTTGACACAAATCTTCCAGTCAGCATCAATGCTCAGGGCTAAATTTTCCAGCATCAGCACAGAGGTCTTCGTATCGTATGTGAAAACCACTTCTTTTTCTTTCCCATCTGAACAGGACGAGAGAGTTTACTGTATTGATTTAGGTAAACACTTTTGAAACACAACTATGCATGACTCCTTCCAGTTTCCAATTCAGACTCCCTGCCACTGGTGAAAAGGACTGAATACAAAAGAAATAGTAGTTAAATCATTGACTTATGGTCCATCAGTTTTCCTACAACTATTCAAAGAATTTTCTGCAAAAGTTAAGCCTTGTTTGAACATAGTTGTTACTTCAAGCACCCTAAATGTCCTAAGTTTGACAGGTAGAGGTAGGAAACCCATATCCATGATTTGCACGGTGAAGGGATATGTTTGGAAAGCAGCCAGAAGAGAAAAGCCCTTTTTCTAAATGCTGCTGTCTATACATGTAGGATCCCTCACAACTTCTAGAGATCCCCATAAATTAAAGATGTCCAAGAGCTTTTGAATAAACAAAGTGAAGAGAAAAGTAATTTGTTCTTTGTCTGCAAATTTCCTGGTTTTGACTATTATGCAGGTTTATAGATCTTATCTGTACCTGGACTGACTGACTGGTTTTTCAATCAAAATGCTATTTTTGGTCGTATTCTGTGTAGTACAACTATCAGAACTTGGTAATTCTGCAGCACATCTACTGGTACATTCACTGCCTTACAAAACAAGTGTTCTTCAGGTCTGCATGTAATATTAGTAGTGATTAGCTAATGGATAATTTAACTATATTCTGTCCTTGCTACCCAAGCAGCAGTACATAAACAAAGATGTTCCCTGTGCTATAGCAGTTTCTTTGCAGAGCTGTCAGTTTGTCACCTCTAATGAATGGCAGCGGTATAACAGTATTTTGAATAATTGTAGTAAAATGAAAGTCAATGCATTACCCTTGGAACAGACTGATACAGAAGTGGGTTGTTGTCCAACTCCCAGAAATACCACCCGTTCAACTACACATGTGGTGTGGTATTGTCCACTTTCGCACATGCAGCTGAAAAGAAGAAAATTATTTAATATAGTTTCTGTCCATCAGTAGAAGTTCAGTATCACACTGAAAAAATACTGTGTTAGTCTCATCCTGAAAGTTCCCTAAACAGGTTTCCATTCCTCTATTTACATTTATCCTGAAAAAAAGTAAAATTTTTCTCCCATTATCAGCTATTTTTTGACTGCACGGCAGATTTCACAAAGTTAGAAGGGGAAAACAAAGTTTGAGAAGTTTTGTGGCAAAAGCTGCAGCTTTGACACCCAGAAACATTCTAGATTTCTGTAAAATGGTAGTAGAAAACCCTAAATATAAATGTAATCTTTATTTTAATTTTGCAAGTAAAATGTTCCAGTCTTAAACAAAATTAAATTTCATTTTGCAACTAATATAATTTCATGTATTTGTATTTATTATAAAGCTCTAAAAAAAGCCCTCATATCCAAATTAAACTAAAATTTTCCTTTTGGGGGAAACAATGTTATATCATTCATTTAAATTACTTTATTTTGGCAACTCTTAGATTTTATAGTAGTTTAGCAACAATCTTTCATTTCTATCCTGAATTTTGAAGATTTTCAGATTTCATTTAAGAGATGGGGATTTGGGAATGCTTTGGGATATGGGAATTTGAAGCATGCTTTTGGCTACATTATTTAATCTAATCTATACTTTTGCTCTGTGTTAAATTTTGTAGTCTGAGGACCACCGACTGTATATTTCTGAATCCTGAGGGAATAATGAAATGCCTTTATTATTTTTACACTTCACAGTGCTATTTATGCATGAGCAGCAGATTTCAGTAATAGAAGTGTGACAGTGGCATATTTAGGTTCTGTTTCCTTTCAAGTATTTAGTGATATTTTTGGAACTTCACTAAGCAACAGATAATACTAATATTTCCTGATTTGCAAGGCAGTCATAATGAACTGGAAAACGCATTTCCAGTGACAGTATGTTGAGTGGCTTTTGTCTGCATCAATTGATGTTACCTGGAAGACAAAATGTTCTTGTGGAAAGTGAATTTCCGGTACAGGAACTGCTTCTTGTGGAGGTACTGAAATGAATGTCCGTCATCTAGGTAGAGCTCACCTATTGCACGGGCCTGTGAAACACGCCAGATAGAGTCCAAATTAACAGCAGCTTCTAGGGGTAGACAATAAAACATTTAAAAAGAAAAAGTCTCACTACATGTTATTAATGTGGGTGTCAGATGTCACTTTATTCATTAGAAAGGACAGTTGTGGGAAGTTCTGTGTATATGTCCAAGAAATTTGTGGCTTGCCAATTCTCTGTTTCTTCTTCTAAGGGAATTGCAGAGGCCTGAGAAAGGTCAGAAAAATGCTTTACCTGTGCTACACTCTGATACTTTTACTCTGAGGAAACAGTGGTAGGGAGGTGTGAGGCCCCTGACAATAAAGAACAGTAGAGGAGAGCCACTGGAAATCCAGATGCAGTTACCACTATGCTCATTGAACAGAGAACAAGCACCTAAAAAAAGCATAAATGCAGTAAAAGACAACTTTGTAAAGGGAATATCACTTCCAAGTACCTCTGTGTCCAGGGCCACATGGAGTTCATAAGAAACATCTATCATCCATTCAGTGGATTTTCCAGCTGTAGTCTTAAGAGGTATCACAGTGCCTCCTCGCTGGAATACAGGAATCTGCCAAAAACAAGGCCAGGGTAGAAAGGTTCACATCCTCTTAATTGTATAATTTCAACTGAGAACAGGGAAAACTTAAGTTATTTCGTATCAAACCTCAGATATAAAATTTTACTGCAAGCACATAAAGAAAACTATTTAATTAACATACGTTGTCCAGTGTTACTGGGATCTTCAGAGTGCCTGGATCTTCCATTCGTATAAATGTTCTGAAATCATACCAAATCTAAGAAAAATGAAAAAAGAATGAGCACAACATATATGGCAGGATCTAGAAATGCTGAGGTCCAGAATGAGCATATTTATCTTGAAGTAAATAATAACAATGAAGTTGTTAATAAGTCACAAGAAAGAGCGACACCTGAAACTTCCCACGCACTGCTCTTGCAAGCAGGTTTAACTACTTTAGGTATGGCAGACACTGAATTCCCACAGAGATATTGATAAAATTATTTTTCTTAGCATGTTTGGAGAGCCTTATCTGTTTTTCTCCTTAAATTCAAGAAAGAATTGTTAGTATCTTCTGGTGCACTGGTGGAGTCACAAAGCTTTGCATGGTCTTTAGCATTCTCCTTTACTTCTGTCTTTCCTCTCATTTGCCTCTAGAGATGAAACTCAAGCTTTCCCTTTGGAACTATTTTCCTGAAATTCCTTCTCTTCCTTCACCTCTCAGCTGCTGCAGACAAATGGTCTGTGTAGAAGTGGATTACAGTGCCATCCTGTGGATTAATAACTCAGTTTCAGAGAGGAACTGATCTCTACATGTCAGTGTCTGCTATGCACATCCCAGGCTACTGAAGCTTGTATCTCCTTGTTATAATTTTTCCCTTCTTCAGCTTCCCCCTGGTTTCCTTAAGACCTTCCTTCAAACAACCCTCTTCTTCCATGTGAAAAGACAAGATCAACCCTATGTGAAACACATGAGAAAAGAAAAGGAATTGATAATTAATTGATAATTTAGTGAGTTTTTTTTTTTTGGTGTTTCATGAGAAGCAGTGAGCCTTGAGGGGAGATACAAATTATAGACCTGAGATCTGTGCATAGAAGAGCTTGGAAGAGCACAGGTGTAAATTTACTGTGAGGTATCAAGATGTAAGGAAGGCTGAGTGACACAGGATGGCTAACACTCAGCACAGTGGCAGCGTGCAGCAATTATGAGGTGGGGAGCTGGGAGGTTGCCATATAAAACACTTGTGTGGGCTGAGCAGCTTTGTATGATCCTCACCTCCTCTGACCCTGGAAGCAGAACACTCACTGCCTTGGCCTCTTTGTCCGTGACTGGATGCACCAACAGAGCATTTCCTGGAGTAAAAGATAAACATGGCAATGAGTGACTGCTGTGGTTCTCAAAGCTGCGTCTCATCACAGCAGCAGCACTGTGGTCTGGTGTTGCCTTGTCAACCTCCCAAAGCCATTTTAAGGGCTTGCTTGAGGCCGGCATGTGCTTATGTTCACTTTGTACTGAGAAAAAAAGGCATGTGTGAGGAGCTCGTGATTGCTCAGTCTCATTCTGTTATGGTACCGTAATGCAGCTGGGCTGTATTGCTCACCCACCCACACCTGCTTACCTAGCATATACTCATTTTCCACACCAAAAGTTTCTAATTTCCCTGGAAACTCTACCCAGAGAGGCCTGCAGAAAGACAGACAGTGGAATTCAGTTAGTTTCTCTTCTCCCACCACCTTGTTCAAGACCTTCTGGCATTTTTAGGTTCCATTTTTTTCACTCTCCTTACAGCTATCAAGAACTGAAGATAAAGTAACATCCTCTTCTGTGCCTTAAAGTACCACTTCTAAGTCACTGATGAGATTTACCAGTACAATACAGGCTATGGCACTCCTATATGTCCACTGTTTAGCGCCCTAAACCCTCGCTTTCTTCCTTCCTGCCTTTTTCCCTATGAACTTGCACTACAGATGCCTTCCCTCTAGCAAAGGAGAGATGGATGTGCCTTTCTATCAAAGTTGACCAACAATGCTGAAACCTGATGAGCTAGTCCCTGACTAGTCCTTCCTGTTCTCAGAAGCTCACTACTGCTTTTGCAGTATGTCTCCTGTCACAGACTGGGTAACCTCCACCAGAAGTTCAACTTCTTCTGTTCTCAAAAAAGGGAAGTGCAATAGGTGCCCAATAGGTGTCATATATTTAAAGTTTGAGATAGTATAAGAAAAACAGCTCATTCAAATTACAGTCTGCAGCAATTCTCCAGGTTTCCTTATAAAGAAAGCCTGGCTCACCCACTTACTTACAGACCTTCACTTGTTCACTGTAGCCTTGTTGGTCATGTGGGTGCTAATGAGACACATTTTCCACTGTGTCTGTGAGAAAAATACCATGCTTCCTCTTTAGTTCTGTACCTACTGCAGTAAATTTAACATATTCAAGGCTTTATTTACATTGTGGGCAGTACACATCAATGCCAGCTTCATTTGAAGGCTTGCAGAAAGGAATAAAACAGAATGTAGACATTTTTGTGCTTTTTCTTTCTTTTTTACTATTTAAATAAGTAATCACAAATGTAAGAGAGAGTAATTCAGTAATTTAAGTCCTTCATCTAAGTAACTTCCTGAGGATAATCACTAAACCTCCTGACTTAAGTGCTTACCTCATAACTGGTTCAGCCACTGTGTGTGCCCGATAGAACAGTGTGTATAAGTATGGCAGGAGGACGTAGCGCTCTCTAATGGCTTCCCTGATGATCTGGGTGTTCTTCTCCCCAAAGAGCCACGGTTCTCGCCGTTTGCTCTCCATGTTAGAGTGACCTCTGAAGAAGGGCTGGTAGGCTCCAGCCTGGTACCATCGAACAAGCAATTCTGGTTCTGGGTCTCCAATGAACCCTCCCACATCAGCTAGATATTGCGCAGACAGATAAAAATACACATTTTTGGAAATTATTCTGAAAAACTCGAAGATCTCCTCTAACAAACATTCCAAGGATATAAATTCATGAATTTCAGTGTACTTGCAGTTCTGCTGTTGAGTTACTGCTTGTCCAATCAAGAGCAGATAATGGAGGTAATAAGTTATCCTTTAATAAAAATATCAAGACCTTTTGGAGGCTGAGTGCCTTCCCCTGTGGCAGAGGACTGCAACACTGATACTGCAGACCATCACCTCGAGATTGTTGTTCCAGGACACAAACACTACAGAAGACTAAGAGGAGAAGTGATGGTGAGAGACAGGTTTTTAGCATCTGAAATCGTTTGTGAATCGTCTGTGAATCCAACTGGAAATGCTGTTGAGCTTTTCACTATCTGTGTTGAAGTCTGGTGGCACTAGCAGATTTTGTGTAGTGAGCAACTCCAACTAAACAGCTTACCTCCACAGAATGAAATCCCTGCCAGGCTGATGGTCAAAAGCATTGGAATGGAGATTTTCAAGTAACCCCACTCTGCTGTGTTGTCTCCAGTCCACACTGCCCCTGAAATTTACTCAGTCTCAGGCTTACACAGGAAATTCAGGTGTATGACTCAACTTATGCTTGCAGTTAAGGAAAGAAAACAGGGATGGTCATGAAAACTGGTGAACTGCTGTTCATTGCAACTTCTTTTTTTTTCCTTTATATGCATGCTCCTGAAATATCCAAAAACCATAGTGCTTTGTCCCAGGATAAGGATTGCTATTCTGACTTTAACTTGCACATGCTTTGCCAGCCCTTCCTCGTATTTTTTTAATCACTTGCACTTGTAGGATGTCACTATTCCAGTATTTCTAAGATATAGAAATATGTATCTGTCCTCTCTAGACTTAACTACTATATACCAAGCTCAAGAAAACAAACCAGAAGGAAAGCTAGTCCTTGCTTACCATACTTCTGTGACCCAGCAAAGAACGATCGTGTGAGAACAAATGGTCTTTCCTTTCCTGAAGATCGTTTGATGAGTCCTTCTGCAGTCGCCATTTGCTGAAAATCATGAATATAAAAGTCAGGAGGATGAGCTTTCCAATTAAAAAATTTGCAACGCTGCCTTTTTAGCCCTTCCTAGTCAGGAAAATTAAGAAATGAGTGCCCACAAATAACAGCTATTGTTAAACCAACACGTTCCTACTACAATATACTTGAACAACAACAAAATATTAATTTCGTGTAGTCACAGCCAATGTCATTACATTGTTACATTAGAGATGTATGGATATTGTCATACTATCTTGTGACAGAGACGTTTATTTCAAATACGGCAATACCTATTACAGCAGAATTTCATTCTGTAACCTGATGGAGGTTAGAGCATACCTATTACTGTTTAAATACAATCCTTATCACATTAGGCATACCCTGTAAGGGCAGATAATTGCTGGTCTGTGTCTCCAGATACTCTACCTGGTAGAATCCATAGAGGTTGTGCAATTCCCGGTGCTCCCAGTTCTTGTAGTGCACAGCATCTTTCTGCATTGTTAGCTCTGCTCCTTTGAAAACTGATGGCTCATTCATGTCATTCCACACAAAGAGGATATTAGTGGACCCCTATAGTACAGGGTTGCAGTTAGGACATAAGACAGGCATTGCTGAGACTTAAATCTCTATAGTGGGTGTCAGACCAGTCTGGGGTTTGAGTAGGAACAGCAGCAGCAAAGCAAGGTATGGTTATTATGCTACTGTGGTCACTTGAAAGCTGCCAGTCATTCCCCCCTTTTCTCTTGGTGGCTTTTGCGTTCAGGGTGGCAGTCTAAAAGCCCAGTTGATTTTTGTAGTTCTCATAAAACTCAACGGAGTTGCGAAGTCACCTGCTGTTCCCACCTTCTGGTAAGGGAGAAGAGGCAGAGAAGGCCAAAAGAGACGTAATAAATAGCCATGAAGGAAAAAAAAAAATAAATCAGAGGCCAGAAGAGAAAAACTGTAGAGGAAAAGCACCAGGGGAAATGCCAAGCAAGGTCTGTGAAGGGAGTGATTAGCTTTGCAGTAATGTTGAAGCAACCTTCAGTGGAGGGTGGGAGAAACTGGAGGTGTCTGGTAGCGTCCACCCAGGCACCTTCAGCACTGGGCCGAAGTGCTGAAAGGAATGTGAAGGAGATGTGACCATGAGCTACGACAGCACTCCCATCTCACTCCTTGTGTGTTGTCATGGTAGTAAAAACAGGTAATGCAGCAGTGGTGTTAGATGATGGGCTGCTAAAATGCCTGCACTGTCCATCCTACTGCTACAATTAAGTAAGCAGTTTCAGTGGCAGAGTACAGGGTCTAGCTTTCTCAGTGTAGACAAGTCCATGGAGAGAATCCTTCTATGGTATTTCAGTTTCTCACGATATTTTCATGTATGTTATGATAATACAACTACAAAATCCACCAACTTGCTTAGCCATTTTTTTTATCTTCTCTCTTTTAACCGTTTTTGGGCTTTCTGGAGCATGTAGATCAGAACAAATCAATACACACCTTGTATGTTTTGAAGGCAAATTGATCTGCATACCATTTTCGCACTTCAGGATTGGTGAAATCTAGGTAACAAGACGAACCTGTGGATGTGGGAGATCCTAGTTATTTAGCTGCTTTTAAGAGTATGTGTTGTCTTTGCACCTAAATATAGCAGCTTACAGCTAGAATGCTTTCCACAATAGGCAGCAATAACGTGGTTGATATTGTTTCTGAGACAAAAGCCCCAAAACAAATTCCAGGCCAACATGGAACTCAGTACACCTCTTGCCACTATCTGCAGATCAACACACGTAGGCTCTGGAGGTCTGAAGCTCAGCACCATTTCAGAATGAATGCCAGCTGTTTGAAAAATGTTTGGATGTTAGCAGGAAGCCAGGGAGAAACGGCACCCTTGGTGTTCTGAACTTGAAACAGGAAAGCGACATCGTGAAGCTGAATAACAACGTCCTGAGATGTATGAGTGAAAGACCAATTGTTGCAGTTATATGTTCATACATATGCACAGGGAGAATAAAATGGTAATACTTAAAATGGTAATAGTTAAAAACTGCCATGCTACTAGAAGTTGTAACATACCCTCGATTTTTTCTGTATTCATTGATGTTCCACAATGTTTGTGGGCTGTCTGGAAAGAACAAGGACACCCTCTACCAACTCACTCTGAGATAACCTCATGAAAAACAGCATGTCAAATCACTGTATTGTGATTGAATCAGTCTTCAGTTTCATGGTTCACTTAATTTTCACCCAACCTACAACAGCTGTGTTCAGTGCAACAGACCAGACTAGATTTATTTTAACAAGAACAAGTTTGAGAAGAGGGGATGGTTGTTCTGATCAAAACTTTTCTAGCTCTAGGCACTGGGACTATTTGTAGAGCCAACAGACACAACAAAGTTTTATGGCCGAGGCAGTTAAAACATGAATGTACAAAAGACAAACTAATCAAAAGTATTTGAAATTATGAATTAAAAAAAAAAAAAAAAAAAGCATTGTGAGAAATTAATTCTACCTTAATGGCTCCCAATTCTGCAAAATTTTTAAAATTAACAGCTTGAAATGCAGATCGAACAACTTTTTTTTTTTTTTTTTTTTTTTTACCTGGCCAACAGATGCCCTCAAAATCTTGTCCATTTCTGTCTTTCACAAAATATCCCTTGTCTTTTCCTTGTGAATACAGGGCATACATGGGATCCACTTTAATGTGGGGGTCTACAATGACGACAAGCTGCCAGGATAAGAAAATAAAGTGCATCATTAGCATCAACTCCAGTTAGTGAAACAGGGAAATTTAACTTTTGATACAAAGCAGATAAAGAGTTCATTTCAGGTAAAGAAGGTAGCTATGTCACTCATTTTAGAAAGCATTTACCTATGTTTGTATATCCTGCACTACACATATGTGTAACAGCTAATTTACAAGGAAGGCATGAATTCATACTTAGTCCCCTGAAATGTTTCAATTGAAATCTAATACCCCACTCCCTGAAAACACAATGTTTAATTCATGGCTATATTCTGTGAATGGGAAAACATACTTATTTGCCTTAAGACGTTTAAATATATCTTAGTTTGTATGACATACAACAACAACAGAAATTCCTACTGTTTTTAACATCCAAGTATTGTATTTTGCAGGTACCTTCTTCTGCCATTAACTGCCTTGCCCTAAAGCTGAGAAGGTACTAATAGCTCCAACTAAGAGACTATAAAGCTTGATGCTATTTCAACAGTTCCCCTGTTGGCAAACATCAAGCATTAAGCAATTCACAACTTTCAGATGTTAAACATATACATTAGAAAGAAAAACTGAAGCAAGGACAGCTGAAGGAAGGTTGGCATAGTGGTGAAAGCTCACATTACGTAGAAGGATTTTCTCCTTTGTTGATCAGCGACAGCACTGGGCTGCTTCTTTAAGATGGAGCTTCAAAGGGGTCAAACAGCCTGATGCTCAGGGTACTAAACTAACTATGAAACAATATAATGGCATGAAGAGGTGGATTAAAAAAAAAGCTTGCACATGAGAAGCATCACCAGACTGCAACACAATCTAATTTACTTTGTTAATTACACTGTTTCTAGTGTCTCAAGTACTTCGGTTAAGGCTGATTGGGTAACTTCACACTAAAAATTAGTATTTCATTCCTTCCTGATATATTATTTACCTTGCGTTTTTTCTTCCTGAGAAGTTCCTGCATCCTCTTGGGGTTCTGGAACTTCTTCTTGTCCCACGTAAAATACCTCTTCCCATCTGTGTGTTCTATGTCCAGCCATATCACATCGTATGGAATGTCATGTTCATCAAAACCTGCATCTACTGCCTTGACATCTTGCTCATCTTCATAATTCCAGCGGCACTGATGGTAGCCCAGAGAAAAAAGGGGAGGTAGGGCTTGAGTGCCTAGGAAGAGTATATGAATGAAGCTAACAGTGTTAATGCTTTTCAGAATTTCTTCTGAAGACTTTACAGAAAAGTTAACCCTCTCTTGAGTACATAATATTCCTTGGGGAATCTCCCAGGTAAATTTGTCATACCGACTGACTCCAATTATTTAAGTTAGTACCTGTCAGTTGTGCAAATTGTTTGAAGATATCAAATGCAGTTGGTCCCATCAGCAGGAAAACATCAATGATCCCACTTTCTGACATCCAGCGCACATCAGTTAGAGGCACTGCCCTCTGCTTAGCAGTATCTGCAGCAGATCCGGACTGTTTGTGCTTTAAAGGAAACCAAAGTAGAGCTGAATTCTTCTCTATCAAACTTTTGTTCATTAAAGGATCAAAGATGGAGACCCATGAAATTCTACCACTAAAACATATCTCGCAGGTATTAGAAAAACACAGTTTATTATATATTCTTAGCAAATCCTTTACCTTGCACACTGGTTATGTGAAATAAAGAGCAACAGTTAAAGATCACATAAAATGGTGAGGGGCAAGGTAATTAGAACTTTTCTGTGACTAGTTTCTAATAATTCATGAGTAATAAAGAAAAGGATCAATTTTAATCATGTAATCAAGTGTTGGAATAAAGCAAGATTTTTTCACTATTTCAGTTTTAGCATAATTCACATATTTGTGCTCAAGAGTTGATGTGATCTGTCTCCAGTGATGTTGCCATCTTGCTTTTGGCCCCAAGTTGTAGTGTTTTCTTTTGATATTAAATTCCGAGGAAAATAGGCAACTCTCACCTCAGCTACTGCCTTTGTATTAATATCCACCAGTGTTTCTGAAGAGTTCAGCCAGAAAATCCCTGAAGTTGTGTTAGGCTTGTGTGCTAAGAGAAGGGGCACTGAACCATAAATACCTATTTTTTCATGTATCTTGTGTCCGAAGATGTCCAAATTATAAAGCCGGTAGGCATCACCATCACTAGGACAAAGAAAAAGATGTATTTGTTAGATGTAAGCATCCTGAACCAGGCCAATTTTAGCTCTACTGTCATTCCACTGAACTCACTGAACACTCTGTATTATGGTCTTTTGTTTACCCTCCAGGCTGAAATGTGGACCTTCTATAATACTGCTTCTTTGCTTTGGTCCTACCTATCTCAATCAAGCAACATTTTGGCTGTCAGTGAGAATACTGCTCACTTATTCCAAGCCCTGAAATAAAAATTCTGAATTCTTCTGTCCCCCATGAAGTTGCTCTTTTAAGAATTCTGCTTAGATGTGACTAATTGTGCAATTCTGAATAAAGACAGCATAGAAATTTGATAGAGAACAAAAGGGGCCATTCATGAAATTGCAGAATGTAAAGCAGAACAACTCACTCCGCATGGACAGTTTATGACTCAGTTTGCTATATCATTAAAATAAAATATGGGATATAATATACATATTTCAAGCTGCTGTTTGTATTAAATCATTTACATGGTATTATAGCTCTCCTCTGCAATAATGCAATCTGCCAGCTTTACCTTGTGTTTTTGAGAAGTAGTGATTCTGCGTGTTGTGGTATTCCATAGACATGGTCAAATCCATGTAAAGAGAAGTCCACACCTACAGAACTTGGACCTGAGGTAATAACATTAAAAGAGAATAGCACAGAGTTCCATTCTTGGGCTTAGCTGAAACCAAGAAAGCATCACAACCTAATTGTAAAAAAATAAATTAAAAAGCAAATTTTAACAATTAGCTTTTTCAAACTTGTTTTCAACTTCTTTCATCATTAGTTATATACTGCAGAGGTAACATTTTCAACAGATTTTATTGTATTTCTTCCAGTTTTGATCTGCTTAAGATAAAACGAAAAAAAAAGAAAGAAAAAAAGGAAAAAAAAAAGCACGTAATAGTTCCTTTACTATGTAGTAAAACTGCTTAAAATGATCTCCTATTTCTATCCTAGCAACTACAAGCCAATCTTTGCAGCACAGTGGTACAGCAGAGTGAACATCAGAGTCAGAATTGCTTGTTTTCTACACTTTTCAGCTACAGGCAGTGGCTTCAGTATCAGAATCTTACCGCAGGGACTTTACTCCCTCAATACAGAGAAGCAGCAAAATCATGATGCTGGCCTAATATGTCAGATGCAGCATGAATAACGAGGGCAAAAGCTTCCTGCTTTTTTTCCTGTGTGTCTCAATGGTGAAGAGCAGAAACCTCTATCACCACAAGGAAGCTCTTTTAGACTTCCCTCTGCATACTGCAGCTGCTGAGCAGTGCCAGTTGCCACAGAAGGCTGCATGATAGAAGTAACAGACAAAGCTAACAGAATTAGTTAATGCAGAATGCAACTGGACAGGCAGCAAAGGGTCATGAGTTTTTGTAATTCATAATTTAAACTGTATTTGAGCTTCTGACTTCCAGGTATCTATCCCCTTCTTAGTGTCCCTTAAGACTGCTCAGTACTTTCCTTTGTAGTCCCCCACTTCAGAAGTTTCTCTGCAACAATTATTGCTTAGATACCATGATTTCTGATATGTCATCAGAATAAACATGTGAAATCAATGTTAATATATACAAAGCAGAAAACAACAAAAAGAAATAGTGTATTACATAGTAGTCAGCCAATGCAGATTAGTGTTACATTTGGAAATGGCAGTTAGCTGATGAAATGCGTCACAGATGAACAGAAATCTAATGATTATTTCCAGTGCTTCTGTCAGATTTGTTACCCACTGACACCTTACAGGCAAGTTAAAAGGTTTGAGTGAGACATCGATAAACATTAAGCAGCTAAACAGAAATATGAATGAATAAAGGTCAATACATGTACAAAGCAGTAAAGACATTTTCAGAACTAAATTGAGACTTACCATGAGCTTTGAAATCCAAGAAACTGCCAAATTTCTCTTGCCAGAGACCTAGATCCTCCTGTTTCTCCTATATAAACAGAAATAGCTAAGCCTGTAAGTGCAACTACTCACACCATGTACTAAGAAAAATGTCTTTATTCACATGAGATTCATGAATTGTTTTTTTTTTTTTTTTTTTTTTTTTTTTTTGTCAAATATGGATAATATAAATAAATCCAAAATGCAGTTCAGATTCTGCTGCAGCAGTGTGAATCCTCCAAAGCAAGAACACTCCTTGGCAGAATCCAGAGTTCAGATGCATGTATGCTGAAAGCAGCATAGCTTCTCCAGTTTTTAACAGGATGGTACAGTAAGCCATCTGCTCTACAGGAGGCTAAAATTGTCATGGGCATACCTCAGCCTCCTGAGAAAACTGGCATGTGCCTATATGCACTGCCAGGACCTGGCCTTTTTCCAGAGGGAATCTTACATCAGTACTAAGCATGGATGTATGTATAGGCATATCTTTGGACTGTTACAGAAGAGGTCTCTTTCTTTTGAAACTCTCTTTGCAAAGAAAAGGGAATTTGAAAATGACCAAATATCAACAGGAAACTCCTTGTTACATACGTAGTCCAAATTAAATGAGAGATCAAGAACAAAAGAGGGAAAAAAAAGTAAATAAAATGGCCATGGAAGACATTTTAAGCCAGATCTACGTGCTGATGCCTCCTACAGCCCTGGTAAAACACATACTGCTGTCTGAAATACCAGATCCTCTTTGAATTTCACTGAAAAAATTATTAGATTAAGAAAAAAATATATTTGATACATCTCATAAAGGAATAGCTGATGTGGGACTTTCAGTTACTATCATCTCTCATGTGAATGAAAGGCCCACAAAGCCCAAAGTGCACTGTAATACATTCCAATAGCGAAGAAAAAGAACTGCATTCTGGTGTCATGATAAAGATGAAGTCATGGCAATCTACTGTATATTATGTGCTGCATGTTAGTTTGGCTGTTTGTAAGAACAGTACCAGAAGAAATCACAAATGTGATTCTGTTTAATCAATTCTCGTTTCTACAAAATATTAATGATGGAATTGGAGTAAGCATAGGCTACCTTAGAAGAATCACTTGCTGCCTCCTCGTTTTCTGCTGTAGATTTTCTAGTGAAAACAAATATATAAAAAATAATCAGTTTATTGTTAACATATGGAAGGATTTAAAATAGAAAATCCATATAGCATTATGCATTCACTTACATATTATATAAGTGCTTTAGAATCACAGACTCATCTATATTGGAAAAGAGTTTCAAAATTATCAAGTCCAACCATCTACCTGACCTATCATTAAACCACGTCCCTTAGCGCAATGTCCACACAACTAAAAAATATCTCCAGGGATGGTGACTCCGCCACTTCCCTGGGCAGCCTTTTCCAATGCTTGACCACCTTCTCTATGAAGAAATTCTCCCAAATACCCAATCTAAGCCTCCCCTGAAAAAAACTGAGATTGTTTCCTTGTGTCCTAAGGTGCCAGACTACTCTGAAAACTGATGTAATTGTAGAGAGCTCTGATTGGCAAATCATTTTAATATTTGATGTCCTAAAATAGCCTTCACTCTACACTTGAATTAAATTCATCCTTTCAGATTCCACATTTATTTCTATCTGTGCCAGCATTTTACCCACTCAGAAGATCCTCATGTCTTTGTTCTCTATTAAAGGCTCTCTGTTAATTAATTTTTTTCAAGTAATTCTTTCTATGAGAAACATACTTGCTATGCCTGTTTCCTAGCCATGACATGGTCTGCTTTGTAAATTCTCATTCTTCCAGCACTTTGCAGTGGGACTGATCTGCAAGCTCATATATAGCATATTGTAACTTACTCGAAGAGCTTATATGGTGAACAAAACTTACCTGAAGAGTAAGTTTACTCACAAAATGAGGCAAAACTAAGAACCTTATCATATTACTGTCGTTCACTCCCCAAAAGACAAGGGGAACATGACACTTTAGTTTATTAAAGAATTGGCTAATAACTTAGGTTAGCATGAGCATATGTCCGCTGTAAGGGATTCAAAGAGTCTGCAGTTAATTGATTTAGACATTCTTTTTTAAAACTTCACTAGCATACTTACTGGCACGAAGTAATAGAGAAGACAGATTTCAATATGTGGGAGTTTCTATCACAAAAATTGCTATTCCAATATAATTGTTTATTTTCAGCTACAGCTCAATTACCAAATGGTGGGATAGACAGGTACTGTACCTATCACTAGGAGGTGGTTGGAGGTGCTCAAAATATAACAACCCATTGGAATTCATGCTCAGAACAGTCTCACCCTTGGAGTGTAGCTCAACCTGGAAGGGGTTTGCTGTGACTTGAAGCGTGTAGTCCTTATTAACACTTGTCAGCACCAAAATACCTGCCTCCTTCTGGGATACAGAGAGTCTGACAAAAGAAAAGCAACAACAGTTTTATATGAATCAGCAGCATGTGAAATCCACTGTAACTAAATGCAATCTGAAACAAAAGATAGGCTAAGACTGCGTACATTACAAAACCTCAAGGCTTGTGCTGAGGTGATGAACCCCAGAAATACATGCTGGGTTCAGGCTTCAATGCACAGTGCAACAGGTGGACGCAGAACTACCATGAAAACTACCCGGAGTTTGCATTCCTTTCACATCAGTATGTAATGCATTTAGTAAAAATGATGCAGTGTAACAAGTAGACTATTTTTCAGTTTAGTCAAACAGCCTCACGTTTCTAATATATATGACAAAATTTTCTCCTATGTAGTTAACATGAATTTTTGAAAGCAAATTAACCATGTACTTTTTTATTTTCTCTTCCTGTAACAACTTTACAACATGGAGAGTCAACTTTAGTGTGGTGCAAATGAGGGAAAAGGCAAAACAACCTTGCAAATGAAGCTGTAAGTTACTAAGTAAGGTGCTAAATCATTGTCCCTTCACTTACCTCTGGGTGGTAGGTTCCTTTATAAGAACATCAGGAACTTCATATCTTGCTCTGAGAGGAGCTGCCTCATTAATTTTAATCCTAAAAATATTGCCTTCTATTTCATATATTTCTACTTGTAGAAGAACCTGGGAGCAAACACAGATAAACTGGTAATGATAAAAAACATCAACTTACTTTTCAACTTAACATCATCAGACACTTTCCGTCTGGAAAAAAGCACTCATGCCTGCTTTCTGATTTAATGTTCTTTAGTACTACAAAATAACAGTCACCATCCACCTAATTTACACCAGCTAAGTCTGCTTTGCTGCTTTGACGAGCAACTGTTTTAAAGTGGATTCTTTATCTTCATGCCTAAAATATTTGCAGCTCTCCCCACAAGTAACAAGGAAAACAGGGATAGTACACAATAACCTTGAAGTTTGGGTAATTTTAGTACTGTGGTGTAAATGTAAGAGCATGATACTACTGAGATGTGGGCTTTTTGTAAAAGCATCAGTGCTCTGTGTTCACTGGTATTCACAATGGTACTTGGACTGATGACCCATGTCAGAAAGACACCTGAAGAAAAACGGATGATACTGCTCTACTCATAAAGACGTGTAACTAGCTATTTTACACTTCAGGGAACTGTAAACTCACTTTGTTCTAGCTCACACAAAATGACTCATTTTTATTCTGTGGAGAATCTCTATGCAAGAAATCAGATATTATTTTTTTTTCGCACTTCTGTTTTTTTCACTTTCTGAATCTTTTCTCCCATGAGACACAAAAATTGGATGAAGAATTTCGGCCTGCTATCTTTTCCTTTTACCTGGGAGCTAATCAGTACCACTCTCTTCAAAGACATGAAAGAATGAAAGTGCCATAAGACTAGATGGAGGGTAGGCAAGGCAGAAAAAATGATTTGGAGTTCCAGATTCTGCTTCTTAGGATACACTTCATATTATGCCATCTTTGAATAAACTCCCAGTCTACAGAACTGCAGGGTCTTCAGTCTTTCACCTACGTTAAGATCTAGGTGAAAAAAAAAAAAAAAAAAAGACTCCTTTTTCTATGCTGACTTCAAAGGTCAGATTCAACACTGAAGGCAGATAATACATTCATACACATTACCTGCGTAATGCGATGCTTAGAGCATGGAATGGGGAGAGCTGCCATTCCAAACTCCCATAATCTGAGGATGGTTTATGTTGCCTTTTCCCTGAGTATGCTAGCTGGTATTCTGTCAAATTAGAGAAATGGAAGATATCCCTCTTCCTGGATCTCTTTTTATATATGAATAATTTGATAGGTGAGAAAGACTTTTTTCCTACAAGGTTGCCATTCATCAATTATGGGAATACAAAGGTATGCTTGAGAGGTGTTGAAACATGTGTCTTCTTATTCCGTTATGGAAAAATGATTTATTATTTTGGAATAGTGGGGAAAACCTGAATTAAAAACATTTTTTTCACATAAAAAGAGTCGATTTAGATTTTTAATAAAGTCAGCACAGATTTTTTTTTTAAGTTCCTTAAAATGTCCTCCTTAAAATGTCCCTTTTTCTTGCTCAGTCTCAAGTTGTCAAATAAATACTGACTAGTAAGGACATCTTTAGGCTGATACTTTGCATCATAAGTACCTACCACTGAAGTATCTCAAAACTTTCTGCAAGCATTATCAGACCTGGTGATAATATTCACTGCTCTTTCTTATACTAGGTAAGATCTCACCTTATTCTCCTCATGAATAATTTGGAATTTGACATTCTCATCACTTAATGTGACTGAATCCAGCAATGCTCGATACAAGGATTTTCCAGGACGTAGAAGTTTCTGACGCCTGACAAGACAGAGAATTGTTTTTAGTCTCCCTACTTGTGGCTTATATCACACACAGGGACATAATACTAAGTTGGAAATATTTACTAATCATTTGTCTTGAATTTTTTCAAACAATTTTTATTAGTGCTTCAAGTAAAGGGGAAAAAGAGGGAATATAATTCTAAGCAAACATGTATATAAATGAGATGGAAAATAGGGGGGCCTGGTCAACCAACACCATACCAAAAATCATTTTTTAAATAACAGGATAAATTCAAGTGACCAACTAAAATCAAAGTTGCCCAGTTACATTTCACTTCTTTCCAGAACTCCATAAATTTCATCGGAATAATCCATTTTTTATTTTGTGTTACATACAGTAATGTTTGGTTTCCAAACCTCCAGTTAACAGCTTCTACATTCTGTAGTGATGAAGCAATACATATTTGTAATTTGTAAGCTCCTGGATATACACTGAGGAAATTGATTTTCAAGGGATACTCACGTATCTACTGACCTAAGAAGGCTCTCTGCTTTGCAAGACCCAGTGCTTGAGCTGCTAAAATGAAAGCAGGAACTGAACAAGGAGAGTGGCCAGTCTGGATGGGCTGCTACAGAGTTTTAACTGCAGTTTTTGGTCCTGATGATGTTTTTAGGACAGAGACCCTGAAATAAAGGCTCTGTCAACTGTTTGGAGAATTCTCCTTGTGGAGCCCAGGTTTTTAAACTGTTTGAAGATGGGTGTCCTCGAAGGGATGCTTCTTTATCAATAAACTGACTTGGTTTACTTGCAAACAGACATTATGCAGATGTGAGCAATCACGCAAAGGATTTAGTTTAAAAGTAGAGCAGAAACATGATCTGAGGCTTGCCACTGTGCAGTAACTTCCTGTCAAGAAATTAGATGTCTTAAGTTAAAACGGTGATAGGTGAGAGAGGGCTGATGTGAAAAGATGTCTTGCTCCCATTGGCAAAATATTATCTGGAACTTCAGAACATAATTTCCTGAAGAACGGAATTGGGTAGTTGAAACTATAACCCTGTATGTCAGAGGCTAATCGGTGTAACACTGGGCAACCATTTGTTTTACCTAGGCAACATTAGACAGGATACAATGGAGGTGAGATTCTACCTTTTAAAATATGCTGGCCGGTTAGTGGAATGCTCACTTTGAAAGGAACATCCTGAAAGTAGCACAGTCGTTGTGATTAAAAATCAATGTGAAACTACTTCCTGTAACTTTTAAGAGTTGTCAAAACCAAAAACCCTACACTACAATTCTTCTCTTTACCTGTAAAAAGCAATCTGGTTGCATTCCTTAAAGTTGCTTTTGTCCACAGCTTCATCTTGAACACTGGAAAGAGCAGAAAACATTTACATGTGTTCAGAAACCACCTGTTGACAGATCAGATGATGGGTGTCTCCCTCTAGAGTGGTGAGGATTAAATAGAGTGGAGACAACCATGACATAAAACGTGTTGGACTCTGAACTACTGTGTTTGGATATAGGAAAAATTTGTATGCATTTAGGTCAAAGCTAAGCCACTTCCTTTTAAAGTGATAATTTTGACAGCCAGTTGGATCTGTGACTAACAGAGATGAATTTCTGCATAAGTGAATTCTTGGGGCTTTGCATTTTGAAGCAAGTTCTCTCTCTGCAGTCCTTAAACATTATGTTCCAGCAATAAAAATTGACAGGATGGCAGAAAAGGAGGAATCCTGCGTCCCTCTTCTGCCTGCAGTGGGACTAGCGAAGAGGAGGCTTCTGTTGGCTCTACCAACAGCTCTGTGTTATCTGGGGACTTGAGAGAACTTCTGGATGTATTAGAAAACAGTAAATTTTTGGCCTGCCTGAAAACATTGGACTGCCAATAGCGCCTGTCATCAGCACGTTTCCCCTACCATACCGAGTTCAGCCACGCATGGAAGAGCATTAGGTTTTATTTAGTCCTGCCAAACGAAGAGCTGACGCTCACAGGACGCTAATTACACACACAAACACCACACACAGACGCAGAGGGCAGCCGTCGGGTGACAGCAGCAGCTCACCGAGCACTCACAGCCCCGGGGGACCTCCCCGAACCCCTCCCCCTCCCCCCCGTTCCGGCCACGTCCCCGGCCCCCTCCCGTCAGCTGAAGGCCCCGCGCAGCCGGGGGCGGCTCGGCCACGTCCCACCGGCGGCCGGCTCCGGGCCCTCCGCTGCGTGCAGCCGGCCCGGCACAACCGGGAGCGAGCAGCGGGCCGGCCGGGGAGCCGTTAGCGGGCAGCGTTACCTGGCTTCCCCCGGCACCGCCGCCTCCATCGCGGCTGCTGCAGCCGGAGGGGCGGCAGCGGAGGCCGGGCTTCCCCGGGGGTGCCCTGCGAAGCGGAGGGGATCGGAGGCCGGGCAGCGGCTGCTCCGCCCCCCCCCCCCCTTGCCGGCGCCGCTCCCTCTCGCCCACGACGGCGGCGTGGCCCCGAGAGGAGCGGAAGAGGCGCGGCCACGGGCTCCGTGCGGCGGGATGGCGGCGGCGGCGGCGCCGCGGTGCGGGGAGCGGCGGCGGCCTGAGGCCGGCGTGCTGCGGCTGCTGGCGCTGCTGCTGCTGGCGGGCGCGGCGGGCGCCGGGCAGCTCTCCAAATGGCGGGTGCCCGTGCCCATGGTGAGTGCGCGGAGGGCGGCCGGGGCGCGGCCTGGCCTGCCCGCAGCCTCGCGGCTCCGGCCCGGGCTCAGGGGCTGGTGCCGGGCCCTTCGGCCGCACGGGGAGAGGAGGCCGCGGCGGGAGGCCGAGGGGGGGGGACCCCGTCGTCGAGGCGAGCCGGGGCCTGGCCCCGGGACACCTCAGCTGCGCTGAGGGGGCTGCGGCCGCCAGGGAGGACTTCCAGCGCCTCTCTAGCTGCCGTGCCTGTTGGAAAATACGGGGAGAAGCTCTTCTATCTGGCGTTTAACTCGCGTTTATCGGGCTGTGGGAGGGAGTGGTGGGTGTTTTCTGGGAGACTCTTGAGCTTCGGGAAGGAGCTGAAAGGACTGGGACTGGCGCTCCGGTTGCTTCTAAGAAGGGAGTTTGCTTGCTTGGATAAAGTCTAGGCCTTATCAACAAGGAAGCGCAAATCGGTTTAATAAGGGGTGGTAAACTAATTCGGGCTTGCAGAACCAAAAAAAAAAAAAAAGCTTGTCAAGCTCTCTTTAAAAGTAGATTGAAGGGGTGATGAAGCATGACCGGAAAATCCAGTAATGCCGGCTCCTAATTGGTATTCACTTTCATTTTTGCATTAAGTTAAAACTCTGAGGGAAAATGGCATTTAAATTGGATGACATTAAGCCCGCTAATGTCTCCTCCTCTTTTTGCCTTTCCAGGGGAAGAAGTTTTTTAACTTTGGGAAGATTCTCTTCAGCAACACCACCATTTTCCTGAGATGTAAGTGCTCCCAGGGCATTAACCTGCTCGTGTCGCTGTTAGATACAGTCCTTACTTTGCATTTTGGACTTAAAAGACTGTGAAGTGTTTAACAACACTTGCTGCAATGACAGCTCACCTCCTAGCACTGGATGAAAGCCACAGGTCTGATATGGTTGGGTTCAATAACAGCCTTTGATGTTCCCAGCTGTGGTATCTTTTGGCTGCAGTGGAAGTGGATTGTTGTGTTTGTCCTGTGTGTGGAAAGGGTGAGATGGGCAATGCGCGTACTGGTTCGTTTCAGGTCAAAGGTTATGAGGTGTGGGATGTGCTGAGCCCTGCAGTAAGGTGTGCTGTGTTGCCCCAGTGGGAAGTCTTGGCCCTGACTGGGTGACTGAAGCCAGTGTTTTTGAGGCCCTGTTCCTTTTTTTTTAGGTGGACACCTCTGGCAGTTGTAAGGAAGTGACATTGGATGTTATGACAGGTCTCCTGAGAGCCATTTTCTCTTCCTGATCACAGTGTGTGTGAGTGAGCTACAGAGAAAATATCTTTGCAGCCCTCACGTTTTTTTGTTGTCTTGCTGTTTTCTGATGTGACTGGGGTTATGGGCTATGTAGGTCAGTGCACTAAGGAGTGTCTGTAAAATAGCCAATGATCTGTAAACTTGAAGACATTGCTGAGGTGGCAACTAGATGACAAAGGTGACTTGTGGAAGTGACTGATTTCTAATGGCTAGAATCTTTGCCATGTGCTGTGAGCACTTCTAAGGGGTTGTTTGCACTAGTTGTTACCACTGATCAGGGGGACAAGCTCTTGCTCTCATGATGTGAATTGGGTGGTTATACAGGTACAGCGTCTGTGTATGGCTTTCTGCATTTGTGTTAAATGAGGAAATAAGCCACTTTAAAAAACAATTAGTAGGATCTGTGCTTTTGTTGCTTTAATACGTAGTTACTGCAGTGATTAATTTTCTCAGTTATGAGGAAAGCAAGGTGGTAGGATTGACTGATGCTTCTTGGTAAAATTGCATATTTCTATGCTCTGTTATGTTTACTATGCTTACTATATAGATTTTCAGGTTTAATTTTGGATGCCTGCCCATTTTAGGACTGTTTCAAAGGGAGCTTGTTAAAGTGTCTCCATTAATCTCATAGGAATCTGAAATAGGAGGCTAGTATTAAGGTGGTTATTAGTGAAGGATTAGGGTTTTCCCACTTTCCGAGTATAGCTCAAATGCTGAGTTTCACAGCTTGCATCAAGACAGCTGCAAATCTGATGCTTGGGGGGAAAAGGAAGTGGTTTTCAAAGGGTATCTGGAAGTTTGGTAGGGATTTTTTCAGCATGCTCATACTAATATGGTATGTGAGACTTGCAGTAATGTGTGATAAGTCTAATCATGAGGGGTACAACTGAAATAACCAAGAGAAGGAAGGAATCAAGGCATGCAGAAAATAGATTGTGTTTGTTACAGGAGAGGTTTGTGGCAGATCTGGCAGTAAGAATTACATCTTCTGGCTCCTGGTGTAGACTTCAACTACATTCTGCTTGTCAGCCTTTGATCAGGGATTAAGCTTTAGAATTACCTGGGAAGATCTCTGTTTTACATACCAGTGTGATTAAAAAAACTTACATGAATTTAGAATAGCAACTGTATTTCCTCCTGCACTTTTTCTTTCCCCTTCTTGATTTTTATGGTGCATATTTTGTGTTGGTATCTAATGCTCTTTTTTTTTTTTTTTTTTTTTTGCTTTTGACTGGGAAAAATGCCACTGTTAAGTATTATCAGTAATGAATTTATTTTTATCTGCTACTTTTCTTAAGTGCTGTTCTTGAAGATACCTGGTTTCCTGTCTAGGATCATGGTGGAAACCCCGCTCTTGTCTATTAAATGAGGACTGTATTTGAGTTGAATATTGCTGGCTTTGCTTGAAAACAAAGGAACTTCGATTTCTTTGTTGCTGAGTTCAGTAAATGCCATGGGTGCCTCCTCTGTTTCTTAGAGTGCTTCTTCTCAGCATTTCTGTGGTGATTGCCTAGATTGATGCATTATTCTGTTTGTGGCCTGATTTGCCTTTAGTTGTGGTTGCTGCTTGCTGAATATAGTGCTTCAATAATCTGATCTATTTTTAATAGGTAAAAATGTGATTAAAATATATTTTTTAAATAACACTGTTTCTTTGTTGCACTGTTATGGGTTATTCCTCACTTGGTCAATTTTATCAGAACAGCCTTTGTCACCAAAGAATTTGCTATCAGCCCACGTTATTGTAGTGTTTATGTTGCCTCTTAGTTTCATTGTTTTGCCATATGCAGTATCTAGGGCTATGTGGAGAACATATGTCTTATTTGCATGTACGCCAGAAGGTGTCATAAGGAAACTGTTAGATTTTTCAGTGATTGCATCTTTGCATCTTTTTTTTTTTTTTTAATCTTTGGCGTTGGGGACCCAGTTGTTTGTAGCTCTATACGTAGGGCTACAGTTCCTTAGGTTTAGAAGTCATATGGCTTAAAGTCAGTTCCTGCTCCTTGGCAGGGTCTTCTAACTAGTTGGATATTTTTTTTCTCATTTGGTCAATAGAGAAATGTTCATTAAAAGTCCTCCACATGTAACAAACCTGTGGGTGTGTAGTCTGAGATAAACCTTCACTGTGAAGTTGTGGGGATTTATTAGCACTAGAAACATACTGTCAACTCATTGATTTTTGTTTTGCCATCTGTTGAGTGGCAAAACTGAAATATAATCATTAAATGGCTCTTCCAAGACTGAACAATCACTACTCATTTCGTTTACGTGTGAAGTTTACCTTCTCAACATCAAATTTTCTTCATCGGGCTTTAGTTTTGGTATGAGATATGAAACATTTTGTCATGATACTTGTTTCAGAAGTAGATAAAATCTTGTGTTTCATCTTCCATGTCTATTTGTCTTAATATCAAAATGGCAAAAGTTGCGTTATTGTGGTTTTAGGTAGCATTGCAGCTTTGACAGTGAGCTAATTTATGGATGGATTGTTTGTCTTTGTTTGTCTTTTGGGAGTGGGGGGTGGATGTTGACTTGCAAAACTTTACGTTTCCTTATACTGTCTTGGTGGTGTTATCAGTTTGTTTAGGTATTATTCAAATATTGGTGTATTTCAGTTATGTGCAAATCACCTTTAGTATTAACTTGTTCTTAGCTTTAGACACCTGCTATATCCCCCAAGTGTCTTAGAAAGGGAAATAATGTTGTGTATTGCGATCACTGGGAGTTCCTGTCATCTTGCTTGGTGTTTGCAGTTGCTGGGATATCCCTGGTTGTCTCAAGAAAAAAATAATTCCAAATGATCTTCAGCTCTTCAGTGGAGTTAATGCGATGTTGTAGTCAAATTCTGTTTTCCATATGCCTTTTTTTTTTTTTTTCACTGAACACTAGTGGATTATTTGAGGAGACTGTTTTTCTATTGTTTTACTTTTTGCATTTAAACTTAATTACAGTAGTTTGGCACAGAACAGAAGAATGTCATGGAAAGGTTGTCTTATATGTTTGTATCTTTTTAGTTGAAGGAGATGAGAAGGCTTGTGATCCCTCCCAGAGTTACAACGTTACTTGGTACTTAAGATACTCTGATTGCTACAATGAAGTCTTCAACTTTGGGGTAAGAATTGTGTGGAAAAACATGGGTTATGATTTTTAGCAGTTCTGGGGGTGAGTAAGCAGTTCTGGGGGTGAGAGGATTGGATATTTCTTGCTTGTGTCATGTTTGTTTGGTGGGCCTAAAGAGATGCATCTCTTTAGTAGTTTCTGTATCCGTGGGAAGAAGTTTCTGTATCAGTGGGAAGGTGATGAGAGAAGAATTGGTCTACAGCTGTCTGGAATTACTGACCTTTTTTGGGTTTTGAGTAAGGTAGAGGCATTTATCAGAATTATTCTAAAACCATATTTTGAAATAAGGACATCAACTCTAAACTGAAGTGGGTGAGTTTATCTGTTAGATGAGAACATTAATTACAGCAAATAGGAAAAAAAAAATTAAGATGCTTTATTCTTAATTCTGTTCTTTCCTGCATGCATATTATGAGTATTATTGACTTATACAAAATGTCTTTCAGTGTGTATAATGTCTCTCAAATGTGGTAGAACACATCTGTACTGTTTGTAATATATTTTTCTTATTTACTTAAAATATTAACTGTGACAGTGGTTAACTACTAGCCTGGCACAGTACTGAGACCTTTAATAGAATGATTTGGAGTTTGCTCATGTAGACTTGAGTTTGCACTGGCTGCTGCACCTCTCATGTAGGAGTACTGAGACTTATTTATTTTCGTTTGGGTATTAATACTTAATTCTTGTGTTTGTGTATATGTAATATATGAATAATATATAATATTTGTGTGTGTATATATATAGTATATATGAATATTTCATATATTTATATATGCATATATATAAACAAAAATATATGGAGGAAGAATAGTCATGCGTGGGCATGATGGCTTTTATCCTAATAAATTCTGCTCAGGAGTATATGCAGAGGGAAGATTTGGCACTTCCCAGGTCTTGCAGCTGCCTACTCAGATGAAACATTTGATATAATGGATGCCAATGTAAATTCTGTTCTGTGTTTGGCAGGAAGAACAGGCAGAGTACTATTTTGGGACTACATATGAAGAACATGCGGGTTGGTCCGGATACTATGCCACAGCTTCTCTACTGTTTCCAAATTGCTCTGAGCTCTTCAGGCCCCAGGTACGGGTAGAAATCTAATTCCACTCTGTTCTGTTGTACAATAATACAGAGAAGATGATAGTTCCTGTTAAGTGCATTATTAGCTTATGTGAGGACCTCTGAAGGTTTGAAAGTACTTTTTCCCTGTTTCTCTTTTGTCAGAGAAAAAGCCCTGCACTTTATAGCCCAGTGCTTCTTTCCATTTGTGGTTCTGTGTTCCATGTTCCTATTTCACTTAACACTAAGAATTGGCCTACAGAAGTCTACTGCTAGAAGAGGAGCGTGTGTCTCTGGCTACAGAGTGAATCTCTTACTGAAGTTAGGTCATTAAAGGACTGGGACTTTTGCTCAGATAATGGTTGTTTATAATAATAGAAATAAGTATGTTGCAAAATAGGTTATTTAACACTGATAATATTTAAAAAATGAAAAATAAGTAGTGCAAAAAGTAGCTGAAACAAATCAAATGGAAGAAACAAGAAAATGTGACATAATGTGCAAACATAGCCTCCAGGGAAGATATGTATCACCAGAGGAAGCCATGCAGTTATACTACTGACAGTGCCAATGTAATCGTCTGTTTTATGGTGTACTTAAGGATTCAAGGTAAAGTGGACAGCATTGTGCCTTTACTGAACTACTCCCCCTTTAGACAAAGGGGTGTGGATAATGAGTACTGCAAATTGTCTAAGTACTGAGTCTAGCATTTTTCTTAAAGAAAAATGTGTGCCTAAATGTGACTTGAAAAGGATTTTAATGATGTCTCTTGCAAGCCTCTAACTCCTTTGATATGTGAAGATGTCTTGAAAGGTGTTTTTTTTTTTTTTTTTAAATCTTTATGCTGCTTGCTTTTTGTCTTTAGTAATATGAGAAATTTCAGTTTTGTTTTTCTGTGGTTTTATAGAAAAGCTCGTGAGGGCTTATATGTGTAATGTGAACTGAGGCATCTACTTAACTGAATGTTCAAGTTGGTGAACATTTTTTTTGGTGAGCAGGTTTTTTTAAGTCTTTAAAAACCTCCAATTCCTTTTTGAAGTCTGCTGAAATTTTTAACAGAAGTTATTCTTCCCAGCTATTCATTTCTGAAGTTTGACATAAACATCTCCTTTTGGTTGTTCAGCTTTGTTTCTTGTGGTATAGCAATTTCATTAGATTTCAAGTCAGGAGATTTCAGTCATTAAATTTCAAATTCAGGAGAGTTGGCAGAATCTGGATCCCTAATAAGCACCCACTTGTCTAGGGACTTCTTTTTTTCCATAGACTGAGGTAGAAATCTTCAGATTTTGTTTCTGTCTGTGTAGATTTCATCTAGTGATGGAGATGGTCAACAGATTATTATTTTGAAAGAGAAATTAATTTTGCTGCTGTCATGTCCGGGAGTCTAGTTCTAAAAATAGAGACCTGTTGTCTGAGGGGGGGAAAAAAGCAACTCTCAAATTTCAGTATTATCTAAGTAGTAGTATTCCTTCCACAAATATAGTTGTTTGATTTAAAGAAATGAAAGCTATTCAATACTGCTCTTCTGATAATCCTTCCTTAAACTCAAATTTACTGCTCTGGTAAAGTAATGCCATATTAAACTGTAATGCCTATAAATGATGTACTTCTTTTTTTTGATCTTTCAGATTTTCTATAAAGAATTTGTTCATCCAGAGCCTCTCTCACCTGAGAAACAAGAGGTATGTTGGTTTTTTTTTTTTGATGAATGAGTGTAGGTGTGAAATAGAATTTTGACCTACCGATTTATCCTTTTTCTGTTTTTTTTTTTTTCTCTAAGGGTGTAAAAGATAAGAAGGAGAGCGCAGCAAATCACACAATGGTGGCAGATAAAATTGTATGTATATTGAATTTAAATGTAATGTGGAATCCAGCATTCTTTTTCTTATTATTTTTATATTTATTATTCTAGAGAAAACTACCAGTGTTTACAAGGATAGTAAAGTTGTGTGTGTTTGGTGTGGTGTGTGTGTGTTTTTGTTTTTTTTTGTTTTTGTTTATTTGGGGGTACGTATGTGAAGTAACGCAAACAATTCAAACTGATGGTATAAATCAAAAAATAAAATTCTTGCCAAAAAAAAGTAATTTAAAGTATGTAGAATATATTAGCTTTAAGGTAAGTAATCAGAGATATGATCTAAGTGATCGCTAATGGTCACTAATATTTAGGGGTTACATTTGTTTTCATCTTGGCCTAGTCAATCTTTTAAAATATTGTACCTAGCAAGTTGAATGATTTCTTTTGAGGTTTCAAATCTGTTAGTAGTTATATTATGTATTTTGATTGAGCCTTAGCCAGGAATTATCAACTTCACACTGCATTTCCTGGATGCCAACAAAGAAAATATGCTTAACTCCATTTGTACTAACAGGGCCATTTACCTTAAAGTTAAAATGTAAACGTGCGTGACTGTAGTAATAAGGAATCAATGCAGCAAGAGATGGATATATTTTAAAGGCAGAAGTAGTGTACAAAAATATATTTTCATTGAAGCTTAATATGTTTTTAACTAAGCATTTCAACTTCAGTCAATATTAGCGGTAACTTTTTTGATGCATAAAATGCTGTTTGCTTTAGGTCTTGTGGGCAGGAGGATTTGTAGTAGAAATGCATGGTTTTAATACTGACGTTCTCTTGGAGAGGCCATTATAAAGTCTTGTGCTACTTCTACAATGGTCTTGTAAGCAGTGTATGTCTAGGTAGTCTTAGTTTTAACCTTAACTTCTTATATTATTGCAGTTTTTGAGATGGCTGGAGCTTTCTCAGTTGTGGAACTAATGTTTTTGGGTACTGGAGCTCAAAATAAATCTCTTATTTTGTATTTTGTTTTATGGTGCAAATATTTAGTCTGGGCAAGCTTTCTCATTCTTAGTTTACTAGCAGGATTTGAATCTTACAGGTATGAGAGCTGTTGCAGATGCAGTAGTAGTTCCCACAGGAGATGAGTAATGTGGAATTATTTTACTTTTCTTCAACTACCTCTTTTATCTTACAGTAGAAAATTTAGTCATCAGAAAACCACTGTGTGCAGTTGTCCTGTTGCCAAACACTTACTTTCATGAGGCTAATAATAATCTCTGACAGTCCTAATATTTGTAGGTTGAAAACAAGGACTTGGATGCTTTGCTGAATTATTTGACCCTTTTATAGTACCTTTAAAGTGATTCTTGCAATAAGGCACTATTAAACTGGTAAATAAGCACTGATCACCTCTTGCCTTTTAATGATTCTTCTGGATTAAAATCTAGACTCTTTTAAAAATATTGTGTCAGACTAACTTTACAGTATTATGTCTCACAAGTGCATTCAGAAATTGCATATAAAATATATATTAAGAAGTTTTAGGCCTGGCAAGAGATGAATTTAATATTTTTACATGGAAAATATCACTCATTTATGGAGAACATGCTTTTATTGTTTTTGTTTGTTCCTTTTTTGGTGTGCTATCTACATGTAGACTTTTTATTTTCAGGAAATGAATGCTGTTATTAAAACTTGGCGAGATGGGCCATATATATTTATTGTACAAATTGGAGCTATATCTGCAAAAGATTCTACTACGAAAGTTAAAAGAACGGAGAAAACAACACCTTCCTCAAATGTCAAAGAGAAGCTCTTCACAAGTAAGATATCTATTTTTAACTTACTGTATAAATAGCTATTGCAGTTTTTGATGTCTGCCATTCTGCCTGTGTTCGAAGGTACTTCTTAATACATACTATCCAGTTCTTTATCATAAGACACTATCTTTTACTTTATATAGTTGTAAATAGTAGCTACCACAACTCTTCATCTTAAGAAAATAGGTGATTGCTAGTGTTTGGAAGATCCTACGGCTCTTAGTCTGTCAGTGTAATGATGGAAGTAAGGAAGAATCCTGAGTAGTTCAATTTTGAGGTTTGGTATTTAAATAATATCCAGACCAACACAGTGATTTATATTAAAGAGCTTAAATAGTTTAGAATATGTAATTTCAAAGCGACAACAATGATCTTTATTATAATATATTTAACTGTATTGATAATGTATCCAAATTTTAGCAAAGTTCTAAAATTCTTACAATAAGTTGGAACTTCTGTGTTTTCTAACTTCACTGTTACGCAGAAATCTCCAGCACAAATTACTTTCACTCTAAGTGCTACCATAAGTTAATCAGTAATGGTGCATATTAAATGGCTTTAATATAATCTAATTAACTGAATGTGTTATGAATCTTGTATTTTAATCAAATAAGGTTAAGTTAAATTTAAAAGCTTGCCCATGTGAAGATTTTTATTTCTTTACACTTGAGTAAAAATCATTTAAGTACTTTATCCTGGCTTCCTGTTTTTGCTTCTTGTATAAATTGGTTATTGTATTGTCTTTTGACAGTGACAGTAGAACTGAAGGGGCCATATGAGTATCTATCACTTGCAGACTATCCTCTGATGATTGTAAGTAAACCAGCTTTTCTTTGACCTATAAAGCTGTCAGTGGATGTAAATCTCAAATACTCTCCCTCCATACTTCAGGATACAAAGCCTGTAGCTTAGAAGAACTAATTTTAGCAGAGGGGTTTTTTTGTGTTGCATATAGGATTGAGAAAACAGATGCAAATTGCAAATATTTGACTTAGAGCCTGTCAGTTTGTCGTTCCAAAGGTAGTGGTACCGTTAACTCTAAACTGAGCAGTTTTACTGATGTTTGTTTTTCTCCTTAGCTCATATCTTAGAAAAGTAGCTCTTTTATGTCTTTGCTTACAGCTACCCTTTCCTTTGTCGTTACTTTATTATTTTGTAGCCTCATCTCCCACCAGCTGTCTTCCATGCCATGATAACGTACTCAATACTGCCTTACAATGAAAGCATAATTGCACTACAAAGAGCTAATTCCCCTTCAGAGGGATTGTTGACTTGATCATTAATTGCTTCTTTTGAGGAGGCTAAGAAAATGAAAGAACTTATCTAGTGCAGACAGACTTTAGCTGGGGATCAGTAACAAGTACGAACTGTAGGCTGACTATTGGCAAGAGTAGCCTTTAAAGAGGAGAGCCTCATTGCATTTTTGAACCAGATGTTTTACTCGCTGCAGGAGTGAAAGCTTCAGCAGTTCTATTGCCAAATAATTCACTGGTATGAATATTCCCACGTGTCAAGTCTAGAAAAAGGTTTCTGTCTACATATTTCTGTAACAGAATGTCTGAATGTGAACTGACATCTAGATCCTTAACATGTGAATTGCGTGGATCACTCTGGCATGAAAACGCGTTAAGGATTAGTAAGCTGTTCTCCAAAGGGAGATGTTTTCAGTTTGTGAAGGTTTCAGAGAATCTTGCAGCCAACTTTAGAGCTTGCTTGCTTTAAAACAACCAACCAACAAAACAAACAGACAAAAAAAAAAAATACAGACCACCCTCTATAAGAGGAGAGTCCTTGATTATCACTGTCCTATACTTCGGTTAGGTAGTTCCTGCTATTCATTTCATATCTTTCTCTCCTTCTTATCCTTCTTTTTCAATTTGATTGTGCTTTGTGGAAACTTAACTTGCCCTGGTATGCTGCTGTGATTTACAAAATTCAGCACTGAGTAGCGTTGTAGCAGCTAATTGTTCAGTATAGGAGATATACTATGAAAGTTCATCTGAAGCACATAATGCTAGATTGGAAAAATCACAAGATGATAGCATTTAAATGGATTTGGGGCTTTCTTTTTTCAATTCTAGATTTTTGACTGACTAAGGAAAGCTTGGTCAAAAACTGAGTTGGCTAAAAATTAGCTTTTGAGAGCTGTCAAATTATTTGCACAGAGGAAGTAGAGCCATCAGTTGTTTATCTTTGTTCTGTGGAACGGTGTGTAAAGGGGACTCCTAAGTTCATTTGCAGAGTATTAATTGTAAGTGTACAAGGAAGCTAGTAATATAAAGAATAATGTATGAGAAGGGGCAGGGTTTTTGGTACTTGATCTCTTGCCAAAACTCTTATCTGAAGTTTTTTTTTGAACATGTAACATGTGATACTATCTTTAAACATTGCTTGTGAATAGATTGGCAGACGGCTTTTCAAGAGAAATTGTTCAGAAATTCAGTTTCTCTGAATGTTTGTTCTCAGTAAGAAACTAGAAGAAACAAGATTGTCACTGTAATAGAATCTGGAGAAGACAAATGAAGCAATGTGTTTCAAACCTTTAAAAGTTGATATTCTTGGTGAGAAAGTAGTTTTCTTACATCTGTATTTCTCATTTTTGGTCTAAGGGTCCTATTTTTTTTTGCTTCTCTTTGTGTAATAGTTTTTCATGGTGATGTGTATTGTGTACGTGTTCTTCGGGGTTCTATGGCTTGCGTGGTCAGCGTGTTACTGGCGGGATCTCCTGAGGATCCAGTTCTGGATTGGTGCAGTTATCTTCCTGGGCATGCTTGAGAAAGCAGTCTTCTATGCAGAGTTCCAGAATATCCGCTACACGGGAGAATCAGGTAGGTAACAGCTGCGGTTCGCAATTTCATTGATGAGCATAGCACTAAAGCCGTATGCTAACATACACTGAATTCGGGTGACAAATGCATTGCAAGTATGTGATTACTTGAGGATTGCTTCAAAACAAAGAACAGGGAACAGAGTTTCTTCATTTTTTTTTTTCATATACAGTGCTTTTTAACATCTCTTGACAACCTGTGCTCCGCTAAAATTAAAATGCTTTGACTGTCTCTGACTTCTGAATGTAGTATCTCAGGAATATAGAATGCTAGATTCTTGAAAGTATTCACTGTAATGCTTGCTTGAGCTTTAAAACAGGACTTCCGAAGTGTAGTTTGTAATTCAGTTTTTATAACTGGTATTAGCCTTGGAGACTTTGAAATTCCTTGTTTATCATGACAGCATTGCAGATAAACTTGATTTTTTTTCAGCCAACAGCCTGATAATTCATTTTAAGCAAATCTCTCTCTCTCCCTCAAAACAAAACACCTTTGAGATACTATTTTTGTTTTTTTTTTTAGCATGGATGCATGCAAATGAAGTTAAGTAAACTTTCATTATGACTTTTTTATTAGTCATACCCACAGTGCAGAAGGTTTTCATGGTGTACTTGCTTGGAAGATCTCCCAGACTGATCTTGTGGATAAACATTTTACGGATCACTTGCTCTTCACTTTCTTTGGACTTGATTTTTCACTAATGTGCTATTGTGTTTGTGTGTGTGTGTGTGTGTGTTGTTTGTTCCTTTTTAACAGTAAGAGACCTGTGTTTTCTGAAAGCTTGCTCTCGATGTGGGAAATAAAATGACTTAAATTTAACAGCCTACTTCCTGAAACTTACCGTGTCTGCTGTCATACTACAATCATATACAGTATTCAGTAAAACATAAGTTATATTTTTCATAACCTAGCTTCATTCTCTTTGCTTTTGGTAGTACAAGGAGCACTAATACTGGCAGAACTGCTGTCTGCTGTGAAACGTTCACTGGCTCGAACTCTGGTCATTATAGTCAGCCTGGGATATGGAATAGTCAAGTGAGTAATTTTGTTACAGGTGTGGAGTGTGGTTGATTGTATTACAAGTCTTTTCAATGCTGTTCTTTCATGACTTACAGTAGTATTCATGTCCCTGTACTTTGCTAGTTAGAAGTTAGGTGCTCCAGACTTTTTGATCTGTCAGCATAGACACACAGTTTGATGTAGGGATTGCTCTTCTTTACATCCTCCTGCCTTCACCACTGTTGAGTAGGTTTGTCTCACTACTGAGATATTTCACTGACTGCAGTGGGAGCTTTTTATGCCCCTTTTGGGCAAGGAAGAGCTTCTAGAAATAGGGGAGGTCATGAATTGGTATTAAGGATCTGCTGTAGGAGATTAGTGCTGACAAGATGAGCTGTTCATCTGTCTGCCCTCATCTTGTATCAGTTGGTAAAATAACATCTCATGTGGCATTGGGAACTTCCAGCAAGTGGAAGTATGTTTGGCAGAACTTGGGAAGAAGGTATGGGGCTTCTTGAAATGGTAATAAAAAGCCAAATAGGTTAAGTGTTACCAGTCTCTTCCTTAGCCATGTCATAAGCTTATAGCACCATAATGAAATTATTTCACTTATCTAGTAGTGCCTTATGTGCCTCTTGCCTTACACTAGACCCAAGCTGATGTGACTTCGCTCTTCTTCCGCACTTAATCTAAACTTTTCTTTGTTTTCCTACAGGCCTCGCCTTGGAGTTACTCTTCATAAAGTAGTTATGGCTGGAGCCCTTTATCTGTTATTTTCCGGCATGGAAGGTGTTCTTAGAGTCACAGGGGTCAGTAACTGCTGCTTTTTTTTTCCATAAACTACAGATGCTACTGTCTTATATACCAATGAAGAGTCCCAGGGTTATGCTGAAAGAAGGGAACAGAGTGAAGTGGTTAAACTCAGACTGTAGATGAGGATTAGTGGGATTACCGGTTTTAAGATTGTTATCTTTTCTATGCATCAGCATATAATTTTGTGAATTTTTAAATAATTTTCATAACTTTGTGATTAGCCTGGTTTCATTCAGTTTAGGTAGGGATGGATCTTGGGGTATTGAGTTAGATCCAGACCTAAATGTACAGCTTAATTCACTCAGCCATGTTTTTTTTATATTAAAACAAACAAAAACACACAACCCAAACCACACAACAAAAGAACTACAACAACCAAACAAAGGAACTACAACAACCAAACAAAAAAGCCTTTAATTTTTGAGGCTGGATCTGGGGAAGTGCATGTGAGTGGTGCTGATACTTGTTTGAATCTGTAAGTGCATCTCAGGGTGTGAATTTCTGTTGTTTGTTTCTTTGATATCTTGGGACAAGGTATTTAACACGTCATATATTTGGTACTTTTTCAGTTTTTCTATGACACTGTGGCTCTGATAGCAAACTTGGCCCTGTCCTTGATTGATGCCTGTATTGTTTTGTGGATATCCTTTCATAAACTCCAGAATGTTAAAAACTTCCCGAATTGTTTGTCTAACACTTTAAAAGAAATGAAAAGCGGTTTGATTTTGTCATTTGGAACTTCATTAGTTTTTGATGGATACACAAAGGCAATTTCTGCCACTTTCAGTAAAACCCATAGATACTGGTGGAGCATGTAGTTCTTCTATGGATGGTGTAGAAGAGTTCATTACTACATTTCTAACGAGCTGACTGCTGATTTTCTATAACGGAAGTGGCCAGACTGTATCACAACAATCATCTCTTTTTAACAGTGCTAAATTAACTTCATCTGGAAAGTAGTTCTTGCCTTGCTGGTGGAGAATTGGGAACTGACTGTGCTGTAGTCTGCTTTTGTTCTTTTTAAACCCCTCTGTGCATCAGGTTGAACACTTGTTTCAAACCCTCTATTTCTGTAGTGCAACTCGGAAGCATTGTGGTGCAGTATTTGTGGTTTCTTATAAAATAGCCTGACGCTACTCATTTCTTCTATGCCTTGTTTCCTTTTCGGTTTGTTCTTATTGGCTCTTTCTTTGTCTCCAGGCCCAGAATGATCTTGCCTCCTTGGCTTTTATTCCCCTGGCTTTCCTAGATACTGCCCTGTGCTGGTGGATATCCTTCACTATTTTACTTGGTGGGGTGTGTTTTCTTTCAAATTTATTTTTTGTGGAGTTGTTTTGGCTGAACTTTTTTTTTTTTCCTTTTTAAATGAGCTTCAAGCATATGTTCCTTCTACTTCTAGTGAAGTTAATAGAAACTCTGTAACTGAGTGTGCAGGTAAGCTTTTGCCTCAGCCAGTGCAAAGCAAACCAAGAGCTGCTCTAACACATCTACTGGCTAACTAAACAAACTAATTAAGTCAGTTATCAGTCTCTGTTTATTAAAGAATCAAATTAATTTGTTCTAATGTGACACTTGAACAGTACGACAGTAATAACCTTGGGAGAAGGCCACTTGTTTTTGACAAAAGGCTTCTTAGCAAGGACAAGCCTGAAATTCTTGTAACTTTCAGGTAAATTTTCAAAGTAAATCTTGAAGTAGTTAGGTGACAACATGGCGGCAAAGTTAACTTTTCAGTGTCGATATATTGTATCCAAATATCCATAATATTGTAACTTGAGCAACTGCTGTCAAATGCTGACCTCAAAGCAATGCATAACAAAACCCCCTTATAAAGCATTTTTAGCTAAAGTCAATTGCAAAAAGATTTAAAATGTGAATTGCTGCCCAGTTATGACTGCTCCATGTTTCTCTTATCACAGTGTCTCCTCTAGCAACTTGTTTTGTTGCCTTGATTTTTTTTTTCCTTTATCAGAAAGACATCTGACTCCTTTTGTGTAGGAGTGGACCGTAGTCCAACATAGGTGTTAGGATAGCATGTTGGTGTGACAAAAGCTTTAAGCTATTAAAGTGATTAAATTGCATGAAAGGGATAGATCCAGCTGTGAGTCTGTCTATATTTTTAGAGGGCTGTGTTGGGGGGGGGGGAAGCTGTTGTTCCTAAGACCAGTGTTCTCCTAAGTCTGTGGCCAGCTTGTTCCCTCAGATTTTCCTTGACTTTCCATACATATTCATCAGCTTGACTCAAACAATGAAACTGCTAAAACTTCGAAGGAATGTTGTGAAACTCTCTTTGTATCGGCACTTTACCAACACACTCATCTTGGCAGTAGCAGGTAAGTAGAAAATTACATGAACCATGTAAGAGTACTTGCTATTTCCATATATAGCTCGATTTGCTCACTAAAGCAGATTTTCCAGTTTAGTGACTTTTCTGTAAATGCAATGAAAATGTTAGAAATAACACTTGAGCCATTTCTCATTGTGGGTTGCTGTCAAGTGTTACGTTGATACTTAAGAGGTAGTAGATTATTAGTCAGCAAATTGGTTAGAATGGAGTGCTTTTGTTCCTTTTAATAATCTTTTGCACCTGGCAGTTTTATCCTGCGTTATTAACATCCCAGTGGTAGTTTGTACCAAAATCACAGTATCACTATGTAGTATGGAATTTTAAGGTGTCTCTGGGCTGTGCATTACTGAGATCATTTTTTTGGTGGTTCTTCCTCCTTAGGTGACGACTAGAGTGACTCTTGGAAAAACATGTTCTTTGTATTGTAACATAATGTGCTGCCTATTTTCTGAAAGAATAATAGAGAGAGGTTCAGCCTCTCTACAGGAGTGATAAACTGAACTCCAAGAATAAATCTCAGTGCTGCTTTGCTTCTTTCATGTATTTGGTAATGCCATCTACATGATGAGCAGAAAGCTTCTAACTGCTGTACTTTATCTTTTTTTTTTTTAACTTTAAACAAAAAAACAGCAGCATTCATTTAATTGAAAGCTCTGATTAAATTCCTTGTAGCATTTGGTTCTTAGTCGTCATAGAATTCTCTAATAAAGGGAAGTCTCACCTTCTAAAACCGTGGTGAGAGCTTAGTTTGTGCACTGAGACTCTTATGTGTCAAGATCTGAATGCTTATCCATTCAGATGGATCAAATGTTCAGTTACTTCAAGGTAGCTTTTGTTTGTCAACCAATAATGAAACCATGGTTTGAAAAGTAGATGAATATAAGAACAGTAAATAGGGGGGTGAGGATTTTGGTTAAAATACTTTCTGCTTGACTTATGCCTTTTGTCTTTGGTTTGTCAAACGAGTAAAAAAATACTCTGGACTGTGCCTAAACATCTTGATATGGTCAGTGCAATAAGGCAATCTCATGTATTCCAAACCTAATGAATTAGTTTCCAATAATTTCACTATTTAACTCTTCACCCTTTGTTTGGGAAACACAACCCTGTTAGTAGTATACAAACACTAACATAGTTTGTAGTAGTACTAAGTAGCTTGTTTGTTTTTAATCTTGCAGCATCCATTGTATTTATCATCTGGACCACCATGAAGTTCAGGCTGGTGGACTGTCAGTCGGTGAGCTTATACTGAATACTTCCTGTGGTTGGTGCCTCTTGATAAGTTTAAATTTGGCAGTGTAAGAGGTGAGACTGGGGATTCTGGAACAGATTTTTCTGTGGATTATGTCTAGAGTAGCATACCATATGGTAAAATTCACAGGTAAGGGAAGTGAGCCTCTTTGTCAGATATCTGTAATTCATCCTTGGAAAGAGCTTGGGATGTGGAAACTTCTCTCAACTTTTTCTGTTTCTGTTGCTGTTTTCCTTGACAGGACTGGCAGGAGCTGTGGGTGGATGATGCTATCTGGCGCTTATTGTTTTCAATGATCCTTTTTGTCATCATGATTCTGTGGAGACCATCTGCTAACAACCAAAGGTTCAGCTTTTCTAAACTGTTTCAAAAAACAGGGTTTTTGCGGGAATCCTTGTATATCCCAAAGAAGTCCTCAGGGATGACTTCAGTTGCAGTATACTGGTCCATAGCATCCTAGCGTAGGATACTAAACAATATATATAGGGCCTGAGAAAAGTAGGTGGAAGAAGTCACATAGTTAAAATTCAATCTGTACTTGGTGGTGACCTTAGTTGAAAAGAAGTTGCTTGAACTCCTATGTAGCTGAGCATAGGTCTCCAAAACAATGTGCTACACAGAATAATTAAGTGATGTGAATGTCAATAACTCTCTTAGGTGGCAATACATGTTCTTCTATAACTTCCCTTCCCTCCTAAAGGTTTGCTTTCTCACCGCTGTCTGAAGAAGAGGATGATGATGAGCAGAAAGAGCCGATGTTGAAGGAAAGCTTTGGTAAGAGCAAAATTTCTTTCCACCTCTTTTGCGTTGGAAACATCTGTTTTTTATTTCAACAGGTAACAGCTGTAAAAGTGGAGTACGTGCTTGCTTGTTGCCATTCATTTATGCAGTTGCAGAGGAATATTGGCTTTGTTTAGCATTTACGTTACATGTTTAATCCTGGGGTTTTCAGATGACACTGAAGATGCTGTTATGGTTGTTTTTACTATATCTACTTCAAAAAAAAAAATCCATAGGTGCGGATCTAGTTGCGATGACAAAGGTCTCAAATACTTTTGCTAGACAGTGGGCTCATGCAGTTCCTCTTCTTAAAATTTAAAGAATCATATGTATTATGTGTTCTCTGAATTCTGCAGAAATGTCCAGTGTAAACATATAGATGGGCCTTGAAGCAGTCCTGCTTTATAACACAAGGTGGCACCTTTCTGTCCATTCACCCTCTCCTACTATAATAACCTCTGCCTCCCATCTCCGTACATCTGTTGTCCTTGGAACAAAACCATTTTATAAAAAGGGTAGGGTGATATATACTCACTGCTGCTGTCTGTCCTGAAATGAGTTTGCTGGGATATATCAGTGCTGTTTGATTTACTGAGAGCTAAGAAAGTGTGTTATCTCCTCAATGTGTTTGCCAAATCAGCTGTATTAAATCAGCTGTATTGGCTGTCTGCCAGGCTGGGGGATGTGTGTTGCTTCTCAGCTCTTAAACAAGGCTGCTCAGCAGTCAGGAGGTGAAATAAATTTGGGGAGTTGCGTATAGCGCAGAATGGCTGAGGTTTGAAAGGACCTCTGTTCCAGTCACTTGGACCAGCTTGCCCAGGACCATCTATGTCTAGATGGCTTTTGAAGTATTTCCAAGGAGGGAGATTACACAGTGTCTCTGAGCTTTATGCTTTTTATGTCTCGTCTAGAGAAAAGGAGTAGAAATTGATATTTTCTAGGTAAAACTGCAAAATTCAGGACAAGTAAGTATTCCACCTCTCATAAAGTATCACAAGCCTTTCAAATAGGAAAAAGTATTGCCTTAATGAGTAACTTGTTTTTCTTAATCATTGGATTAAATGAACACTCAACACTTCCACTTACAGTCTCTGAGCAATTAGAGTTTAGTTACTACAGTCTTTTTTCCCCTTCTTTTGTCTACAGAAGGAATGAAAATGAGAAGTACAAAGCAAGAGCCAAATGGGAATGTGAAAGCAAATAAAGCTGTAAGTATGTCCTCCCCACCTAGAGGAACATAGCCCTTTTGGCTGCCCCCAGTAGTAGCTCACAATATACAGTTTTTGGCCTATAAATACGAGTTTCCAGGTTTGCTCTAGAATGGGAGTGAGTCCAAGTATTACATGTGTGTTTACTTGCTTTTCAGAAGTTCTGTAAAGGCTTTTCGTGTAACTTCCTATTAATGCCAATGGAGAATTTAGAATGCAGTCTGTTCTTCAGGAACGCTTGCACAATGCAATATAGATAAAACTTTTTGTCAGGCTCACAGGGAGGCTGAACCATATTTTAAATAATCTGCCTTCTAATTTTGAGATTTTTTGACCAGTTATTCAAAGGGGGGGGGTGTGTGTGTGTATTATTGTAAATGATGTCATGAAGGCCTGTTTTGCCTAGTAGCTATTAGAGTATTACAGAATCGATAATCTAAATTGTTAGCAAGTTAGTTTTTTTTCCTATTGGAATACTTTTTCTGTAATTCAAAAATCAATTTGAAGGCTTTTCGTCAAGTAGACTGAGAAGAAAAAGGTTTGTATCTGACAGCATTTTGGGAAAACTGACTCTTGTTTTCCATTTAATTTCTGCACTTGTAGCAGGAAGATGACCTGAAGTGGGTAGAAGAGAATGTTCCTTCATCGGTGACTGATGTGTGAGTATTTTTGTAGTCACAATAAAAGTGGGTTCCTCGGACATAGGGCATTCTAATATATTTGTGTTCCTATAACTTGCATGCTGCATTTACATGAACAGATACTGAGTTCAACCTGGGTTTGGCCTCGTGATTTTTAGCGTGCTACCACCTGGCTTTCTGCAGTCTGTCAGACTTGTGGTTCCTGCCACTTGAACGCATACTGACTCAAGGAACACCCTCTCTGACTGTGGAGCCACAGACTGATTTGTTTGCACTTCACTAAAGATAAAGAAAGCAAATCTAGAAAGCAAAGGACAAACAAACCCCATCTTTCTGTTCAGTGCTCTGAAAATTTATTCAAGTATTTTGCTGGATGTAAACCGTGGAATTTCATTTAGCTCTGTACTTGATTTGGTACGTCTGAGTCATTTTTATGCTTCTGGCAATATAGTCAACTGTATGTGCAGTCCATATCTGTTCTGCTTTTAATATTATTTTTTTATATCCTAAAAAGGTCAGTGTCTGTCTAAATTGTTCATAGCAAAACAGAAGGTGACAGATGCTTCATGTTCACAAATCTGAACAGTGAATTTTGGCAAAGAGTCTAGATTCAAGTAGAATTCTTCTGCTTGAAGTCAATTAAAGAGAAGAAATCAAGCTTCAAGTGGAGGAAAGTGCAGTTTCTCAAATAAATGTGTTTTCCCTAGTCTAGCACTTTTTTTTTTTGAGGAATGTTAGGATTCCTTAAGGACAAGACTGGTGTAAGCTAGGAAGGCTTGCTTTCTGTTCTTTAAAGTATGTTGATCATGGTTGTGAAGAGATGAGATCCCAATACATAGGTGGGAGGTCATTGTAGCTGAAAAGGCTGTGGTACCAGTGTAGATTGTGTGGTTTGTGGGATTTTTCTAATAACAAGGTCTCGTAAATGTTTCATATTGTAGATGTTTTCTGTGTGGTGTAACATTTTTTCTGTATTGCAAAATGCTCCTTTTGTAGTTGGAGCCAGACTGGTAAGATACTATGTGTGCAACTTGTTTCTTGGCAACCTGGAAATTGTTCAGAAGGTAATGAGAAATTCAGAAGCTGTGATGAAATAATGTTTAAGCCGTGAAGGTCATTGATAAGATACTGCTTGGGCTCTTCCTCTTTTTGTGTGTCTTTCTGTAATTTCTATGTGTTTAATTGAAAGGTCTTTGTTACTGCTCTCCTTTGTCCTAAAAAGCTTAAGGTAGAAGATAAGGCTGAGAACAGTTGTCAACATACGCTCTCAGTATGTACTTCAGCCATACTAACAATTTTTGTTTCCCTTGCAGTGCGCTTCCAGCTCTTCTAGATTCAGATGAGGTCAGTAAACAAGTCTTTAGTACAAAACAGTCTTCTGACATACCAAAGGAGTCATGAGTCAGCTGTTAAAGACTTGGCTTATTAGAACTGGCATCTGATCTTGGCAGTGCAGTAGTAAAATACAAGGGGAGGGATAGCGGGCACAACTGTGTTACAGCTTCTAAGAATACAAATAAGTGGTAAAGATTTGTTGCTTAAAGTAGACATGATTTCAGGGATCATTGTACCCTCGTTGAAGAACACAGTTAAGCAGAAAGAAACCATTGTTTTCTGGATTACAAGTCCTTCCTGCTGAAGACTGTACCTATGCAAATTTTTTTCCATGCTGGGTTAGTTCTTGTTTTCCCAGTCTTAGTTTCTCCTCCTTTCTTTGTTATGTTGAATTCTTATGGAGACTTACGATGCTGTGGAAAAGCAAGTGAGCTGTACGGCTCGGAGAAAGTTTTTGATTAACATTGTGGGTAATGAATACTGTTAGAACTTTTTGTGCAAAGATATTCTTGCATCAAGATACTGTTAAATACTGTAAGTTTCAGTCAATTTAAAGAGCAGTATAATAAATGTAGAAGAAATGAAATGTTTGAAAGGGGAGTCTGTATTAAGAATTTGTGGAGCAGAAGCAAAGAGCACAAGCCATTATTAGCTGGTTAGGAAGAGTTATTTCCACAGTAGTGGAAACTGTGATGTGGACATGCGTGAATGACGTGACCTATACTCTATAATCCAATGGATGAAGAACTTGTGGGTGGAAGGGTGTAACTTTTCATTCTAGAAGAAGAGGTGTATCTGCCTGCTGTAAGTTGGACTCCTGTGGTAAAGTGCACGTGAGCGTGCATTTGTTGTGAGTGTGCGTAGCATACCTCCTTATTACTGAGTAATATATTTCTATTGATGGAAATGACAGAATTGGGATTTTTTTTATTTTGCAGGAAAGAATGATTACACACTTCGAAAGGTCCAAAATGGAATGAAGGATAAGGCTTTTGTTGTTGGAAGTGGAGACGCCTCTTTCAAAGTTGCTTGGTGGAGCAAGTGCATCCTGCTGATTTGTTTCTCGATCACAGCCTTGGAAGTTTGATGCTTTATTGTCACGAGGACGTCTTGCTGTGGAAGAAGTTCACAAGGACATTGATAAACCATTTGGAAATTTTGAAATTACAAAGTTGCTGCAAGTTTGGATTTTTAAGCAATTTAAATGTGTACTATTCCAGCACCTTCTGTAACTTTTCAAATATTTAATCTGTGAAACTAAAATTCCTAATGTCTGCTTGAGGAGTTTATATTTCAGTGTTAAAGTTGACAACGTGCAGGTGAATTGCCTTTACCTTTTTTGGTGGAGGGTGGGAACAGATAGAAATAAGCACTGAAGAAAAAAGTTATTTTCTGGTAGGAAAGGGCTTAGGCTGTTCTGTGTTGCATGTCCAACGTGAATGAGAGGTTTTAGAGAGAAGCTCCCGTTAACTAAGAAAATTAAGATGTCAGAAAAGAGATATTTGGAAAAGTTACAGGGATAGGAGTTTTTAACAAAATCAAGTGCAATTTTATTCATAACACTGTGTAAGAGATTTTCTATTTTAAAATGCCATTGACCTATAGGTAACAGTTGTGTAGAGCTAACACTTGTTGTGGCACATCTCATTGCCGGCAATGTGGTGGATGCCTGGAAAAAATATTTGCCCCTACCTTCCATGTGTTGCATGGTTTAATTAAAAAAAAAAAAAAAAAGCAAAACATGTAACAAAGAAAAACCAAACCCACTCCTGCAATGCTCCACAAGTGCTTGACTATTCATGTTAAGCAGATACTAACTAGACATTTCAGCAAACCTCTTCATCCCTCCATGTGTAACATCTCACACCACCCAGTCAACACTCCTTTATGAGAAGATGGCATTGCTTTCCAGAGTGTGTCAGCACTGCTGCACCGCTTAGTTTACTTGGAAGAGGATTGGATGGGATGACACAGTGCTGGGATACTTTACTTTCTAATGTCTGTTTATTGCCTCTATTGGAAGTGATTTGATGATGGCCTTCCTGTCCCAGTTGGTCCCTTTGGCCAAGAGGTACTCTGATAAGATCATTGTGTTTAAGTCAATGCTGTAGATTTTTATTCTATACAATTGTTTTTTTTCCTCCTTTTCAAATGAAAAAGAGCTTTTGGACAGTTTTCTGTTTTTATTTTGGTTTGCTGCGGAGGCTTTGCTTGCAGAAACTTCTACCTGGAAACCCGATGTAGACTGTATGATAAAAGCTCTAATTTGGGTTCGTAATCTTTACATCTGACAATTACCAAGTACATGTCAGCAGAGCTAGACTTTTAGGGAGCTGCTAGACAAACTACTGTGGGTACTGCTGGAAGGGCTTAAAGAGTCAGCTTTTCTTTTTCTTCACTCACAGCCAAGTCAGCAGAAGTGAATGCATGCCTGTACTTGATTCCACTGTAAAGAGGGGGGACTTAGCTCTAGTTCATCAGCAACTGATGCTGGAACATGGCACTTTACAGTAGAGTAGTTGAAGCGCAAGTTCAGTGTCTTCTGTCAGCTGTGCTGTGGAGGCAGCAAACCGTCAGCAGATGGGCAGAGAAAAAAAATGAGCCTATAGCAGCTGCATCTCCAAGATTTGGGAGTATGTCCCCCAGCATCTACCTGTGGCCTAAAGGGGATGGATCTTTAATGAGAAAACACGTCGACTTCTAATTCGCTATGCACAATTGATAAAGATGAAACCAGGCGGTCTCCATGCCCTTTGGGGAGAAGAAATTTTGTGACAGCAACATGGAACTATTTAATGTTTTTTTCCTCTAAGTCCTATTGTTTTGGGGTGTTTATTTTTGAGACAAGGCAAAATGTTCTCTATTGGAAGCACAAAAGAAGTTTGTATATACTATTTAATAAAAGCTAGGCAAAGAGTAGAAAGGCTTACATCGTTTCCTTCAACTTTCTTACTTGTGAGAGAACAAGTAGTATTAACCTCTTCACAAAACTCCCTCACTTTTTCTTAACTCTACAGCATTACTTTTATAATGCATTTTTTTCTGATAGCTCTTTTTTTCCCATTAAGCTTGTTAACTGAAAAGCTAACATAGGGTATATCATACATTTCTGAACAAAACAAAGATTTAAACGGTTTCCATAATTCTAATCCAAGCTTAATAATTTAAAGATCAAAATAAATGCAGTAGGGGTGTGGTACTTTGAGCCTACAACTACATTTGTTTTGACTTGTCCTCTGTCTTTTTCCCTTCTATCCCTATGTATCTTCCACCAGTAGTAGAAGTTCTGAATTCCATAGGTGGTTTACTGCATTAGATGTTCTGATTATAGCTTCTTGCTCCCTTAGTTGTTCTGTTTTTTCCACTTATTTGTCGGGTTGCTACAGCCTTGGTAAATAACATCTGTTCCTTCGTGCAGCAGACTTATGCTGTGACTTACATGCAGTCATACAGAAAGCTTTTATTGGAGAGCAGTTCCCAAAGTATGAATGCATGAAGCTGCAAAGCCTGCAGGATTGTTAACTTTTAATTACGCAGACTTAACTAAAATTTATATACATTATTTCAAAGCAGATATCATAACTTTAAAGCAAGCTGTACATACTACTCTGAAGACCTGATGAACAACAAGCAAGGAGAAAATGTGAATTACTTTTTAGTCTGATATCTGCAGAGGTTTTTAGTGATTAGGACAATATATAGAAACAACATATGCAGTCAGCATCCACATTTCTTAAAAATCTTCAACAAGCTGTTCTGAATTGTGAATGCACACTGCCAGCAATTCAAATGCAGGGAGATTTTTTTTTTTTTAAATCTTATTCTACGTGTGGATTTTGTTTGTGAGAACTTGCTGTGATATTACTGATATAACTGTTGTTGCATGTACATGCCACAGGGAATACTAAAAGTAGTAGAAGTGAGAAAATGATGATGTTGACCAGCTTTTTATTATGGTGATAAGATGTTCCTGCTAGAAGCTCTCCTTTAGAGGAGAGACGAAGCAGTAAGAGATCCCATGATGTGGCACAGAAATGCAACAGGCTTGACAGGCACACAGTGAGTCAAGATCATAAGACCCAGGGTAGGACAGAGTATGTTTGTGTTATATAACAGGCAGGGGTGTGTGTGGATTTTTTTAATCGTTCTGATCACTCTAGTATATAACATCAAATGCCAATGGAAAAGTATACTGCTCTTTAAAGACTGAGGAGGCCAATACCTCATGCATAATTTGTGCTCTGGTAGAAATGGGTTACAGCTGTTCCCACACAAAGCAATTTATTACCTCGTGATTCTGAATCTTATATTTCCTTTCACTAAATGGTGCTATGCTCCTCTCCCTTTTGTAGGAGTCTTAGGCAGGGAGACCAGGTACGTGCCTGAGCCATACTACCAGTTGGAGATTGCGTTTCTGTTATTGGTGAAGAAGATGTGACTTAGCATGGTTTCACAAGTTAGGCTTCATCCCTGAGCAGAAAAGCTGGGTGTAAGACTGCCTCATTTACTCTTCCATTCCTGTTCTTCAATCTCCCAGCACAAATCGTCTTCAGTCCCTGTTTTCTCAAACAGCAGTCTGTCAGTGAAGATGCTTGGAGAACTTTTATGTTCGCTTTTGGTAGTTTAGCTTCTTGGTCACTGTTCGTGAGTGTTGTACCAGAATAAATGCAGCTGCACCTCATCTGGAAGCGACGAGGCAAAGATTTCCTTGTGAAAGCTGAACTTTCTTGGCTAAATTAATTTATCTGGAATGGCGTTTCAGTCTTTTAACGGGAATAAAACATCGTTTTGCATGTGCTATCATGTTGCAGAGGAAAAATTTAGGACCTCCACTCACAGGAGCTATTTTGCTGTTCTCATCTGATTTCTGCAGGCTATACGGGTCACTTTTTGCCTGTACAGCCTCCCTGCTGTTAAGGTTATTACGAGAAGACAGAACAACCCTCATACCCTCGAGCCCCATTTCGGGTAGGACCCAATAGCCCACGTTTACTGCAGCTCCCCTCAGAGCCCCGGGCGGGGGGCCGCCATGGCGGGGCCGGGCCGGGTTGGGGCGGGCCGGGGCGGGCGGGCGGAGCTCCGGCACGGAAGCGGCGGCGGCGGAGGCTGCCGGGAAGGGCGGGGAGCTGCGAGCCGCCGGCCGTGGCGGCGGCGGAGCTTCCCCCGGGGCCGCCTCGGAGAAGGGGGAGCCCCGCACGACGCCCTCCAGCCCCCGGTCGGCGGGTGCTGCCGCAGCCGGGCCCAGCCGAGCCGCCGCCGCCATGCACGACGCCTTCGAGCATGTGCCGATCCTGGAGAAGCTGCCGCTGCAGATCGACTGCCTGGCGGCCTGGGGTGAGCCTCCCCCGGTTTCCCGGCCCGAAACGCCGCCGGCTCTCCTTGGCTCTCCTTCCTTGGGGCCGCTGGGCTGCGGCGGTGGGGCGGCTGCCGCCGGCAGGCCCGGGGTGCGGGGAGCGCGGCCGCTTCGGCGCCGAAGAAAACCCGTAGTCTGTATTTCGCCTGATTTTTATTTCCTAAACGCGTTGAGAGCTTGGTTTGGATCCAGTTTATGTGCGTTAGTGTTCTCTAAATGTAGGGATTGTGGTGTGGGGCCTGTCGGGTGAGGTGTTTGTTGGTCAGGTGATGGCAGCCACCGGTTTGCTCGCAGCGCTGAGGCTTCTCCAGGCGCTTGAGCTGTTTCCAGCAGACGTGCCACAGTGGGACAAAACTGGAGATAAAAACCCCCACACGTTGTGGAATGGTCAGCCTTTCATCTGTCTGAAAAACAGCACTGTAACGTTAATAAAGCTGCCGCGTTTGATCGTGAATTGTTTGGAGTTACGTAGACGAGGAGACATGAAGATCACTTATTTTTGTGTTGAGGTTTTAATCTTTATCTTTTTGAAGGCACTTATTTTGCCAAAGCAAAAAGGAACCAAAACCCACAGGCCCGTGACAGCATGGTTGCATAAAAAGGTTTAATTTTGGCTTTAAAACCCTTCCCTCAACTAATGGAAGGGAGGGCTTGCAGGAAACAAAACTTGATTAAAATACAAGTGTCTTTGGTAGTGAGGACGTACTGGCTGTAGAAATAAATATTTGTATATACTTTTTTACTATATGATCTTAAGCAAGGAGGAAAATTTTCAGTCAGATTTTGAGACCTGGTAAAGATATTATACTTTTTGCATGCTGTAAATGCTGTAAATTCCAAGTCTGAAACGTTGCCAGGGTTTGTATGTAAACGGGTTTGGTTCTCTTTTATAAATCTTAACGTGACTGTTGGTTGTCCAAGCAATTCAAATGCAATTTAAGCAAAGCTGCCACAGTTGCTTCAGGCATAGCTGACTATTTCAGAAAGTTCTTATAAAAAACTTCATTCCTAAAAAAGAAAAAACAAAAAAAGAAATCCTTGTTTGTCTTCCTGACAGTTGTTACGTAGCAGTGTTCCACTCTGGGACTTTGTCTGAAGAATAGATTATTTCCTCTCTTGATTGTACAAAAGATACAATTGCTTTTATCTTTACAGTCATATGAATAAGCAAGATGTGATGTCTTGGCTGCAGCCTCTGTTTTACAGTTTGATTTTTGTCCATCATTTCCTGAGAATGCAAGCTGCTATCTAGCACTTGCACTGGTGAGATGGTGGGAGACTTGTGTGTAGTCACCACATGAAGTCCTCTTTGGCTTTTGAGCCACGTTTCCAGGTGCTCTGATAAACACTGCTTAGCCAAGAAAGTCTTTGCTGGTACTGATTAGACTCTTTTCTTCCTACTCTTTTTAGAGGAATGGCTCCTTGTTGGTACCAAACAAGGGCATCTTCTTCTTTACAGGATCAAGAAAGACATGGGTAAGTTCATTTTAAGTGTGTCATGAAAAGTTTTTTATTTTATTTTTATTTCATGCACTTCAGATGTTGCTGTTATGTTACCACAAATATGTTCAATTGCTGATTTTTCCTACCTAGAGTTTAAAGAATATTTGTGCAGGATCTTTGATAGAAGCGTACATACCATTTATAAGGTGTTTGGGAAGGATAGCTGGTCAGCCTATTGCCTGCATTAAAGCATGCTTTATATAAGGTCTCCAGACCTTCTCTTTGCAGGGTTAGTGTAATTTCTGTGAATACAGTACTCATTGTGCATAAACATGCAGAAAAGCAGACAGTGTGCTAGTTGTCAGAAGTCTGATGCTTGTCATCTGTTAATAAAAGACTGGATTAGTAAACAAGTGAAAGAGCAGCTTTATTCAGTAGGCCCATCAGCATCATGGGATGGGAGAGAAGGAGCCCTCCTATCTATTTCTGTTATGTATTTACTCTTCTTTCTCCCTCTTAGACAGTTATAAGTGTTCATAGTCTATTCTGGAGATGCCACAAAGAGCGCTATTATATTTGAAACTTAATTAAAATTGATTTTCACTAGATGGATTTGTATTTTTGCAATATCTGCTATTATGTAGAAACTCGTGTTATTGAACACAGTAATGTAGTCTAGTGTGGGACAGCAGAGGAAGAAAAGAAACATCTCTGTCCAAGTTCATCAGCTCTTGGAAAGACACTCATTTGTAGCTACTTGGATTCTTGAGACTGAATTCAGATTGTTTTTTTTCTGAAACTTGTAGGCCATCTATTCCAATCAGAACATGCTAGTCTTGAGTTGCTAGTGTCTTATCTCACATGGTAAATTTCTCCCCCTTTTTTGCATCAGTGCCAGGAGAGGTTTTGTCATCAGAAAGTGTCTGTAAGTCTTTATCCATAAAACTCCTTTTAAACCCTTGTGGTGTAATGTTTATTCCTTGTCTACTTTTCAGTGATGTGTTCCCTAGCAATTTAAGTTTCTGATACTTGATTGGTGTGGATACATTCTTTACGGGTATCTTTGTATCTATGGGTTTCAAAACAAATAACAAATTTTGTAATCTAAAATCCCAGCAAGGCAAAATCATAACTGTTGATGAGATTCTCAGACAAGCGCAGGTAGCATAATTTTAATTTTCACCTGATTGTGTAGAAGACCTTCTGATGCATTTAGCTGTTAAGATAAAGATAGCCCAGATATTTTGAAGAGTCATTCTTCAAGTGGCCAAGTTTACTTTCACAATTCTTTATGATCTATTCAGTGTTAGATTTTATTTGGTCATAAATGTAAGGGGAACTTCAGTTTACATACTGTCTTAAATCTTTTTGGTAGGTTGCAATAGGTTTGAAGTGACACTAGAGAAATCCAACAAGAACTTCTCAAAAAAGATTCAGCAGGTAGGAAATACCATTTTCTTGGAAAAGTTTTCCAGTGTTTTCAGCCAAAAAATGAAATCTCAAATGTATGACTTGAATCTGTGCTAAGCTTAAAAAAAATCCTGAAAATATAAATTCTTTTAGGGGTAGCACAGCCTGGTGTTTTTGCCCACTGTCTTCCCATAATAGCAATATGTTTGGTTTGTTTGTTAGAACAGAAATGTTGGGATGTAGGGGTTTATTTCTGGCTTTTATGGAAATGCTGTTGTTTGCAGTAAGTCTTCATCTACTCTTGACTGAGAATATTTATAAAATTTATGGTAATATACCAACAGACTGCAATACTTAATTTGACTCTTGGATGTAATGTGGCAATGTGAATATAGTTCCTGTTACCTGGAATTCAGAACTGAAGTATCTGATCATCTACTACCAGTCTCACCGCTATTTCATTATTATTTTTTTTTGGAAGAAGTTGGCTCATTGATTGTATTGATACTCAGGAAAGGATTTATATCAAAAAAGATTATGCAGCCTCTTGCAGTAATGCTTGTGCATGTGTTCAGAGGTACACCTGTACTGGTAACGTACCCTATACTACAACGTTTTCTATTAGCTTAGGTTACAAGCTCTATGTCCTACTTGAAAAATTGGGTGTAAGTGAAAGGGGTTGCAGTAATCTAGGAGGAAGGTTGTGCGCAGATAGCTGCCTTGCTGTTCTTATTATTTTGAGAGTACATGAGAGTAAGATGTATTTTCTTAATCTATAATCAGGTTTCTTTCAGAGGGTTGGTTTATGAATGGAACCACTAATTAGAATTTTTTATTTCAGATTCATGTTGTTTCTCAGTTTAAAATTCTGGTCAGTCTGTTAGGTAAGTAAAGAAAAGGTTGCAATATTTAGTGAGCTCTTGTTGGTGCAACATATGGCCAAATAATTGCATTCCTTCCGCACATACATAGTACTCCAGTTGTTGGAAAGTCATTGTCTGGTATTCAGGCTTTTTCACCTTGCAGAGGAAGCATTATGCAGCTTAGAATGAGAAGCAGCTTTGCTTGTTGCAAGCCAACTTGGAGAACAAAGAATCAACAACAAGTTTTGTGATTAAAAATGAAAAAAATATAAACTAAATTGTGTGTGTGTATATATATAAATGTACGTATATTGGCGTATATATACACATAGATATGATAGGTGCTAAAACTTGTGTTGTCCAAACTTGTTTCTGTATAAAAATTACCTGAGATGTATTGTGCCAAATTTAGCTTATTTGCAGATAGTGATCTTTTACCCTCCCTTGGAAGATCTAAATTTGCTTGTCTTTGGCTTCTGTTTAGCCTTATGATCTTCCTATGTCTTTTTTTGCCTATGTTGCTACTCCCTTCTTTATGGTCTCCAAGTCCCGGCACTTCCGACTCCAGCATGCGTAGATTTCTGCTGCCTGCGTCCTCGTGCGTACAAAAACTTGACCACAGCATCCTCCATTTGCAACTACTCACTTCCTACTAATTTCAGGAGCCAGTTCAAAATGGTCTTTGTTCATACAATCTCCCATCATGAACTTGCTCTTGTCTGGTCTGTTTGCTGTCTCCCACTCTCGCTTCCTCTGCTTGCTTAGCACCTGTTCTCAGTTCCTTTGTGTAATTTTAGCAGAATTGGTGTTAGTCTTCTCTTCTGCATGTACTGGTTTGTCTTTCTGTGCCTCAGCACTTTTCAGTTTTTGGGAAAATGTTCCTTTTCCTTTCTTGGAGCTCTTAATTTCTCTCACAAGTTCTTCTTTTTATGTAAACGTAAACTGTGTAATTTGTTTGAATTAGCAATGAGCTCAATGCATGTTAAATATTGAAAAATAATTGGAATTTTGTTTAAAACAGAAAATAACATTTATGTCCACGACCTGTTGACATTTCAACAAATCACTACAGTTTCCAAGGCAAAAGGTGCATCTCTTTTCACTTGTGATCTTCAGGTAAGAGGAGGAACACAGTGGTACAGATATCCTTACCACTTTGTAATAAGGGTACCTTTTTATGTTGCTGTATAGATTTCGTTCATTAATTTTGTGTAACTTACAAGCTCCTTCATGCTTCTTAAAATAAGTACGTAACAGATGTTGAAGCATTCCTTATGGCAACGAACGGAGGCCCCATAATCTTCATCCTCTGTTCTGTTACAAATCTTCCTCTGTCTGTTGTGCTTGTAGCCTTGAACCTCCTAATAGAAAACTTGAAGGCATTTTTGTCCTGTGGTAACTTTGAAGGTGTCTTTTTTTCTGAAAGGTCCTCTTGAATATAAAAGCCATTCCCATCCCTTAAATTGTTGGTGAACTAGGTCACAGTGGTTGCCTACAGCAAGGATCTCTATCACTATATTTATTGCATTTTTGTTAAGCTGCATTGGCCCAAGGACTCCCAGGGCAGTTATGGTAGATTCAGGCCATAAAACGGTTTGATGAGGTATATCTATTCTCTGTTAATACGTTATTGTTAATTGAGTGACTTATTTTTATCTAACTGACTTTCTCAGCCTACTTGTGTTATTCAGAAATCTTGTTTATAATGCGCTCTTCATCAGTACCTTTATCTCTTTGCACCATGGGAAGCTTAGTATTAAGTATTTTTTAGTAAGAACTTAGAGCTTCCTAGGTGTTAAAACTAGTGATGTCTTTTGAAGCACATTTAAATCTGGTCATTCCAAAATGCCCTACTGTTTGTGTGTATAGGCACTTAACTTTACTAGTGTTTCTTGTCAGGAATCTTCCATCAGGGTAGAATATAAAAGATGGCTATTAATGTTTTTATCAGTGTAACACATTCTTTGCATTGCTCCATTTCCTCCCCTTTCCTATACTGCACAGAGTTCAAGCTGTTTATCCTGGTCTTCAGGGCTGGTCTGATAGCTCTCGACGTATCTTCTGTTTGCACGTTTGTCTTCTGTGCTCTTTTTATTTTTTTGTTCTTGTATTTCCTTGGTGTTGCAATTCCTGCCATCTAACCAAAGTTCATTCTTAAATACCCTGCTTGCCTTCTCTCTGTTTCCATGTTTAGGGAATCCCCTTCGGGTGTGGATGAACAAAGCCACTTGTCAGCTGACAGCCTTGCTGCAGGCTGAGGAGTCACTGGGGTTTGTTATCTTCTTTGCCTTCTAGTATTAATGAGTTTAGGTCTGTATTTTCATAGCATTCAGATACAGGGGAAGAGGTGCTGAGAATGTGTGTGGCAGTGAGGAAGAAGCTACAACTTTATTTTTGGAAGGACAGAGAGTTCCATGAACTACAGGTGAGTTGGACTGTTTCTATAGTCTAGCATGCTTCAGCAAGGACTCTACTACTTTTTGTGGAATCCCTACTAGAGGCACTACTGACTTAGAGCATTGAGTCCTGTTGGGTTTGCAGTGACTTAACAAAACAGCATCGTGTAAAAGTACAAATACAGGATTTAAGTCACAGTTCATGGCATTAATGCAGTTTCATGAATTGAGTCAAAGGCTGTGTTCTATAGTGTGCTTGTAAGTTAGTGAAATGCATTAGCAAGCAGCCTTTATAAATATATACTTGTCAATACCTCTGTGGAAGTGGGTCCTAAGTGAGAAGGTAGTTGCTTACAACAAGCGCAGAGAACTGCACTTCTGAATACCACAGTGATAAAGATAATTCTTTAAATATTTCTGTTGCTTATTCAGCTATGCTGCTTTTCTAGCACTTACACAGCTGACTCGCAGCACACCTTTTATCTGCGTGTGAATCTGGTCTGTTAGTTGAGTACTGTTATTCCTTGACCAGCAGAAGTCAGGTGTATGTGTGCTGGGGATCACTATGTCAACAACAGTGCTGTCTGTTACACTCTGTCATTCGATTTTTCTCTTGTAACTACCATTTTGACTTGTTTTCCCCAGGGGGACTTCAGTGTACCTGATGTACCCAAGTCTATGGCCTGGTGTGAAAATTCTATCTGCGTAGGTTTTAAGAGGGACTACTATCTGATACGGGTAAGAATGGGTTTTAGAATAAAAAAGGAGATTTGAATAGCAGTAGGCACTGTGTAGGATGCTTCAGTGTTCAAGGATTTAGCTGGTAGATGATATGAAAAACAGTATTTGGTGTTCTTGTTTTATGCATTTTTGGAAATGGCAATCTAAATATGTCCTCTTTAAACTGAAGTTTTGTCAGGAAGTGATCTCTGCTTTGTCACTGTTGGATGTAGTGTTTGAAGCTCTTGCAGGAAAAAGACATCAGAAAAGATTTTTTGGTTGGGCAGCAGTCTTTGTAAACTCTGCTTGCATTTTATCTAGTGTTTTAAGGAAGAACTTACCTTTAAAATGACAGAAAGGCAGATAATTTCTTATCTGGGACAAAGAGCCAACTTAACTTTTTTTTTTTGATTCTCTTTCTGAATCATGGCAGTTTCTCTTTGAAAATCTCTAAATTTTCTGTTGTTAATTTAGTGTTATGGTCTCCATTTACGCTTCATATGATAGCTATAGTCCATTCATTTTATGCCTTTAGAACTGGCTTGTGCTTATATTACAGGAAAATGAGATGAGGATGAGGTGTACCAAATGTACAATCACAACTCTGTTTTTTAGTTGATAGGAAAATGATGTAGCAATTTTACAGGCATTTTAAGCTGATATTAATGATGGAAGCGGTGCCTTTCTGTAACCCTCTTGTAGATTTTGATTCCTGCTGTTTTAATGGTAAAAGTGTTTGTGCAGCTGCTCAAGGAACTGGAGTAGAGAATTGCTGTCGAAGTGTCTACTTCTGGTTGGATCTGCTGCTTGTCCAGCCCATTACTGAATAGCTTCATTTCACGAAATATGCATTAAAAATACTCGTGCTTTTATGGAATTGTTTTCTGCTGGCTAGCTGGTAACTTTTATAGGAGTGCTTGACTTGTAATGCTGGAATTGAGGGAGGAAGATTCTCCATTTTGGCAGCAGTGAGTTGTTAGATCAACTCATGAAATATCTCTTTGAATTTCTGGTTGTTTCTTTTGGTTTTGAGTGTGTGTGTGGGGGGGTGGTTGAGTTCAGTTCCCTGAACAGTGTATGGCCTGAAGAATAAGAAGATAGGGCAGGGAAAAAGTCTGGAGAGATTGCTTTACTTTTAGTTTGTTTCTTATGTGGCAGTGTTTACTCATGCTAGAAATCAAACAATGTTAAAGTTTGATTAAATCTTGCAGTTACACCAAGAGGTGTTTGGACCTCTTAGGGATGCTAGACATTTTATCTGCCTTTATAATCTCTGTGCTCAGCTACTGCCATGGTAATAGGGATATGTCACCTCAGACATAAGAGCAATAATTCTTTATTTCTAAATGATGTATAATTAAGAGAAATGTTGATATACAGAAAATACTGTTGTTAGCATTTAAAATTGCAATTGTCTTGTTACTGTTTAATCTGGGTTCTGAATCTTTCTACTAGGTATGGATTTTTTTACTTTCAGGTACTTGCTGTTCTGCATGTTGGAAATGGTTATTTTTAACAACATATTTTCTGTTTTCTTTATTATCTTAGGTGGATGGAAAAGGATCCATCAAAGAACTGTTTCCAACGGGGAAGCAGTTGGAACCACTGGTTGCCCCTGTGGCAGATGGAAAAGTTGCAGTTGGTCAAGATGATCTAACTGTTGTGCTCAATGAAGAAGGGGTCTGTACCCAGAAATGTGCCTTGAATTGGACAGATATTCCTATAGCCATGGGTGAGAATTAGCAGTAATTTTTTTTGTCTCTTTCCTGCTTTAGAAGTGATAAAATTGTTGCATTCCTGGTGTTTAGAAACTAGCTGGGTTTGGAGTGTGACAACTGGTTTCTAAAGTATTACAAATTGTACTTTCCAGCTGTGGAGGGTTCTATTTGTTTATTTTTGTTTGTTCCCCTTCTTTGCTTCTAGTCTGCTTGCCTGATTCCTTCTTGAAAAACAGGCATTATTGCCTATTCCTTCACAGGAACAAGATTTGGAATGGAAGGCAGTGTGTTAAAGCATTGTAGTTTTTGTGGGTACCTGAGTGACACAGAAATAATGTATTTTGAAAGATGAACAAAAAGCCTTGTTAGCAACTTGCTGTCAGCCTTGGGCATTGACTTCTGTTGTTAATAAGCAAAAAAGGCATGCATTTCAAGTGGAGGAAAAAAAAAAAAAAAGGAAGCCTTGCTTTGCTTCAAGAGAGAACAATTAACTTATATTTTCACCTGCTTTGCCAATAGAGCACCAGCCTCCCTACATCATTGCTGTTCTGCCGAGGTATGTGGAGATCCGCACGTTTGAACCCCGACTGCTGGTACAGAGTATTGAGCTACAGAGACCACGCTTCATCACCTCTGGAGGGTATTAAGTAGAGCATGATTGCTTTTGTTGGGCTGTCTGTATGTGTGGTAGCATGCTGAAAAACTGAGAGAGGAGCTCTTCTGACTCCCCTGGCTTGAGTAGCAGCATTGAAGCAGTCTGTTGTTGTTTATGAACAGAAAGGTGGGTGCTGTACTTTAAGGAGCATACTGTAGAGTTGTGCATCTTTGTGAATATCTGATTACTGGAGATATTTCTGCTCCGTTCTGCTTTGCAATATTGCTTAAGTTGCCTTCGTGTCTGATTGATACGTGCATGTTTTAACCAGGATTGTTTGTATGAGTATTGCTCCTTTCTCGATGCTGGAACTTAGTAACTGACTTTTCGACTTCTTTGCAGGACAAATATTATATATGTGGCAAGTAATCACTTTGTTTGGCGGCTCATCCCAGTGTCCATAGCCACACAGATCCAGCAACTTCTTCAGGATAAACAATTTGAGTTGGCTTTGCAGTTGGCAGTAAGTACTCAAAATTCTTTGGGTTCGAAGTGAAATGACTGGGAATTATTGTAATAGTTACTCCTGAAACAGTAATTTCTTAGAGATGCCGAAGCAGTATGTTTAATTACATTGCTCTTGCAGTTGTAGGTTTTTCTGGTTTCCAAAAACTTCCCTAGAGCTACACTAAAATGAATTAATTACATTTTGTGTTGCTAACTGGAAAAAAATAAAATTGAAAAGGCAAATGATGACATACTTGCTGTGATACAGCAAGTATTTAGATAACCAGAAGTAGCTTTCAAACCTTTCAGGTTATCTCACTGACACAATGAATGTAGTACATGAAAATCAGTATCAAAGGTGTTCACTTTGGAAGATTATCTTTCTCTGATTATGTCAGGCTTCTGGATTTCATAATCTCTCCAAAATATAATACTCCTGTTATTTCTTTAGAGCTTTTCTTATCGTTCATGATGCCCCAAAGTTTTTAATGTTTATCAATTTGTGTGTAGGAAATGAAAGATGATTCAGATAGTGAGAAGCGACAACAAATACACCACATCAAGAACCTCTTTGCCTTCAACCTCTTCTGTCAGAAGCGCTTTGATGAATCCATGCAAGTTTTTGCCAAACTTGGTACAGGTAAATGCTTGGGTTGGCCTTAAGATTACTTGAGTTAGGAGAGATGAGATGAAGCTCAAAAGTCATTGTGTGTTTGGGTTCTATTTTAAAATAGTATTGTCTTGTGCAGACCAGTCTTCTTGTGAATGGAAAGTAGCCTACACAGTTTTTTTGCTTTTTATACTGGTTATAGTATTTAACTTAAAGAAACTGAAGTAAATTAATGTAAAACATGAATTTGCCCTTTGTGCAGGGTGTAGTTGGTAACATTTTCTGCAGTGTATATGGCATGTACAGACCCTTAAAGCTTAGGGTTTCAACAGCTGTCAAAAGTCATCTCGTATTTTGGAATGGAAAATGAGTAACTTCTGTAGATCTGCTACACCTTCTTCTCTGACTATGCTGAGGACCCTCAGCCCTGTTTCCTGTTTAATGGACTAAGCTACCAAACCCAGGAAACTTTTCTGTGATTTTTGGAAGTCAAAATGGTCTCTGATGGTATTCCTCTGGTTTGTACTAATTGGAAGACCACCTGAAGACTGGACTGTACCATAGAATAGTGCTTAAGACTTATTCTTTGTTGACAGCACATCCCTTGTGCATTTAAATCTAGAACTTTTATGTTCCTTGGTGATGCTTAACATCATACTTAGTTTTCAAAACTACAGTGGAAAAGAAGGACTTAGAACTTGAAATACTTGGAGTATAAATTAGAGGACAGTAATTCTGAATTTGTTTAAACTCCATGAAAATGGATGCTAATTAGTGCAAATGGTGCCATTCAGTTCATGTTTCAAAAGCCCAGTAAATCTTTTCTTAAAACATCGCTTGTTCTTAGAAATCCTGTCCTACTGTTAGAGTTGTTAGTGCTGGGATTCGGCAAGAAGAGCAGTAAAAGGATTATAATGGATTGTCTTCAGTGTGTGCCAAGAGTACAGGTTGAAACTTGTTCTGCTTGGACTTTAAAACAGTCTTTCTCTTGCTGCTTTTGCCTTATTAGCTTCTTTTTCATAATAAGCAAGTTGTGTTACCTGAAACCTCGTGGACATGCAAGTTGACAACCACTCTGTTGAAAAGCTAACTGTACTTGAAGGCCAATTTACATTTAAGAGTTGGCAAAAATAGTATGTTATGTATGACTACTAATACTAGTTATTTTTTGCTTAGATCCCACTCATGTGATGGGTCTGTATCCTGACCTCCTGCCCACAGATTACAGGAAACAGCTACAGTATCCCAACCCCCTGCCAGGGCTCTCAGGGGCAGAGCTGGAAAAGGCACATTTAGCTCTGATAGACTACCTAACTCAAGTGAGTGCTATATCTGTTCTTAGAGCAGGATTATTCAGGTATAGTGTATTTGTCTGGGTAGCTTTGTGCAGGAAGCAGTATGCCTACTCCAGCTCTGTCAGACTAGCCTTAATAGGCTGTCTTCATGGCTGGAAATTCTATGGCAGCAGCTCCTGAGAAAGTGGGGAAATTGGAAGATGTGAGGTATTATACAGATATGTGAGAGACATGTGACTTTCGTGAGGTCTGGGTAAAACTTACTTATGGACTAGATCCAAATGTGAATCTAGTATTTTATTTTCAGTAGCCTTTCAAAAAGGGCTTGGGCTCTTCATCTTTTCATCTTTTTTTTTTTTTAATGATTTTTATGGAGGGCACTCTGTCCAGGAGATGGGTCAAAAGCATGAATTTATAAGTGGAACAGGAGGTAGTGGGTACAATAGCTTCCTGTCATTTTCTTGCAACTGGACTCTGACTTGTTCTGTTGCCGTTCTTACAAGACAAAGGAAGCTTGTGTTTTAAGGAACATATATTTTGCATATAGTAATTCAAATTGTAGGTTGTCCTCCAAATGTTTTAAGTGTCTACTGATTTCTCTAAAATGTCTCTGTTCAGGTTAACTGTTTCCTTCTGATGATTTTCTTGAGACTTCACACACCTTACAAAAGTATAAATTCGCAAAACAAATGTACACACCTAAATGATGTGGGGAAAGTGTTGAATAGTTAGAAATAATAAAAATTCTTCAGGAACTGATTGATAAAATGAGTTATTAAATATAATTTATTTTTACTTGTTGGGATATATTTGTTGGGGTGGAATGGAGAAATTCATGGCCTTTCCATGTTAAAACTTGATTTTACGTCCTCCAGAAAAGAAGTCAACTGGTAAAGAAGCTAAACGATTCTGACCATCAATCCAGTACTTCGCCCCTCATGGAAGGAACACCCACAATCAAATCCAAAAAGAAGCTGCTACAAATTATTGATACCACACTATTGAAGTGTTACCTCCATGTGAGTTTTTGCCTGGCTTAAAGGTCATCCCTATAAAATGTATTGATATTTTAGAATGAAAAATTTGAGGAGGAGGATAAGGAGGTACTTTCAAAATTCTCACACAACCGTTTTGCTTTGGTTTAAAAATGATCTGGGAGTCTTTGCTAGTTCCCTCATTGGTCAGGAGGCAGTTTCATGAAACAAAGCAGCTGCATCTGTTTTGGGTGGCTGCCTCTGCCTTGTCAATGTGTTTTGAAGTTTTGAGAAATGCTTATCGTGGTGTCTTTACTGTTAAATGCAGAAGGCTGTGATCTTTGTGAACAATGTTTTCCAAAGTAGGCTTCCATTCTAGAAAGGGAATATAGCTGTGATGTATTGTTTTTTCTTCTATTCTGACAAATTCTGAATGGAAATTTTTAAGGATGAGGCTTGACCTAAAATGTTAAGCTATTTAACATTTTAGTTAAATAAATGTGCTTCTTGTGCTGTTTCTATTGTTTTAACTCACTTCGTGTGCTATGAGTTTAGGAGGAGCATGTTAGAAGTATGATTGAATGCTCCCTTTTTGCTTGCAGACAAATGTAGCACTTGTGGCACCCTTGCTACGTCTGGAGAACAATCACTGCCATATTGAGGAGAGTGAGCATGTACTAAAGAAAGCACATAAATACAGTGAGCTGATAATACTGTATGAGAAGAAAGGTTTGCATGAGAAAGGTAGGTATGATGTTGGGTTGGGGAGAAGAGAGAAGGGGTAGGAGGAGGTACTCCCTAGTCCTGAGTCTTTATTACCAGCCCACTGAAGATAATTTTCCTCAAGAGGGCTTGTTTCTGGGTCTGTCTTGTGATGAAATCTATCTTAGATCCCATTACCTGTATGACCTGCATGTTTACAACGAAGCCTTTTTGTGCTCAGGTAGCCTAATGTGAAATGTATCTTGTTTTGTGATTCAATTTGGAATGATACTCATCGTTGCAAAGGAATTAATCTTTTTGTTTATCTGAAAGCATTACAGGTACTGGTGGATCAGTCAAAGAAAGCCAACTCACCTTTGAAGGGTCATGAGAGGACAGTGCAATATCTGCAGCATTTGGGTAAATGATGGAGACCATTGTTTCTGTGAAGATGTTAACTATTCACGGCTTTGGTTATTTTACTGTTCAGCAACTTTATAGATACTATCAAGCTAAAGGACACCCCTGTCATCTAGTCTGTTTTCTTACATAATGCAAACTTTAAGTATTAAGTTCAGGTGTGTCCTGTTCAAACTTGAGTGTCTTAATAGAGCACATTCCTTATTTCTGATTTAAAAAAAAAATATTTAAAAAAATCATACGTAGAGAATATAACACAGTATTTCGTCTTTTATTCCAGTGTTGATTTGCCATCACTGACTAAGTCTGACTTCTAGATTAGGTTTTTCATCTGAAAATCTAATTGCTAGCTGCTGTTCTGTTTTTTTTTTCCACCACTTAGATAAAGAATCCTGTATGAAGTTTTTGTTTTCTGTGCGTAGAGAAATCTAGGTTATGGTCTAACAGTTCAAGTTGCTGTTCACAGCATCATAGTAACAATTTGCTTGGTTGACTGTTCATCAGCAAAACCAAAAAAGGCCTTAGAAGTTCACAATGATGAGAATAGTCCCCTCTCATCCAATTATATTATTTATTTCTAATGTATCACGGTACTAGTAAAGCAGACAGAACCATCCAGAGTGGTTTATGAGGGATTTATCTCCTAGTCTTAAATTATTGACAAAATTTGATATTACTTATTACTTAGTATTACTTTCAAGAACTCTTGCTGGCTCTTGTTAGCAACATGTTTTTTCAATGGTAAACATTATTTACCTTGACATTGAGACCTTTCCTATTTATGCCATGTATCTTACATTACACTACTTATTCACTGGTGCAATTTGCTAATGCCACTCATCTCTTAGACAATGAGGTGCATATGCGACATTCAGATTATAGCATTACAAAACAAACTTCTGTTTTTTTTTTTTTTAAAAGGATTGTCATTTTGATAAATTCATCTTGATGGACCTATGTCAGCTGTTCATTTACTACTTATTATGAAAGTGTTTGACCCTCTGCTACAGAAGACATTAGACTGAAAGTCTGAAGGAAATTACACAAAAGTATAGTGTTTTTGTACCCTAATAAAAACAAATGGCTGATGTTCATAAGGGAAAATATTTGTGAAGAGATTCAGACAACAGAGCTAGGTTTTGGTCTGACTTGTATAAATTCTGTGGTGCTTAGAATTTGACAGTGTCATTACTTGTTCGTGTTTGAACTCATGTTTGCGAAGTAATGAAATTGTCTTTAACCTGAAATGTGATTTCCTTGATGATAGAGGAGAAAACAAAAAAGGATTTTTCTGTAAATGAAGATTTGCTAGCTCTGAAAGCATCTTCTTGTGTTGTGAGTAGGTACGTCTTCAGAAATTTAACACTGAGCATTGCTAATTCTTGTGTTCCAGGCACAGAGAACTTGCACTTAGTATTTTCTTACTCTGTCTGGGTGTTAAGAGATTTTCCTGAAGATGGACTGAAGGTAAGTTTGGCTTTAACAAGTACCTTGTCATTGAGATTCCTAGTACAGTGTATGATTTAAGAATCCATGTGTTAACATTAAATCCAGCTTAGTGTATAAATGGTATTGTCTGTGTTCAGTATTGTAGTAAGCTTATCTGTAGATAGAGCAGGACAGCTGTTCAGTTTTTCTTCTGTTTCTTCCATTCATCGAATACCTTACCTTGTAATAAGCGTAATAACCCTTACATTTGATACAACATTTAATATTTTTGATATCACACTTTTTGTAAAAGAGCCTAAATTAATATTTAAATGTCAAATATTAATTTGCCTTTCTAACTTTTCTTTGACTTCCTGTATTTAGGAGGTGCTGGGCACTGTAAAAGATAAGTTTTAGTTAGGGCAGAAATGGGGATGTTTGTTAACCCTTTCAGATGTGACACAGCTTCTAGGTGCCTAAATAAGCTGCTCAGGTTTTTTTTTATGGTGTAATGTGGGCTTCAGTGCCTCAGAGAAAATACACTGTAACATTTAAGAAATGTGTGTGTGTGTGTATATATATATATATATATATATATAAAATATATATATTTTCTGTGAATATATTTTTATTTTACAGATATTTACAGAAGACCTCCCTGAAGTGGAAGCTTTGCCACGAGATAAAGTGCTCAGTTTCTTGATAGAAAACTTCAAAAGTTTGGCTATTCCTTATCTGGTAAGAACTCAGTGTACTACGTTCAGTATGTGTTCCATGTAAGTCTTCAGTTCTCAAGGTGTTGGAGGATGATGCTGTCTTGGAGAATTGTAGCTTTGCCGTAAGTTGTACAGAGAAAAATAATTAACAGCAAATAGAATATGACTTAAAATATGAAATCTTGAAGTCGAGCTTGGTAAAGGCAATCTTGAAATTGTTGCTTGCTTTTAATAAATTACTTTTCAGAGGAAGTATCTTTAACTGAACCTAAACGTGTATTTACAGGAACACATCATTCATGTGTGGGAAGAAATTGGTGCAGACTTTCACAATTGTCTGATCCAGCTGTACTGTGAGAAAGTGCAGGGCTTAATGAAAGAATATCTCCATTCTTTACCTGCAGGTATGTTTAGTATTTTCTGGTGGAAAAAACAGGGGATGGAACAGTGCAGGGAAGCCTCCATAGTGTATTGCTCTAAGCCTGCACTGTTAATACCCATACTGCTAAACGCTGTGAAGGAACTGGAACAATGGAAGCTGTGGGTTTATAAGAGAGTCTGGTTTCTTGCCTCCCTAGAAATGTGAAAGAACTTAGTTACACTTTGTTCATGGTTAAGTGAAATGTCAGCTACTGCTTGCTTTATTCTGCATGGTAACGGCAGGGGGAGGGTGTTGAATAATAATGTATCATCTAATCAGCCACTGGTTAATATGTTTTAGGGAGCTGAAGTCGTTTCTCAGGTGTACTTGATTCTTATTCCATATAGCAGATTCATTAGAATGTAGGTCCTTGTAATTTTGTTTCTATCTTCTGTTGTGTATTAGCGTAGTGAAATAGTTGTAATACATTAGCTGATATTTCTTTATTTCATACAGACAAAACTCCGGTGCCTGCTGGGGAGGAAGGAGGAGACTTGGGGGATTACCGGAAAAAACTTCTTCTTTTTTTGGAGAAGTCTAGCTGTTATGAACCTAGTCGACTAATTAGTGACTTTCCCTTTGATGGTGAGTTCAGTTTCCATAGACTAACTAAATTGCTTTTCTTGTATTTTACAGCAAAACCTCCTAAGTTATTATAGAATCATTGTAACTGGAAACAGAAGATGGCTAGGTCTGTTGTAAATCACTGGTGTGTATACTTGCTGTGGTTTTGCTGGCAGAATTGTGTCTCTGGTCTCTGCAGGTTTCCTTTAAGTGACATCCTAAGACATTGTGGCATCTCCTATCACTTACATATTTAGCCTGAATTTTAGGTGAGCTTGAGTAGCTCAACAGATCTGAAGTTTATTGTATCCTAAGATTACTGAAGAATTCATAAAATGTTACTGTTTCTAGTGTATAGTATACTTAGTGTAACTTCAGTCTATGCTTAGACTATACTTTATGTTTCCTTCTGTTAATGTGGTCGGTAATGGAAGTAATGGACCTTTTGCTCTCATTTTTCTATGTAGCTTTTGACTAGACTTCCATGCTATCTCACTAGGTCTTCTAGAAGAACGTGCTCTGCTCTTGGGTCGTATGGGGAAGCACGAGCAAGCTCTGTTTATTTATGTTCATATTTTGAAGGACACCAACATGGCCGAAAAGTAAGGATGTTCTTTTTTCCCCCCCCTTTTTTTTTTTAATGGGTTAGTTTGCTCACTTTGCTGCAAATAGGTTGTATAGCAAAATGTTGCTGTATGTGGAGTGTGTGTGTTGTAAGCCTTCAGGATCTTCTGTTTCCATGTTTTCCTGAGTTTCATGCTCTTTAGGTATCTGTTGATTACAAATAATGGCATCATCCCCTTGAGGATTACCTTCCTGTCACTGTACTTTAGTCTAGAGCAATATGACTGTCATTAATGAGTTGTTTGTTTCCGCCTTGTCAGATGCATCTTTCCACTGGTCTTTAGTTTGTGAATGTGTATGTCGCTTTGCTTCCCTGCTCTTGCGATTGAGATTGAGTATCCCAGATGCAAAGTTAAGTACCTTCAGTTTGACACAGCCCTCCAGTAAAGGTGCATCTTTTTTGCTGGATCCATTGTGTCAGGGAACCTTCGAAGTGAATCTGAAGTATTTAACTGAAAATAAAACTAACCAGCACTGACAGATGCGTTTGAAAAGCGGGGACTGTTCAGCATAGCTTCTTTTGAAGTTAGTTTCATGAAATGGCTGTTACAGGACATTCAACTGTAGCATATAGTGGTACACTAATGGACACCTTTTCCTTGTGATTCAGATGCAATCACACTGTCTTTTTTTTTTTTTTTAATGCAATTAAATTTAGTTTCTGTACGAAATCTTTTTAAGTTGATTGGAAGTGTGAAACTTGCACAAAACCTCTCTTTTCTCAGCATTGTCACACAAAGCACACAGTGTTACGTGACCTGGTCCAATTGATCAGAATTGAAAGTATGGTCACCTCATGTGTATGACCTCAGCATTCAAGCATTTAAATATTAACTTCTCTGGAATGATCCTTTGGGTTCTAAAGCTTGTCCCTACATTTTACGTAATTCTTCTCTGTTCTAGCTACTGCCATAAACATTACGACAGAAACAAAGATGGCAACAAAGATGTAAGTAGCTTTATCTTTACCGTATTCCCTTTTCTGTGTTAGACTGTTCGTGCCATGTTAGGGAATTTAAAGTTTTTGCTCTGTATAGACTTCAGAGTTTTTTAGGTGGTAGGAAACTATGTATAAGCTTTTGGAAGTTAGGATTTACTAGCTTTCACTGATTTTTATTTTCTGTTGTGTTACCATATCATTTGAATTGAGCATATATTCTGTAGAAAATTTCTTCTGGAATTCAGATGAAAACCTACTGTGTTCCTATTACAGTTACATTTACACACAAGTTAAAAATCAATGACATTGCTTTCTAAAGATGCGTGTGTTATGTAAGATAAATGAGGAAGGTGTGTTTAAAAAAAAATACTACTTTCATAGAAAAACTTGAGCATAGAATGTAAGTCTTAAAAGGCTTTGAACATCTTTGGTACTTTTTTTTGTAGTTTTAAGATGAAAGCTGTTTAAATGACCATTTTAGAGTTTTGAATGGAGTAGGTACAGCTTCATGAGTACTGTCTCGGGGTTCTACTAGTATTGTCGGTTGTGGATGAGTGCAATGGTTTCACAAACTTTCCTTTTGTGTGAAACAGGTCTATCTATCCCTTCTCCGGATGTATCTCTCCCCACCTAGTGTTCATTGCCTAGGGCCAATCAAGATGGAAGTGCTGGAGCCTCAAGCCAATCTGCAGGCTGCTCTGCAGGTGTTGGAGCTGCATCACAGCAAACTGGATACCACCAAGGTAACAAAGACTCAGTGTGTGTACTGTTGTTAGAAGATACTGGAGTAGGCATGTGAACAGACTAATGCTGTCAAAGCTAAGTGTGTCAACTTCTATTTTGTTCTCTATTCCTTTAAAATTTATCCTAATTAAGGTTATTTTGCTTTAGGCAATAAACCTTCTACCAGCAAATACACAGATTAGTGAGATTCGAATCTTCCTAGAGAAAGTCCTTGAAGAAAATGCCCAAAAAAAGAGATTCAATCAAGTACTCAAGAATCTTCTCCATGCTGAATTTCTGAGGGTAAGTACCTACCATCCGTCATATATTGGAATGGTGTTTAAAGCTGATGCTCAGTATTAAACCAACTATTCCTTAAACGGGGTGTGTGTCCTCTAGATGGTGCTGTAGTTCACTTGAAATTATTAGATGTGTACAAGATAGAATTAAAATTCCCCTTTTCAGGGTATGTCAAGTGCATTCATTTTAGTTTGGATGGGGCTTGTGCCTTTGTGAGTCCCTGGACTCACTGTGCTCTGATGTGCTTTGCAGGATGATCTCAGAGCATGGACTGGATTTCTTTCAAATAAACTGAACCAGACGGTGCACTTAAAGTTGCCTGAACGTCCCTTGAATGGTTTGAATGCTTTAATCTGCAGATCAGACTATGTCAAAGTAAAATCCTGGAATATGTATAATGTGGATTTGGGTCTCTGCTCTACAGAACTGCTTCTTTTGTAGCATACAACTTGCTAATAAAGATATAGCCACTGAAAATCAAATGTTTTGACAGTTTTCAGTTTCACCAGGCTAGAAAGGAACTGTAGCATGGCATTGCTTTTTGATAAAGTTTTTACTTGTCCTATAGGTCCAGGAGGAGCGAATTTTGCATCAGCAAGTAAAGTGCATAATTACAGAGGAGAAGGTCTGCACTGTATGTAAAAAGAAGATAGGCAACAGGTAAGAGAGCATGTGCCTTAGAGTTTGGAAAACAGAATTGAATACGAATCTGTATACTTAAAGTAAGAATGTTGCAAAACTCAATGTGCATATATATAGAGAGAACAGCACTATGAGGAAGAAATTTGAGGAATGTTCAAATTAAAAAATTATATCACTCAATGTCTGGGAAAACATCAAAGTTCAGTCAGTGAAGTTTATTGCAAGAGTTTTAATCCTGATTTCAATAAAGCAGAATAAAATGCCTTGAGAAATTCTTAAAACATTTTACTTTGCAATTCTAGAAGGGAAAAAGTCACTTCCCATACTGAATTTGGAATGTTCTGTAAGAACACTGCCTACTACCTGCTTTTTACCTAGAATTAAGGAGGATGATGTAAAGAATCTCAAATGAGGATGTATGTGGAATTGCTCTTTATATAGCTTTGTGGTTCTCTAGCTGATTACTGCTTGTAGTCTAATAATAATCTTATGTAAAAGTAGAACTAATTCACTTAATACCTGTATGCCAATAACTATTCTTCTGCTATACGCTATTCAATAATTATGGGTTGGTATAGAAGATAAATTTTAGTTGTGTTTTTTCTCTTTTTTGTTTGAAACTCCATTGGAATGCCACACGATCAGTTTATTCATTCTTGTTGATTTGAACCATTGTGGTATATCAGTAGCATTCACAATGATAGGGAATGATCCTTTTTACAAAACATATTAATGAATATAGGTCTGAATATACTTACTGTTGTGCATATTCAGGTTTGTCACTAGTGTGTAGCTTGTAGTATCAGAATTTAAGTTTGCATATGCAGTATTGGTTTGTTTGTCTAGAATTTTTCTAATGCAGTAAAGTTCAGTAAGGCTTTGAAGGGCATGTTTGGGAAAACTGTTCATATTTACTGTTGATTTTTGTGTTCTGTTTTTTTTTTTTTTATTTCAGTGCATTTGCCCGATACCCTAATGCAATAGTTGTGCATTATTTCTGCTCCAAAGAAGTTAATACATTGGACACCTGACCTTGTCATGTTCCATAATACCAACACTCATGCAATTCCGAAGTGACGGCTTAAGAAGTTGATACTTCTGAGATTTTTGAGTCTTGTTTCTAGGTTCTCTTACACTGGGTAGAAGTAATTTATATCTATGGACTGACTGTACCTATCTGGCTGTATTGATTTACTAGAAATTGACTTTAACCATGTCATTATCGTGCTGGAAACTACATTGGACCTCTCGGATGAAGAATAGAAACTGATCAGCAGTGAGCTTTGTAATGCACTCCAACCTTGTGAGTTAACAGACAGTTGTAGGGTATTCACAAGTCAAGCTTTATTATAAAGCTTACCTCATTGGAGTAACAACATTGTGATTTGGTCTTATATGTAAATAGTTCTTCAAAAAAATAAAATTCCTTTGAAGTCTTTGCAGCTGTATCAGCATTGCATGGAGATCACCAGGTGTTTAGCATAGAGAAGGTTTCTGTGCCTATTTCTTGACCTAGACAATAATTTTATTTTTCATCCCAGTAATGGGAATACTTAAATGCTGGCCAAAGGAATGTTTTTATTGATGTTCAGTGTTATCACCTGATCTTCTGATGAACAGAATTTCCACAACAGGTTGTCAGGCAAATAGGAGAAACCACTGGTGAGCTGCTTTTTTTTTTTTTTTTTAAACAAACAACAAACAAACACAAACTAGTTTGAGAGCTGTAAATTTAATTAACTTCTGTGCTGTTTGCACTGCACTGCATGGTCACTCTTAGCATCTCTGGAAGCTCAGCAACTGTTCTAAGTTCACATCTGCACTCATATCAAAAAGTGAAGAACACCCTGTAAAGCAACTTTTCAAGGGATTGAACTACAGTTATTGCTTGAGCTTCTAGACTACACTTGTGATGTGTGTGTATATAAAGTTCTTCAGTCCCTGGTTCACTTGCCAGCACTGAAGTAAAATTTAGACTATTTCAACATCTCTCTGTTTTAAATGCTTTAGAACAACTGTGGTCTGCACAGGCTGGTACTGTTCTTAAGTTACACTTGGGCCAGAGGTCTACAAAACTGGATTGTACCATACTCCTTGTAGGCTGTGATATTTTTGTCTAACTTCTTTTTCTGAAATCTTTAATCTCTAGCAAGGTGGTAGTAGGGATATTAAAATGTTTCATGCAGAAATAATCTGAGCATCATTAATGAAAAGGCAGCAGTAGCAAATAACCCAACTGAGTGGATCTTTGACTCTAAGCATTCTGGTCTAGCAATACTTATAAATATGTAATGATTAAATAATATGGCGCATGACATATAACTGTCAGATACCACCTCTTAATGATCAAGTAATAAAGCCTGTCTGCCTGAGGTATAACTGGATCTCAGCTAACTTCGTAAGTTTAGTTAAGCCATTGTTATATGGGTGTGTTTTTAGGAACAGATCTGCTGTAGGCTGGCAAGAGTCCTAATTCACTTTCATTTATCACTGTTAATAATTTCCCTTGATAACTGTTCTTCTCTTTTTCCACGTTTGTATTTATTGTTTATATGCTGTGCATTCCTTTGGATTTCTTGGTCCAGTGTTTTGCTACTTTTGTATTTGGATATCTTGAGCAGTATTGCTGCTGATGTCTTTCTGTAGAAGCTGAGAAGAGGGGATGGGTGGTGTTGGTGTTTTTAACCTTGTATTTCTTCTATTTGAAGAAGAGAGCCTAAAAATACTTATATTCAATTTGCACATTCTGTATAGATCTTTATATACTAGTTCAGGTACAGAGGGAGGATGTTTCGGGAGAGTTGTGTTTACAGATCATTGAGAATGACAGAAGGGTATTTATCAAGGCCCTGTATTCTTTGTATACAGATACAACAATATTGCTCTAATTTTTACCCATCTTAGGTTTAGTGCTGTTAGTATGATTTTTATTTACGTTAATTATCTGCTACCAGGAGAGCTGTATTCACAAATGAGGAACTTCATTGTGCTCTTACTTTCACGGTTAAGGTTGTGCCTCTGTTCACCTTTCTTGCATACCTTTTACGGAGATGTGGTTTGTGCTGTAATATTTTTGTTGGTTCTTGCAATGTGGTTTGGATTTACTTAACCATACAGCAGGTTTGTCTTAAGCAATAGATTGTAATAAATGTTGTGAACCAGTGTGTTTCAGTCATTGTGAGGTTAAGCTTTCTGGGCTGCTCTAGATTATTTTTTATATGTTAGTCCTCACTTTCTCCTGGAAGTCAGGCTTGATGGAGGGTCTCCCAGTATCACTCCTGCTTTAATAACATGTAATCCAAATGAGACCATGTCATATGACAGCTGTTACCACTTCTCAACTTTGGTTTTTAGATCTACAAGTTTATAATATGCTTGTGAATGTTCTCAAAATCCTACTAAAACACTTCTGTATTCTTTGAATAATGTTTTTGAAAGTCTTATACTATTAAATACATACTTATTAGAGAATACTAAAATCATTGACATGTTTTTTGAGCGGTGTTATGCTGTTTGAGGGTGAAGGTGATTGATCTCTGTGTGACTAAATCAGGAAACGTTTAGGTTCTCAGATTTGCAGTTGCTTGAAGTGTAGGTCAAAGACTAGCCTAGTGTTAGAATATAGATCTTCATTTTTCCCATCCTATAGGAAGGAGATATACAGGCTCTGAGGAAGAGTCTTTGTGACAGACAATTGAACATATGGGTATGCTGTTACTTCTGTAGAAACCAACCTGTGGGGAACAAAAAATAAATAAAAATTGATACTGTCCTTTGGAATCTTCATCTCTTCTGACTTTTCAGCTCTCCTTTCAGTGCTGTTAATGGAAGCAAAAGGGGTTGCTTGCATTATTCATGCACATTTTAAGTACTATATAGTATGGTTAGCAATGGTTTGAATCGTTCATAATTGCTGACAGAAAAATAACTGAATGAAATGTAGACAGACATCTACTTTACCACTGTGGGGATACTAGTCCTAGCAGGAATAAAGTTAGCAGGTGTGAGGCCGTCTTTCTCGTGTCATGTTTTGATGCCATTTTCTTTGCTTGTTTTCTTATTTGGATAGGAAATGACAGAAGCAAGCAACTCTTCTGATATTAAGTTGGCTGTCAACAGTATATCTAGATATATAAAACTGTACACAAACATTGTTTGTGCATGATATGTGACTCTGAAACTGTTCTTATGTATATGTTTTAAAGAGCTTTCAGTTCTTGAGAGAGAAATTCTATAAACATACAGTCCCTGTACTGAGATTTCATTGGAAGAGGGCAGAGAACTTCAGGAAAAGGCAGGTAAGACTGGTTTAAATGCATCAGGCAGTCACCAGATAAAACAGAGGTTCTGAGTACTGCTTGTAATATTCTGTTTAGAATGTGTGATTTCTCCATGTTAGCTTACTATGTGAGGCAGCCTCAGTTTTCCTGTAATTTGCATTCATGAGCTATACTAGTTAAATCATGCTTATGGTTCTGTAATTTTTCTATTATAACTGAATAGGGTTCTCTTTCACTTTAAGTGCAATGATATGGAGAAATGCAAAGAAATTGCTTTTTCAGCTGTGTTTACCATACCATTTAATGCAACTACTGGCTGTTTTGCAATGGTACTGTACTCACTTTCTGCCTGTGCGTTGACTGTAAGTCTGTGAATTCACTGACTAGTACTGACTTGTTTGTGCTACGAATACCAGCACTGATGCTTTATTAATTTTCTTAAATTCTAAGCTAGTGAATGACAGTAATGACAGGAAATGATTAATTAATGAGACCTTACTGAGAATGTGGCACGTTATCACATTTGTCTGTGCTGGTGTCATGCCACATTACTGGCTTTCATATGTTTGCTACCACTTTCTAACTGTTGAAACAGTTGTTTGATGCTTCAGTTCATACTCTTCAGTAAAAACCTGCAGATGAGAGAGCTGTCAGCAGCTGTTAACAAGCATCACTTAAAGCAAACAATTTCTTTTGCTACTGAGATATTTCTTAAAGTACATAGAACCATGGCCTTATCGGTTGTACAAGTTTTCAAGAACATTTGGCGGAAGAATCAAGACAATACTACATGGAAAGGGGAAGAATAAAGGATGGATTTATGCAGACAGCTCACATAGTGCAAGGCTAGATGTGGTGCTGGATTTTTTTTCGTTCTGAGTCCTAACAGGACAAATGATAGTGTCTCAGTTCAGGCCTCCCTGAAACTTCTCTGAACGTCTGTAGTCAATGAGAAATACAGCTTTTCGTCAGGCTTGCAAGATGGGAATTTGTATCTATTTAAAAATATTCTTTTATGGTGTGCTGAAATCTGAAAAAGTTTTGAAACAGTCAAAGTCCTAAATCAGGTCAAAGAAAATCTGGACTCGTAGTTGTGAGGTTGTGGCTTAATCACAGCAGTACTTCCTCCTACTCAGAGCTTCCCTGTCCAGTGCTGCTTTGCTGCTATCTTGCACCAGCATTTGAAAAACCTGCCAGTGAGGCTTTGAACTGGGTTGTTTGGCAAGTGCAGGCCACACCTCTGCTTCTCACAGTTGGAACGAAGCCTGCTCATGTGCAAAACTTCAGACCAAGCCTGTAGTAAGCAGCTCTTCACAGCCAGATATCTAGGGACTCTTTTGCGTTTTTTGTCAGGTTTTCTACTGAGACAAAAGGCTATTTTTTTTTTCCATGTTCTGTGAGGTGCTGCGGGGTCTGGTTCCACACAGAGTGCTGCCTTTTCTGGCAGCTGTGCTTTTCCAAAGAAAGGAGAGAAGAGAGACTGGATTTTATCACTGGCGGGTAAGACCAATTGTGTTGTCTTTGAGACAGCATTCCTTAGCTGATCTGTTTGGCAATGACTTCCTGTTAGTGCACATATGTAAAAAACAGTCCTGTGCTTCTTCAGTGATTAATCAAAAAATTTACCGTTGGATGAAAATTTTGGATAATGACAATGCTAATGTAGATTTGATTTTTTTTTTTTTTTTTTTTTTTACTAAAGTTGGGTTCTGTGTGAAACAATGCAGAGCAGGTCTCTGTTTCCTTGGGTTCTGGGAAACACAATTAAGCTGATACTTTTTTGGAGGAAACTCTAGCATATCAGGCTTCTCAGTAGTAGAGACAGAATGGTGCTTACATGTTTTCTTGTAAAATTTTCTTGTAAAATATCCTTGATTGGCATTCTCTTTCTTTTTCCTGTCCACCTTATCCCATTGGGCTTTATGGTTACTTAGTCTGCTTTAGATTATTACTTTAAACACCCATTCATAATGCAGTACAGCCACATTTGATAAGCGCTTCCAATGTGTTTGGCCTTCAGGTGCTTTATAATCAGTCCATTGTACAAGGTGGTATGCCCAATAACCTCAATTTTGAATTGTACTTAGCTGTTTGAGAAGGAGCCTTTGTCTGGAAGATCTGATCTGTCATCTGATTACCTGCTTCCATTACCATAAATCTGGAAGTTAAAATTGAGGTGACCATTAAATATCTGAGGATGGCTTACTGCCACTTTGGTCTACTGTTTGCTTTGTGATACAAATGATTGTTACTGGCTTGAGTGTTGTTTTTTTTTTTTTTTTTTTAATGTTGTTCGCTACTTAGCAAGTCAGGGTAGGAGAGGCTAATATTAGCCTGCTGTGATTTTCATTAACCAGTAAATCAAAGGATGTGATGCTTTCACTCAAGTACTCCTTATGTAAATCAATACATTAAAAAAATAGGCACTACTTAAAAAGCAAGGTTGTGTTGCCTGGTAGGGAGAAATTTTGTATTGACTTTTTAATAGCAAGTGATCAAGGGAAGGGAAGCATATCAGTCTTCGGCTTTGGTGGCGAATTAAGTATGACCTAATCTATTTTAATAAATTTTCCAAAGTTTAGCCTGTTTCACAATTCTGAAAGCAATGTAAGCTTAGAGTGAGCCCAGTGTTTGCCACTACTATTGTGATACTGAGCTGTTTGCACTACTCGTTATCACCTGACTGGTTATAAAACTTTTCTTCCAGTAGACTGTAGTTCAGGGTCTAAGTCTTTTTTCCCAACAGTGGGTGAGCACTTCTGGGCAAAGAAGGAAAATGCAAAGAGTACCTGAGAAAGATAGGAATTCACTTTTGGGTTTAATAGCAAACTTGGCAAGATGCTGTGGCTGAAATTAGGAGGAGGGGATTTGTAGGCAGCGTTTTCACTTGGAAGCAAGAACAAGGCGAGGGGGCATTCTCCCTTGATAAAGTTGATTCTTCTTACTGAGCTGCCCCTTTGCCTGCTAGCAGTAAACCTATGGTTTAGCAGCTGCATTTTTATTTACTATTGTAAACATTTCTCTAATGAAACTGGCATGCCTATGATGTGTCATCTGTGTCCACTGCGAGATGTGGAGAGGATTCCAGGACTTAAATTCCACTGTATAAAGGCAGGTATTCTGGGATGTATGAGTGAAGACTACTGGATCCTGTACCTGGGATAACCTGTTTTACAGTCCCTTGCTGCTACATCAGCACCTTCAGTTTAGATTAAAGGTACAGACAGTTGTTAGCAGGGCTGAGGGTGTGAGAATTAAGTCTTGCACCCTCACGTAAGGGTTTCATGTTTTTTTTTCAGACAATGTTTCTCCTGAGCTCTGAAAAAGGGGTGGTTCTAAAGAATCATTAAACTGCAAATTAGAAATTTGTTGCTTGCATCTATCATCATGTACACTGGTGTAGACAGAACTGTAGTTATTTGTCATAAATTTCCCATACACATTTCTTGCCTGCCTCTTCCCAGATGTGTTCAGATAGAGCACATCTAATGCTCAGGCTTCGTTACTCTGTAAGCTCATCTTGTAGTATGTTACAACCCTGGCTAAAATATAATTACAAGAGGCAGAAGGTGAGGTTCTGGCATATTGATAATGCAGCCTTGGGAGCACAGGAAGATCTCTCTTGCACTATATGCCCTTAAATTATGATCTAGGAGTGGGAAATGTATCCTCTGCTATGTAATGACTGGCTTAAAATCAACAGGTGCTGGAGACCTTTGGAAGGAACTTTTGAACATGTGACTGTGTTGACAGATGGTGTGCAGTAAAAGAGCAATGTGCTTATCTTTATGGTATTCTGTGCTTCCTCTGCTGTTAGTGACTGAATTCAAGGTGATAGCTACATTAGTGAAGATTGCTTTGGCAGCAGTGACAGTATGGTCATGTAGCTTCACTTCTCAACAACCTGAAGAATTGTATCACCTTCAGGAGGTTGGTGAGAATAAACTATGCAATCCTTAATTTCTTTCTGTAGTCCCTTCCTCAGTTTGAGGAGGTAGAAAGAAGGGCAGACTTTGCATGAGAAACTACTCTGTGATTGAAAAGAAATACAAGTGATCAGGAAATGTTTAAAAACAAGGAAAAAGCATCTGAAGAGCAGAGCTCAGGATGAAATTAGAAGTGAAGGCACGTCTTGCTGCCAGAAACAAATGGGGGAAGGAGTATCTAGAATGCTGCGTTGATGTTGCAAATAAAAACTCTTTAGTAATAGTATAATTGGAGTTTATTTGCTCAAATTTTAATTGGCAGTTCAGTATGAAGTATCTTAGGCTATGCATGTAAATTTTACCCTTGGTGCTCACAGTAGATGGCACTCCATACAAAGATGTTCAGTGTACTAGTCCTGGTTTTTAGTCTGCTGTTCAAACCCTGTTTTTCAAAAGCTACCAAATGTCTTAGGGTGATAAGAAATTAGGAAAACTCCACAAGTATGTGACTGCACAGTAGAATTCTATTTATTAGATAGGGAATATTCGAGAACATTTTGACAGTTAACGGTTCATTGTTTATTCTCTTTTTTGAGACCCTAATTAGAGATATGAATGGACAACCTTTTGATATAACATGTAGCACTCTGCAGCATTTTGTTGTAAGCAAAGATCCTATTGAATTCAGTTGTCAATGAATGCTTAGCGTACCTGAAATTAAACTGTGGTCTCAAGTCCACAGGGTAGAAAATGATGAATATAGAACTAATGACCACTTCTGGAAAGTACTTTGGGATGGGATTTAATAGAAGGGTTTGTAGTTGGTCATTATTTTGTCCTGGTTTGTCACTTAATTTAGGAATAGGAGGCAGAATCCCATTCTGTTCACAAGATTTACATGATTGCTTTTCTCCAGTTTGCACCAAATCCCTTCAAATGATATCCTCATGTTGTCCCCTGCCACTCAGGCTTGTCTTCTTTATGATTGTCTAGAATTTAGTCAGGTTTATATTCCCCTCATATCTGGGCAGTTAGACACTACCTTCCAAAAATAGCCTTGCAGAAGTTTTCAAGAACAAGAATTGCGTTTTAATCTATACTGGTAGCATGCACTATTTAGAGTACTGATATGAATAACAGTTCAGAATGAATAGGAATTTCAGGTTTTCCTTTTTGTTGCTTATAGTGCCATGAAGTATTTTTCCATAAGAAAGTGTAATTTTTTCCCCTCATTGTAAACAGCATGTGCTTTCTACATCTTCAGACAATAAGCTAATTAATTCAGTTCTTAAGGTTCTTCCCACATCTGCTATTGCTCAAGTATGCATATGCCCTTAGCAAGTGCTCTGAAGAAACCAGGCAAGTCATAATTCAAATTATTTGAGGAGCTTCAGTTTCTTTTTATCCTTCATCAGGAATGAGCTAATGAAGCAATTAAAATTATCTATAATTACAGGAAACCCTAAATCAGGGGCTTACTTTCTGAAGGCTGTGAGGAGTTATCCTAAGAATCATTTATTGCCTTGCTGAAAGGGAATTGAGTTCACTTCTAGCCTCCTTTAGACTTCCTCCAGGAAACTAAAAATACTGTGTATATTCCCAAATGGAATCATAAATAGTTTATTTTGTTCTGGCTGGTCTGGTCCTTCTCTCTGGATTGATATTAGTGTGGTTACAGAACAGGTATTGCAGTTGAGTTGCATGCTGAGCCTTGTTCCTGCCTTTTCAGTGGGAGAAGCACCCTTACTACAACCTAACTGTAAAAGTCCTCCGAGCCAGAAACATCAAGGGTACAGATCTGCGTAAGTATTTAGTAAAGGTATTAAGAAAACAGATAATTTATTCAGAGGTCATCTGTAACACAGGTTGTATTGTGATGTGAACTTCTTACATGTAATGTATTGCTTTTATATCTGCACAATGGTTTTTCTTGTAAGGCATTATATATACATACACACACACATATGTATGTATGTATGTATATGTACATTTTAAAGGTGTAATGTGTGGCCAAGCTACAGGTTAACTTCGCAGAACAAAATAAGGTGAGTCCTAGTACCATTTCATTAATTTAATTTCCTTGCTCCTTTTCATGATGATCCATTGTGGCCTGTTTGATAGACCTCTGTCTGAATTCAGCACTCAGGTTATGGGAAAGTTCACCCTTCCAGGTGCAGGACTTCAGTAACTGCAAGTGCCAATTTTCAGTTAAATTCTAGCTTCCAGATGTTTTTCTTGATTAGTTACAGTATCATTTTCTTTCATGTTTCTGCTTGTTTTGTTTACATGGTTGAAATTTTTTAAGGGGTAGGTGACTGACTGATTCCAAGACAATCTTTTTTTTTGTTTTTTAACCTATTTCTGGTTTTGATAGCATGGTATATATTCCTCTTATGTATCTGTGTTGAGTGAAGCTTTCAGGGCTGTTTTGGGGTATTTGGATCTTTGAAGGAATCAAGTGTCATGAATAGAGTTAATACAGTAAGGTGGTCTGCTTGACTTAGGCTTGTTTTTGATATCCACCATCAGACCACTGTAATGCTAAATGATTGTCCAGGGAACAGAAAAACTGCTGTTTTTCTGTTTGCTCTACAAATTTGCTCTTAATTTTGCACATTTTTTTATGATGCAATGCGATTTAGTAAGTGAGGAGCTCATGGGGAAGAATGCGTTTGATTAAAGTAGTTGTAATATATCTCTGCACTCTCTGCTCCAGTGTCAAAAGCAGACTGCTATGTGGAAATGAAACTGCCCACTGCATCTCCAATGGTCTACCGGACTCAGGTTGTTGACAATTGTGATAACCCAGAGTGGAATGAAACCTTCCAGTACCGAATCCATAGTGCTGTCAAGGTGAGGAACGCCCTTTGTGGAGCTGGTTGGACTGTCTGCATTTGTGTGTTGGCTTGCTTTTGACACTTCATTCAAAACCAAGGGATCTTTATCCTCAAAAGCAGTGGCATGTGTAAGGTGGTGGTCTTCAGTGGTACCAGAAGCTGTAGCATGTCTAGTGATAACCACAGCTGTTTATAGGTGCACCATCTTTTGCAAATTACACCTAGAATTTACTGTAAATGTCCTTGTGATGCAACTCAAGAAAGGGAAGTTAGGCACTATCAAATAAATGAAATTTTTGATCGTGCATGTTAGTATTTGATGGTTGCTTCTACTTTCACATTGTAGCTGTTCCATTCTTCTATCTCTGCTTGTCTTACACTGCATATTGTCTAGGATTCCGAGCATTTAAGGGAAGGTAATGGGAACTAAACTACAAATCACTCTGTCGCTTAGCCAGGTGTCTTACCTGTCCCTTCAGCCACGTCTAGCCATTAGTTCCAAAAAACAAGGAAAGCTAAATTGAAACTCTTAATAGAAACAGAATGTTAGATCTTCCTAGCAGGACCTAATGAAACATGATAAAAAATTTTTATCATACTATGAGCATTCATTCTCAAAGTGATCTAATGGTAGAGGGAAGGAAAAAGTATTTTTGGAAGATTATTTTTAGCGTGGAACCATTGCTTTGCATAACATCCTAGGCTTTGGAATAAGGTTCATTAACAAGAAATTATCCCTCTCACTTGGAGTGCCTTTCTGTAGTGGTTGGTGATGAAGGTGGAATGCTAATTGACTTAGAGAAATTGTAAGAAAATTGCAAACGAAACTTTTGAGTGTGTGAGCTTTTTATTCCCCTGCAGGCTTATGAAGCCGCAGTCTGGTTGCTGCTGTGAGGCTAAACCAGCACAAGTTTAAGTTCAGCCTTGTTTTGCTGAAAACTAGTTTTTTCGAGGCTAGTTTTTGTTGTCATGTGTAGTTTATTGCTTCTGTTTCAGTTAATTTCTGTTGAACTGGACTGTTGAGACAATGCTGAGCAAGAAGTGATAGGTCCCTGCAATATCCTGGACTGAGTCATGCTGAAAGAGTGGATATTGCTGTTCATTCTTCAGGCAAATCTGTGGCAACCTGGTGGAGAGAAGTATCCCCCCCGCCTCCGTTCTGCTGTGACCTCTCTCTAGCTGGGAAGCTCAGAAAAAGCTTTAGCTAAACACTGTCAAATAGAAGCTTTGTGCTTAACTATGCGTAAGTCCTGCTGAACGCAGTGAATTCCCTTCAGGGATGGGAAAGGGCAGCGGTACTGATTAATGCATAAAATGCCTGTTCACAGCTACTGAGGTTCATGGAAGTGCTTCTGTCTTCACCTAAGACTGTTTGTTTGGTTTTAGAACATTTTGGAAATGACACTCTATGACAAGGATGTCCTAGTCAGCGATGAGCTCACTTCCATCGTCTTCGATGTAGGAGGCATGAAGCCAGGTCAGCCCCTGCTGCGCACTTTCAAGTTGAACCCCGAGGTTAGTCCACAGCTCCTTTCCCGGAGCTCTGAATAGCTGCAGCTCGTGTTACAGATATCAAGCAGTACATGCTTGTTCCATGCATCTGAGTGTTGTAGAGGCCACAAGGGGAAAATGTAGCAACAGATGGTGTTTAGGGACTTACTGTTATTTGAGATGTTTCTAAAATAACAAGTGATTTTTTTTGTGTTCCACAGTCTTTGGGATGTCCAGCTAAACAAAACTTTGCGGTTACTTCTGTCTTTCAGAAGATGTTGAAACGTTTTTGAAGAGGATTTTTGTTTTTAACAGGCAAGAAAGGCGTAAACTGAGCTTAAAATGAAAGGCATTTGTTGTCAGCTGTTTTGTGAATTGCAGACTATCTTATTTATTTGATCATCATCAGTTTGCAATGAAGAAATTTACTGCTGCAAAGGTTACTTCTGTATTTAATAAGTCAAAAGCTTAAGAACAGCTTATTTTTTGCTGAGCTATGTTCAGTTACATTTAACTTCTGCTTCGTGAGGGTGACATTGGTGCCTATGAGCTGCTGTCAGTCCCTAGGCACTTATTTATGGCCTTGCAACAAGATGACTTTAGTTACGTAAAATAAGCTATGTCACCAATCTGATCTCTTTTGTAATTGCCTCAAACACATTGCTACAATAGGCCTGGAGTACAGGTGAGCTAATGATGTGTTTTCTTGAGAAATCTGGCTTCAGTGCTGACGGTATGGTCAGAAGCAGATTAACTGGTATGTAGTTAGCAGGGAGGTTTTCGTCAGTGTCACATGCCCTCTAAATGATTTGTGATCACAGAAGGAGACTTAGTAACTTGCTTGTTCCCACTACGTTATCCTGTCTGCTGAATGCTTAAAAAGTGGTCTTGATCAGTAACTATGGAACTGGAAGCTGTAACTTCAGTGAAAGAAAATAGCCCAAGTTGGCTTCTACTTAGTTATTTTAGAAGCTGCACTGGGTCAATCATTTACTGTATGCTATGGCAGGGGGAAAGATGGCTGGGTCGAAGTCTATACATGACAAAATAAAGGCAGCAATGAGCTAGGAGTGTAATCTGTTGAAATAATAAATGGGAGGAAACACCAAGTCTCCTGTAGAAGCTGTTTTCAGAGGCAGCACTGCAGCGGTGCTTGAGCTGGAAGAGTGTTTATTCAAAAGCAGGGTAATGGATCAGAGAGCCAAGTCTCATTTGTGGGCACTTGTCTCATCAAACATAGATGTGTCTGGTCATATAGAAAGTGCCTGGGAGAACAGGAATGTTTAAAGTGCAGCAACAAAAAAGGCTGCATTCTGAAGCTTGGCTTGAGTTTTTGTAAAAGTGACAGAAGTAGTTGTTATCATTTTTAACAGGAGAAAAACTTAATCTCATGGAAAAGATTGTTATAATCATACTCACGTTCAAGGGTCACCTCTGACCAACTTCTATTTTTAAAGGATAATGAAGAGCTGGATGTAGAGTTCTGCTTGGAGAAATGGTGAGTTATACCTGAGGAGCTAAGTGAATTTGTGCTATAGGGAGATGTTGTGTTAGTTGCTTTTTTCTGAGCAGTGACAGTCTTGTTCATGAGGAGGCTAATGTGTTATGTTTTTCTATGATGCATAAGTTGGTCACCAGTGGCTGATTGCAAGTGTCCTTAAAGTGCCAACCACCAAAATTTGGGGGTACCGAAGAGGAAATAAAAGTTTGATTTTTATGGGAATGGCAACACTGCAAAGGAAGTTACTTCAACATATTTTGCATAAGCTAAATTAGTTAAGAGTGGAAAGCTTTACACACACAAAGTATACGGGTTATCTGTATGACAGTCTATCTAATCTCAGCTTTTCTTTATGTTATCAAAATAACGACATGTTTATAGTGGTAGAGGAATTTTTTCTTCAGTAATTTTTTTCTGTTATTCTGTCAAGGGAAATAGAGTCAGTCTAGTCAGTATAATCCGTTGCAATGAGGACCTTCCTCTCCTGCCTCTTATCAGAGAGCTAGTTTGTGAGTAGAATGATACAAAAATTAAAACTAAAACTCATTTGCATTAAACCTCTTCCTTTTACAGCTCAGATACCCCTACAGAGGTATTGACCAATGGAGTACTTGTGGTGAGTACACTGAAGTCAGTTATGTGTATTGGGGTTTACCCCTGAACATAGGTGTTTAATAGTTAGAGGACAAGAATTGTTTAAGATTCGACTCCTGGATCCAAATAACTCATATTCTTGCCAGCACTTGCCTCTGCTTTAAAATTTGCTGTTTAAAAACATTCCTCAGGTTTTTGAAACTTGATACCAACTCCTGGGAAGGCTGATTTTTTTGTCCAGTATACCTGTTTAAAATATGTAAACAAAAAACTCTTAAGAAGGCTGGTGAGTCCTGAGGACCATCATGTGTTTTCTATCCTAGATGCTGTTTGGATGTAGTCTTCTTCCTTATCTTAACATTCATTATTTCTAGGATTTTCTCATTGCCATTAATAAGTAGATCATAATTCTGGAGGTATTTGTCTATTCTCTTGGGGTGATCAGGATTTTTTTTCCAAAAAGTACATTATACATTAAAAATCTTTTTTTTTTTTTTTTTCCAAAGAAAAGGGGCTGAGATGCCAATTTTTAATAGGAGAAAGAAGGGAGGGAAAGAGTTATCTCACTGTTGAAATGCAGATTAAAACTTTGCATTTCAACAATGAGAGAACTACTTCCCTCCATTTTTCAGGAAAAAATTGATGGCTTGTAATGGCTTACTTCTGCAGACTGTTTCACGGTATAGAACCCCTTGTATTTATATTTCCCTCAGCAAATCAGTCTTAAGTTCAAGCAGTAGATATGTTTACTCTCTTTGAGAGCAGTTATGGTTAATTAAATTTTGTATCCCCTGTCCTAGAAGGGAAGGTGAAGATTGTTTGGTGTGAGACACTGTTTCATGAGGACATGGATAATCCAAAACAAAAAGTCATGGTAGAATTTATGAAGTGTTTTCTAGAACCTGAACAGATTCTGTATAGGTACTCGCATGTCCATTTAAAAAAAAAAAACAAAAAAAACAACCAAACAAAACAAAACAAAACAAAACCATAATTAGAAGAAAGAAAGAGGAAGGGAAAAAAAGTAAACTTATAAATATGAGGTACAGGTTGAAAAAAAACCTGGAATAGGAGAAGTGGTTTTCATTCTGAAACAAGACCAAATAATCCCTTTTTGCTAAAACAAAACTTGCTCTTTATGGATTATATTGATCATTCAAATATTTTTTTTTTTTTTGAAACATTGTAGCTGTAAGCCTGGTCCCTACCATAGTAGGTGGATTAAGCTTCAACAAAAAAAATGAACTCAAATTTCATAGCCAGAACTTGTTTCTTCTTTTCATAGGTTCATCCTTGTTTGTCTCTGCAAGGGACTGTCAACAAAGAAGAAAAAATAAAAGAGAAACAGCAAGGTATGTCTGCCTGCAGAATCTACTTCACAGCATGTTTATTCCGTGGGAGAGAGGGGAGACCCCTCACTGTCTATCAAGTGTATTCTTATATGTTGACTACAAAATTGACTTTGTTAGTTAATTTAGTATTAAAAATAAAGGCAAAATAATATTGGGTCACTTCCATTGGGTGCCCCATGAAAGAGACTTGAGAGTCTTTACTTGTGTTTTCATATTTTCAGCTACATTTAACAAAAGTATTTGATTTTCAGCAAATGGATTCTGCAGTCTAAACGTCTTATTCTAATACACAGGTAGCTGTGCGGTGAAGCTTTCTGTTCCAGGGGCGTATCAGAAGCAGCTGTGTATTCCTTGGAGACCAGATAATGAGAAGGATTATGGAACCTCCTTTGTTTTTCATGTGGACAAAGAAATGCATCCAGAACTGCAAGTGGAGCTGGAGCAAACAATATCTATCCTACAGGTAAGCAACTGTCCTGGCTGCTACAAAGGTTATAAACACTTTTGAATAAATCCACCCTGAAAACAGTGTCTTTGGTCTATAAAGAGCCTTTAAACATAAACTGAATGGCCTTAGTTTGATCATAAGAAGGCAGCCAATGTCTTCAGATGTCCAGGGATATCAGTTTTGGATATATTGTTCAGGTATGCATGGATCTCAAAAACTTGCACTGAAAGCAAGTTTCTTCTTGGTACTTGTGGTGCTGAAAGGGTCATTCGTTATTAAGGTTAGTTGTCACTTCCAGATACACCTTTCAGATACAAGAATCAGAGTTAATTCTTTAATGTTGTACCTGGTCAAATCAGAATTTTCTAGGCTAGAATTCTGTCTTCAACTGATGTATTTTCTGTTTCTGCATTAGGAATCGATGGCCAGGCTTAGGTTGATCTTTATTATCACTTGTTATGGATTCATTTTTCTCTATTTCAAATCCTGCTTTGAAGACTATACAAGTTCCCTTGTGGGTTTTCTGACACGTATCACTACAACAATTCAGGGGAAAAATCCTATATTTGGAGATAAAGGTTTTTGTGTGTGGCAGACAGCTATATTAGAAAAATATAATAATTAAAAAAAAAAACAAAAACAAAAAAAAACACAAAAACAGCTGTTTCAGTGACAGAAATAATCCCAGCAAAGATCTGTCAAGCAGAGAGCAGGACAGGAGTCCAAGGTCTCAGAAAGCCTTAGACTGCTTTGGAAAAGGGTTAGTTGTAATGATTGCCAGGATTGTTTGCTATTTTGTTTTATTTTTGTTTGTTTGTGACAGTCATATCATTAACATTTTTACTGAAGCACTCAAACAACATTTTATTTTTTATTAGGATGGGATGAACCCTGATATTGAAAAGCATACTACAGTTCTGGGACAGGGGACTGTACCAGTTAATTCCCTTCCTGTTGGACAAAAAGTTGATAGAGTTGTTTCTCTGGGAGAGGTAATGTCAACTATTGCACCTATTTTAACATGCTTTGAATACCCCCCACTGGTTTTAGGCATTTGGAAAGTCAAACTGCATGTGATTCTTAGGAGTGCTGTTTTCTTGTAGATCTAGAATGAAATAGCAATATTACTCAGTGCAGCTTTTCTAAAAATGTTTTTGTGGCTGGCAAAGGTAAGAAACAAAAATATCTGAGGAGGAGAGAAGCAAGAAGCTTGCAGAAGAAATAAATGTTTTGTCTGCTCTCTGATTTTGTTTAGTCACTGTAAATAAACTATTTCAGATTACTAAAAATGTTTGAAATAGATTGAAGAGAAAGGTGTTCCACAGAGGTAGTTTTGTGAATGAGTGCTGTTCTAGTTAGTATCTTGTGACCATATTGATGTAATAACCTGTATTTAGTAGTGCCACCTATGCAGTTGCTATCAATTGCAAGATTTTTTCTGTGTTCACAGGGACAAAGTTTGGATATAAGTTTGAAAGCTGAAGAGAGGTGAGTGGGAACCTCAAAGATCTCTAAAATGAGGAAAGGCCTTAATTCTCATAGGGAGCTGAGTGATTATCCCTGCTGCTCTGGGAAAGTATGCAGTCTCAATCAAACTCTTGGGACAGATAAAAGAGAAAACCTTCTCGATTATTTTTCTTTTCACATATGTGGTTATTCTCTTTCAAGACACTATCTCTTGGATTGGTGTTAATCCTGCTGAAATCTGAACAACATTTTCTGTTTTCCTAACACTTAAAGCGTGGGAAGCTGATGGTGTAAATATGAAGTAGTTTTGATAGATGCAGATAGTTCCCAGAATATCGGTGCTGTACCGACAAATAGGGAAGGACAGCTTGATGTGTGAAGAGCTTGAATGGGGGGAATGGTGCAAGAAAGGAGTGCTAAGGAAATAATAACACACAAAATTGAGAAGTTGTCTTATGAGTTGGTAGGGTAATTAGGTATATAGTCATTAACTGAAGATCCTCCTCCCCTTTCAAAAACTTGTATAGCAAGTTTGTTTTCCTGTTGTACCGTCCTGACACTGTTTTAAAATCACTTTCCCCTCATTTTCCATCCGTGTCAATGTAGTGTTCTCAATTGCTCCTTGTACAATTTTCTTTCAACCACTGAGAATCTTTTCTTCCTGTCTGTGAAATTCCTGAAGCTTAACCTGAATGACTGCCTGACACAGATTTTGTATTTAGACATAGAGAGAAAAACTACAGGGAGATGTTTCATTTTTAATTCCAAATGCTCTTACTGCAAAACAGCTAGTAAATAGACATACACTTCAGACAGCAGTCTGAGTGGTAGCCATCTAACAGTTTGATCCAGTGATTCATGTCAGCACCTAGAATGTGTTTACAAAAAATGCTTTTCCCAGGAAATTCCAAATCCTGCAGAACTTACTGTTTTTTGTGTATGCTTTGATTTCTTTTTCAGTACTTGGGATCTAGATATACGTCTGGGTTTTGACCTCTGTAAAGAGGAGAGAGAATTTGTGGACAAAAGGAAGAAATTAGTTTCTGAGGTGCTGAAGAAGACTCTTAATTTAAAGGAATCCCCTCGGAAAGATGAGGTATCGAGCACAGAGAAATTCATAAATCCTTTGTGCTTGTTGATAATTAGTTAAGTATTGTAGGATTCTTTGCCTATAACCAACAGAATATGGTTCACATTTACCATGAGAGATCCCTGCAGCGTTTCATTACTGAAATCTCACATCTTGTATTTCTAAAATTCCGAGGGATGTGTGTGATTTGCTATATATTTCCTATATATTGGACTTTGAGCTCTGAATTGTGATGATGGGAGAGACAATTTTAGAATGGTTTAGTTGAAGCTCACCATAGAGAACCCGCTTCTAAATTGCTGATTTGGAAACAGTTATTTCTAGATATCCTGATATATTCCCCTGTGATCTTCAGGTGCTGTTAGGAGAATCACCGCTCCTTTTTTCCCCTATTCTACTGTGCATGTTGTATGGCATGCAACTAAATGTGTGTTAATATACATAACAGTTTCAGTAAGTCACTGTCATGAAGATAACTGGTATCTTTATCGTAAGCCATGTATTTTAATTACAGAACAGGGAAAAGGGTGCTGATGGAAATCAAACCTAAAATTAATTGAAATGTAAATGGAACGGATATATTATTTCCTATGTAAGAATGAGACTTGAACAGGATTACTTCTGTGTAACTGTTGATTTACTGGCAATTAAAAGTCTGTGATTGTCACTCCTGAGTTTGCTGGCTGCAGGTTCCAGTTGTAGCAGTACTGGGGTCTGGAGGTGGGATGAGAGCACTGACTTCATTCTATGGCAGCCTAGCTGGGCTTCAGCAGCTGGGCCTTCTGGATGCTGCAGTATATCTGAGTGGGATTTCTGGCTCTACTTGGTAAGTTGTGTGCAGTGTTGACTCCAGAAACTTATAGTTGAATATGTTAGTATCGATGCAAAAAATAAGGCCAGAACTGTATTTTTGCCATTTACAGACAGAAAATGAAGTTAAATGTTTCATCAGATTTTGCCTGAGAGTTCTGATGGGAATCCTAAAGAGTCAAAGATTCATTATCACTTGTAACTTATACAGCTATTGGCTAAATTTATAAATCTGCTGCTTTTGCAAGCATGGCAGCTAGTAGCAGAATTTAGTACATGAATAAAGCTGCTCTGGATTCCCTCAGAACCCTGACTTCAAAAACTTGCCCTATGTGCTTACTGTTGCCAAGAAGATAACCAGGGTGGTGCAACACTGGAAACATCTCTATGCAGACCACTAAGTCACTAACTTCTGCAGTGGCATATGCAGCTGAGTGGCGGAATAGCACTGGATTTGGTAGTCTGGAGCAATGTGCTGAAGTGTCAGACATGGTTAGAATGTTTCAGTAGCTCAGTTTTTGGAGTGTGTGTTGAAATCCATCCTTCCTGTAAGTACGCATTGTTTTCGTGAAATGATTTAACTGAGTTTTGAATCTTGACAATATAAGCTTCCCTTCCATAGCTTTGTGCATTAACTTCTGTTTGTAAAACATTTTTAACTAACCTTTTGATTCAAAGTTAGACTTTCAAATAAATTTAGTCATCCTCTAACCAAGCATCTAAACTGTCTCATTTTAACCAGACCTGTGTTCTGATGAAGGCTATGGCCTTTATTACGGTGCAATAGAACCCTTGCTGTCTGCTAGTCTCTCAGAGTCATTATGGCCTGAAGTTAACTCATATTTATAAGTTAGCACATGAGCTAATACATGATTTTTGTAACGTCCGTGAAAGATACATTAGGAATCAGGGAGAAACTGTCATGCAGGGTTCTCAGCATGTTTTAGAGCACAGAGATCAATTATTATTGGCTCTTTACAATGTCTTATTTTTAGCTAGACTTCTCAAGCCATGAAGTAAATATTACTCACAGGAGTAACAATGTTTAGCTATAATTTATTGTTAACATAAAGGCCACTTTTACTGATGATGTTAATGTAATCATTTTCAGGTGTTTATCAACATTGTATCAAGACCCTTACTGGTCACAGAAAGATCTTCAAGATGCAATCAACAGAGCTCAGGGTATTGTGTCCAGCAGCAAAGGAGGGGCATTTTCCCCAGAACGACTGAAATACTATTTCCAGGAGTTGAATTCAATGGAAAGTAGTGGACGGAAAGTGTCCTTCACAGATTTGTGGGGTCTTATTGTGGAGTATTTCCTACAACAGAAGGTAAAAGAGTTCATGTTAGTCTTCCAGCTGGGACCTCAGCACACCCATATGTTGAATGTCAAGAAATTAATTAGTCTCTGCCTTTATAGGCTGTTTGGGAATAGGCAGTGTTGTGGAATAAACATAGAGGGTTTTTATTTCTTTCTGCCTCAGATATCCCAGCACCCCTCTTTACTAAAGAATTTTGAAATCTTATGTATTAGTGCTATAGAAAAACTGAGCGTTTATTTGGAATAACTTGTTAAATTAATAGCTTTTGTATTGGGCAGGTTAAGCCTGAAAAAATGTTGATATTGGTTTTGCAAAACTGTATTACTATTCTGTATTTGTTATGCTAATTGAAATCAGAGGGGTAAGTAGCTTGTTAATAACATCTGATATTCTAATTATACAACTGCAGAAATCCCGACAAAACTTAATTGTATGCATGGACTGAGGGAGGAAAGGGACTTTGAATTAGTAGCATTGTTAGTCAGATGGTAAGAAACAGCTTCAAATTACTGAAGTATGGGGACAGAATTTATGTTAATATGTTTCTCCTTCTTTGTTTGTAACCAGGAAGATGCATCAAAGCTGTCTGATCAGCAAGAAGCAGTGAAATGGGCCCAGAACCCTTATCCCATCTATGCAGCTGTCAATGTGAGACCCAATATTAGTAGTGGTGACTTTGCAGGTATGAACATGGCAGGTTTCTTTTGGTTTGCTAAAATCTATAAATTCCTTTCACCTACACAGTCCCAGTTGTCTTTTGTTGAAACTCACTATTCAGGTAATGAACAGCTGACAACAGATAACAAGGCTTAAAAGGCGATAGGGTAATGAATAACAGTGTGTTGTCATCCCAATTACAAATGTTTTCATTGTGGCTATGAAGGAAGAGTATTAACTCAGCTGGCTACTCTGCATGTTTTACAAGAAAATGCCTGAAATATTCAGGAGCTAAGAGGGAAGATTGTTGTAATACTTAAGTCTGTCTGCATTGGAAAACCGAAGTACTTGGTAATCAAGAGACCTACTTCATGGGAGTTTTCTTTTATAATCTCACATATCTGATTTATGGAAAATTCAGGTAATATGATGGATTGGAAAACTTGCAGCATGTGTCATGAAAATAGTGGTATTTAACAGCCTGGGTTCTTGGTTGTACAGTTGCAGAACAAAAAGGCCAGTCCTATTGCATGTCACTTGCAATTTTAAATACAAGGCAACAAGCAATCACAGAGTCAAACAGGAACACAAACTGTTGTGTCCATCATTGTACAACTATTATTTTTTTCCCTTTTTGTTGCTCTTCTTTTGTTCAGGAAGAGTGTGTGTGGGTGTATGTAAGGAAGATGAATTTTAAAGCAGAACTTGAAGGACAATGAATTTCATTTGCAAATATTTGTGGAGAGCTTTCAAGCATGAAGGGACATTTCAATAAGTAGACAATGAATTCTACCACAGTTGGTCAACTGAGATGTGAAATCAGTATTGTAATATTTACTGATAGTAAACAGGATGAGGTAAATACAGGAAAATTGAAGTAGCTTCCCTTTGGCATGATGAAAAAAGTTTAAAATAGAGGTGAAATGGGTAGGATATTTCTGCAGTAACAGTCAAAATGGAGCAAAAAAAAAAAATTTTTCTCCAAAAAGCCAGGAAGAAAAGAGATGGGATTGAGGTAGTGAAACCTGTACAGCAGTTGATATTAATGATGTGTATGTAAGATGGAGGCTCCATGAGAAGAATAGCAAGGAAGTCCACAGTAATAGTGAAAGAAGTGGAGGGAGACTCCCTTATGCCCCACTTGTGTGAACAGAAATCAAATGAGTATTTTTTACCTACACTTACTTTGAGGTGAGTAAATCCTCACTAATCGGATGTCTTGTTCTTAGAATGGTGTGAGTTTACTCCCTATGAAGTTGGGTTTCGCAAATATGGAGCTTTTGTCCGAACAGAGGACTTCGACAGCGAGTTCTTCATGGGAAGGCTTATCCAGAAACGTCCAGAGCCTAGAATTTGTTTTCTACAAGGTATGAGCTTACAGTAGTAAATAGAAGGAGTAGATAGAAAATCACATTGCTTTTAGGACTTATCAACTGAAACCTATGCTTTTTTGTCCCTTTCTAAAGAGTTCAAAAAGGGTAAAAATGTCAAATCTTTCTCTAAAGGTATAGATGCAGTTGTTACAGTATTATAGTCTGATACTCCTTAGTCTGCAGAGTCTTTTTGAAGACTGGCTCCCAGTGGTGTCACAAAAGCCCAGTGAAGGTGTCTAGATTAATTCAGAAAATGAGGGCATATATTTTTGATATTACTGTTTGCAAAAAATTTAACGTTCAGCCAAGCTGTGTAGCATCACATTGCTTTTAGATATGGTTGTACGTGTAGGAGGTGATGTTGTCTGTTACAGCATGTTGCTTCATTCCATTTACATCGTCTTCCTTGTTGCTGAAGTTTTTTTTTTGTTGTTTTTGGTTTTTTTTTAAATCATTTACCTTCTGTCAGCTTTATCTTCTGTGTCACTAAAAGGTCTCTTAAGATCCCTCATATATTTTTCAGAACCTGAACAGAGAAAGAAGTATTTCGAGTGTCAGCTTAATGTTCAGTGTTAAATGGAGATCAGACAGATTGCTGAACAGGACGTGCATTTTAACTAGAGAACCTTTCCCTCAATTAAAATGACATCCTTGTAGGAATAAATTACTGTACATCACACTTACTGTACAATTACTGTAGATCAAAATCCAGGGAAGGTCAGGGAAGACTATTGCTTTCTTAGAGTGAAGTATCCTGCGCTGCAAAATATTTTTGCTTGGGATAGTGTTGTTCTTTTCCAAGGTTTATTGGTACTTACTGCCTTGTTTATTGGTACTTGCAAATGCTGTGGTTGTGGTATTAGACATTTGTCTCTCTGTCTTCCTAAAACTAGTGCTTTGGTGTGCCTGAGTAACAGATTCAACCATGATGTACCCCTCATGAGTGTAGTGCATCAAGGAGATGAGGCAAAATTGGGTTAGGTGCTAGAGATGATGCTGTCAGTGAGTGTGGTTCTCTAGGTCTCAGTTTTAGGTGGTTTCTCCAATTTGCCTTAGTTGTTTATATCTGCTTATATCTTATGTTATTTATGTCTATTTTATATCTTATGTTTAAATCTTAATTGTTCATGATCATAGAGAGTCCTAATGGCCTTTACACTTAAGAGCTGCATCCTATTTGGAGCATTATCCTTGAAGGTGTATGCAGGCAGTGACAATCTACATACAAAGATGCTGTTTTATTAGAAACAGAGTCAGGAATGTGAAGACTATAAATTGTTTATAACATTTTTTTTCCAGAGTAAAAGAACTACAGCTAATGTACTGGAAGTATTTTCTTTCCGTGATTTGGAACACAATGGTAGTTACTTAAAGCTGGAATGCTTCAGTTGGGTCAGAAGATCTTTAGACCCTGCAAGAGCTCTTAAAGCTTTCTTAAAGAATAATAGAATCATAGAACAGCTTGGGTTGGAAGGCATCATCTAGTTCCAACCCCTCTGCAACTGTGCTTGCTACGCAGCTGCTGCTTCATACAGGCATTTCTATGTACCTGAAATACTGAACTTCTTTGCCAATCACTATTGCTCAGAGTCTGCCCTGGATACCTTGCTAATCTTCTGTCTTAGTAGGTTTGTCTGCAAAGCTCTAGGCACTAAGTCTCTTCTAATTACCTATATCTTTCTACCCAGTCCACTCTTGATCATACCTGCCAAAAACTACTGCTTTAGGTCTTCCCATTCTCTTGCCATCTTTCTTTATCTCATAGAAGAGCTTTCCTCTCATAGAAGTTTCTTCATTAGATTATTGCATCCGAATTTGTCATGATTCACTCAAAGGTTTAAACTCAAACAACAAATATTAGAATAGTAGGGGTTGAGTGGCAACCTTCTCCATGATGGCAGCTGAGTAATAGGCCATTGGTTATACCAGAAAAAGCCTTTCAAGTATTAAATTATTCCTTTCTTCTTTTGCAGGAATGTGGGGCAGTGCCTTTGCTGCAAGCTTGGATGATATCTGCTTGAAAGTAGTTGGAACAGGATTGAGCTTTCTAGAGCCTTTCAAAGATGTTATCAAAGTTATAGGTAAGAACATTTAAAAATTTAAAGAATGTAGTGTGTGTAGTTTTCAAAGCTAGCATAAGGGATGGGTTTGGACAGATAGCTCTTGTGCTGTATATTACTCTATTACATACATATCACTATTGCATACATAGTGAATAGAGTATAATATATATATATATATATATATTATATATATAATATATATATATATATATATATATATATATATATATATATATATATATATATTTTAATATGACCTTGACTATAATTTTGGCTAGTTCTGGGATCTATCTTAAACACCTCTTGCAGTTCAGGGGTCCTTATCACAAGAGAAGGGCAGAAAGCCAACAGCTATGCGGGAGGTGAAGAATAAGTTTTCAGTTCCCTTCTTGGCCTATTTTTTTTTTTTTAAATGTTGAATAATCTGGTTGAATGTTAGTATTCTTCATTTGTATGATGCCTCTCTAGTAGTGAAAAGGAAGTGTATTAAAGGCTGAGAGTTGCTTAGGTGCATGTTTATAACGTCATAAGGAATAGAGGTAGAAGAGATTTTTTCCTCTCTGCAGATCTATTTTTCACACTTGTGCTGCTGTAACTATAAATACTGTTGTTGTCTTGCTGTCACTTGCTACCAGGTGTTTCTTTGTGTGCATTTGAAATGAAAAGGGACAATGATTCGAATAATCCCTTTTAAATAGGGCAGGTAAATATCCAACCATATAAATGGCAGCTTATTTAAATTTCATTACAATATTTTTTAATTAGAGGACAAAATCAGTGTTCAGACTAAACATTGCAGAAAAAAGTCTGATTGAAATGATGAAGCTGGATGAGCATTGTGTATTTATTCTGCACCCTGTTGTGGTTTCTGTAGATGACTGTCGAAGATCTCATTTCCGAGATCCAACACGACTGAAGACTCGCTTGGTTATACCTGGGGGCCCCTTGTTGCAAATTTTCCAGGATTTCTTCAAGTCCCGGGTCACGTGTGGAGAGACATTCAACTTCATGCAGGGATTGTATCTTCATAAAGATTATGTTAATGTCAAGAAATTTGTGGTTCGGAAAGGTGAATGAACCTGTATGTATCTGGGATATAGGACAGTGTGTTAATGTTCAGTAACGTGCTATATCCAGACTGATTTTATTCCATTGAAGTGAGGGAATTTAACTCTTCTTATGCCATAGCAAAAAGTTGATCTACTATTTGTCTTCCCTCATATGAGGCAAGCTCCTTATAGGGTGTTATAGGCCATTCTCAGTTCAATGTGTGGGTTGGAATGTCTTTTTCTCTTATAACCCCAGCACAACCTTTTTGTTGCTTGTATCCAGAGCTGCGTAAAGAAGCATTATAGTTACTTGAAATGTCTTCCAGGCACTCATCTGGATGCGTTTCCTAACCAGTTGACCCCCATGGAAGAGAGCTTGTATTTAGTGGATGGTGGCTTTTCTATCAACTCTCCCTTTCCATTGGTACTTCAGCCAGAGAGAGATGTGGATGTTATTTTGTCGTTCAATTTCTCCTGGGAAGCTCCGTTTGAGGTGTGAGACATAGCTGAACTTTATTACATGAGGATAGCATGTAATAGCATGAGGATGAGCACAGAATGATATCTACAATGGCAGCAGATCAGATGAGGAGATAGGAAGTGATAACTAATAAGATTTGTTTCAAAAGCCTAAGTATGTCATATTACCTAAAATAAGAATATTTGCTTAGCTCATAAGATCTTTGTTACATAATTCTATGCTTGTACTTCTAATGAAAAATTGGCTATTGGTGACTTTCATCGTGCAAGCAAGTTGTCCTGTATACATGTATACTAGTGTTTATTTTTAAGTGCAGAAAAGTCAAGGTATAGATATAGATATATAAAAAGGGTTTTAGATGAAAACTGTTGATGTTTAATAGTAGTGCTTAGTTATACTATTCTTTTTTCTGTATCATTGGCCAGATAAATTGCTTCATCCAACTGGAAGATGAATTTTTCTTTGTTTGTTTGGATTTTTTTGTTTTGATAGAATCTCTCTTCTTTTGAGGATAGTAGTTAGGCAATCTTAAAGGTATGGCTGGTATTCTATCAAAATTACTTTTGTTCTTTGACAACAGGTTTTAGAGTTGGCTCAGAAATACTGTGAGGAGCGGGAGATTCCTTTTCCAAAAATCAAACTGAGTGATGAAGATGAAAAGAAGCCAAAAGAGTGCTACATGTTTGTGGATAACAATAATCCAAAGGCTCCCATTGTGCTCCATTTCCCATTAGTGAATGACACCTTCCGGAAATACAAAGCTCCAGGTAAGGGTTCAGTGTTCCTACTTTCACTCTCCTTAGTACTTACCTATAAATTATTAAACTGTTACATTAATTTAAGGTAGGATCAACTTCCACAATTTTTTTGGAAGGGAGAGTGAGAGAAGAGCCTGGCAATTAAAAAACAAAGCTAACAAACAAACAAACAAAAAAACAGCAACAAAATGCAAGCAATAAAACCATCTAAAGGGCAGAAAGAATCAAAATGGGTAATGTTTTTGCTTATTTTTAATCAGTCTGTCCTGATGTCTGATACTGTTACTTCTAATTACCCTACATACAGGAAAGCACAATAAATCAGGTTAAATAATAAGTTTGTTTGTTTATTGGATATGAATGAGCCAATAGGCAGCAAAGTGTTGTGGACCAGTCTGTATGTCAGATCATATAACAGTGCTAAATGTTCTGTGCCTTTGCAGCGTAAAGGTCAAGTTATTAAGGAAAACAATCCCTGTTTCAGTTAATGTGATTTATATAGACCATAAGGTCTATCACTGTTTGTCAAGCAAGAGTGCTGGGATGAAGCGTAGAGCTATACTTTTAGGTAGAGACAGACAAAATTCCATGCCGTATTTTTCCCTTAGTGGGAGAGAGCAGCGTCCTGAGAAAAACTTTGGAATACATAGAGAAGAATATGCAGGACTGACCAGACAAGGGAAACATAAGTTGCCCTGTTAATGCTTTCTGTATTAATACAATGACAATTGCCAGGCTCTCAGTGCACAAAGATGAGGAGATTCAAATTAGTGGGCCTGACTGTGGTTCAAGACTGCTCTTTCTGTAGTACCAAGAAGCAAAAGTGTTTTTAGCAAATGACTTTAACATTGAGCTTTCACTACTAGTGTTTAGATTTAAATGTTAGGGTGCTAAAAACCACTAGTTTCCATTTTAAACATATTTTAAAAAATTATACTAGCCTCTTGAGGTTAGTTCAACTCAGGGTGTTGGTATCTTTTATTATCTAGTTAATAGCACTTCCAGGAAGAATTGAGCAATTGGAAGCATGGCTATTGTGGACATGCTAAACAATTTATCATAATGAAAATGCATTTTAATCCTGTGTTTTGGAGTCTAGTGGAAGCAGGAGAGGTAATAATGCTTTGTCTTCAGTTTCTAAGCACTTTGTGTCCTGAAGGAGCTGAAATGCCTGAGGAAGAGCTCTGAGGAAAGATTTGAGGTTCAACAGAGTTACCTGTGATACAGCCTCCTTGCAGAATCTAACTAAAATGAGTCTGCCACTGCTGAGTCATTTTAAGAAATAAATAAATATTTATATATATAGAATATAAATATATATATATTTTTTTCTTCTTGCAGGCATTGAACGCGAGTCAGAGGATGAGAAATCCTTTGGTGACTTTGTCATTGAGACAAAAGATTCTCCTTACCGTACACTGAATTTCACCCTTGAGCCATATGATTTCCGCAGGTTAGTGGAAGTGAATCGCTACAATGTTCTGAACAACAAGGACACTCTCTTCAAAACCCTGAACTTGGCTCTGCAAAGGAGAAAGCGGAAGAATGTCAGCAGTACATCCAATACATGAGTACCTTCCATAATGGAGGGTAAAGGCAGGCTGCAGTGTACCAAAGCCATGTGGTTCAAGCCTGAAAGCTGAAAACTGTTAGCTGGAAACTGTCTTCTTGGGAAGGGAGTAACGCATGTGACATTGAAAGTCTATTCAAGGTATCAGATGGTCTTAGAAAAACCCAAGAGAGAGTTACATCGGTGTTATACTGTTATATCAAACAGAAAAAATAGGGTTGTGTGTGAGTGTGGAAGAGGAGGAAATTATTTAGCCTGGTATCTCATCTAACGGCAGCTGATGACTAGAGAGATCTGTGCAAAGAGTGCTAGCATCTGGAGATTATCTCACAAACTCCACTGGTTCGTGGATAAAGGATCTCTGTCAAAGATGTGGGTAGTTATGAGGAAACATTGATTTCTTCCATATCTTTAACATTCTTGCTTTTTGAACCGCCATGAGGTTTTACCATTTACCTCATCTGGCATATAATTCAATGGATTGTAACCATGCATTGAGAGAGAAAATGTTCTTTTGCTTTCAACTTGCTACTGGCTATTGCCCGTATATTTGCAAGACCAAACAGTTGTTAGCTGTCTACCATTTTTGCTATTCATAGTTTTTAAGATACCTGGTATTTCCTTCTTACCTGTCTCAGGAGTTAGTAATGGCCTTCAGTGTCCCAAAAGTTCAATCAGAGTAAATTATTTTGATAAACATTTTTTTTTTTTAGGATTTTTTTTTTGAGGTAGTTTTTTTTTTTTTTTTAATTTAAGAAATTTTTTAAATTTAAGAATTGAAGACAAACCATGTGATTGTGCTGCTTCTTCCTATAGTTTGATCATCACAAGATGATGAAATTTAAAAATAAATCAGTAAATGCTACAAGTTTCGTCTTTGTCTTTCTGTGTAAGAGGAAAGAAGACTCCTTGAAGGAATATAAAATAAATCTTTTTTCTTTTTTTTAACCTTGGGCTTGCAATTCAGACAGAGCTTTGTTCAAGGAATTAATTTGTGTGTTTCCACGTTATAGGAACATTGATGTTCAAGGTAGGAAGACCTTATAAATGTTAATAAATAATGTCAGATGCTGCTATGCTGTGGTTTGGAATTTACCTCACTTTGCAGAAAGCTTGGAGGAAAGGACTGAATTTTGCAGTTGGAACATATCTAGCACAAAAACAACAGGAAGAATAATTGTTTGCTTTTGTGGCTTTTATAATGAACCAGATGTACTGATTCTGTATTTGAAAATTGGAGAGTGGAGCATTTTCTGAAATGATGTATAGTTTTATACAAAGATAAGGTTGTTGATTTCTTTTTTGGAATGTGTTCCTCTTCTAATAAATTCTAATTCTATTAAAGTTATTCACAGTTTTTCTTATTAACACTCATTATTATTGTTACAGTCCTTATTCTAATAAGAGGTAAGCAAAATGTCAATACTGTATTGTACAGCTTCACTTATTACTTCATTTATAACTGATGAGGTGGGAAAGTAACTTATTAAGGTCATTTCAGGCTGCGCAGCAGTAGAAAGTCATCTCTTTATTATAAAGCTTCTCTTTGAGGAACCATGACTCAATTTTTTTTTTAAAGGATTTGTATTTTTTATATACATTTTGGACAGTGACTTTGGGTGGTTAAACTTCCTTGATGTCTGGAAGGACATATCCTTTATGTCCTCAGTACTTCCTTAAGCTGAAATATGAGAAACGGCAATTTAATGTTACCCTTTTTTTATTTATAATTGGTGCCAAAAAGCTACCTGCTTTTTAGGAATCTGACATCTTCCATACGTGTTCAGTGATGCTTTATTTTCCTTCCTGTGCAGGATTTTCAAGTATTCTTGTCTCAGCTGCCTTTCACCCTGCTGCCATTGCCTTTGAATTTATAGCGAGATGGGAATTTCCTTTGTTCCTCCTGTGTTGTTTTTTCTTATAATGTGCATCTGAAGTTAACTGCATGGTTTGATTACTTGTTTCTTGCTTTTGAGGTCCTTTCCCAATAGGAGGTGATTCCACGGTGTGGGTATTTAGATAGCAGCGTATAGATGTGGAAAGGGAGTATTTTGCAAAGCTTGGTCCAATCACGTTTGCTGGACATAGACAGGGGACTCCTTTAGGGCACAATTTCTTGGCAGTTTTGTCTATAGTAGCAGTGCTTTTCTGTTGGAACAAGATATGGGGCCTTAATCGTTCAATTTAATTTGTTAAACAGGCATGTAACTAGCCACCTCTTTTGAAACTCCATGTTATGGTAGAAGAGTTGTGCACAGACTACTCTGTGCACAGACAGCCCTTCATATGTTCTTCAGTCTTGTTAAAAGTGCCTCTTGTTCCATAGAAGTAACGTGCCTTCTGTTCTGGCATTTAAATTCAAGCCCATTACTAAGGAGACATCAGCCTTGCATCCCAAGTCAGAGGAACAGGAAGCAGGTAAGGTTTTTCTTGCTCAGTCCTACTGTTAGAGCTCTCTTACATGTACAAAGGAGTGCTTAAGGGGAAAGGAGCCATAGATTCGTGTTTTGTCCTGAAAACTCCTGTGGGTGCCTAAGTGTTTGTTCTTACCGTTCATTTGCAAGAGCAGGTACACATGCAGGCTCAGTGTTAGTCCAGAAACAAGATGTGTACAAAACTAGCCTGCAGGCCATTTTGTCTTCCTCATATACTAGTTTTATTCCAAGAAGACTTTGTTGTGTTGAGACAGGGTGCACTTAGCTGATCATATACACCTCATAATTGATAACCCAAACTAGCCATGTTGTTTTTTCCCCCCATGTATTAAACGCTTGCTTATTTTCCAAAATTAACTGCTTAAAAGTTTATTGTGTTTGTGAAATAATTAAAAATATTTCATATTCTACTGTAGGGAAAAAGTATGCAGAGGACTGGAATTGCTCTTACCAACTGTTAACCCAAGAGTGCTACCTGGGTTCTCATTTTGATTTTTCTTTTTCATCATCTTCTCTCTCTCATGCTGTCCAAAAGAACTCATAAAATTTGAGATGCAAAAACTGTATTTTGTATGTAGCATTTAGTAGGGCCATATACATGTACAACAGATGCTGGTTCTGCAGCAATACTAATATTGAATAGTATTAAAAAAAGATTTTTTTTTTTTAATTCATATGGTAAGACTGTTGTAGAGGTTGGTGTAGCTGGTTTTTGCTTAAAGAGAAAAGGTTTCTGTGAGCAGGACAAAGTCAGTTGTGGGAGCTGCAAGTAGAGATAAGACTTGCACTGTCACATGGTTTTCAAAGGGGGTACCAGCTGTGCTCTGGGAATTGACTGAAGGCATTAAGGAAGTGGAGAGTCTGGGTCCGAAGTAACTATTTTTTTACTTTTTTTTTTTTTTAGCACTGTTATATTTACAGCAGGAAAATGTGGGCTACTCCGGTTCTTCATAAATGTTCAGAGTGAATGGTCTGTGTACAACTGATAAGCTTTTAAATGAACATAAAACAACACACCGGAGTAGTTTAATGTACTTGCAAGAAGTAATAACTTGCAAAACGTGGGAGGAAGTTAGTACTTAAAGAAGGGTGGAGTACTAAGCTACTGCTTATTCTGCAGGAAACCATATGTTAGGATTTGCAGAAAAATAAGGCTTGGCAGCCATTCCTAGGGTAATGAGTTTCCAAAAGGTGGGGAAAGAACAAAATGAATGATCCAATTTGAAACGCCTCACATTAGTATATATAGGGCATGGGATTTCTTTGGATAGTCCTTAAATGTCCTGATAAATATTTACCCAACTTGGCCTTGTGGGCTTTATGACAGTATCCAAACACAAAATACAATGAGAAATCTGTTAATCTGTTTTTTTTTTTTTTTTTTTTTTTTTTTTTCTCTTAGTACTACTGCTTGCCAGTGAGATACTCTTATCCATAATTTACAAATGAGGAACGGTCCCCAAAAGCACAGCTACACTACACTCCATGCAGCCCCATGCCTCACCAAATTGTGTGCCAGGTGGCATGGCAGGTCCCATGGCTGTGTGATTGTGTCAGGGTAACACTGCATGGGGCTAGTTAGCTGTGAGCATGCAGAACTGAAAGCAGAGAAAAAGTGACTTCTGAAACAACAGCAGAGAGGAAATGGAGTTCTAAGTTGAGAATGGTTAGGCTGCTGACATACAAGGGGGAGGTATCTGTTGAAGTGCTTCAGGGTGGGTACCTTCTGGCCTTGTCCTTGGTATATGTCATAAGTTGTGTCAGCACTGAGCTACTGCTGCAGTTGCCTGGCTCAGGCTGTCAAGGAAACCTCAGCCCCACACTGCTGGCTGCTCTGCACTCCTCCTGGGGTGTTTTCTTTGTGTCCTGAAATTTCATCCTCAGAGTGATTGGATTATACAGTCTGTGCTTCTGTGCTGACATGCAGATATATACATGCTCTTTCATAATCATGTATTTTTTTAAACACATTAAAGAGACAGTGCTCTTTTACATGACGCTGCAATGTCTCTCCACTGCTCTTCCACACAGCAGCATTGGTTAAATTTATAATCTTACTGTGTTATAACCCAAGACCTTGAAGTACAGGAACAGTAACTTCATTAAACTGTTGCCATAGCAGGCTGCTATATTTACTGGACGTGCCGTTCAATGATATTATTACTATGTTATTTCCTGCAAATGTCTCAGCAAACCTCTCTGAGATGAGCTGTCTCTGACAGAAGGATCTTTAAACTTCAGGGCCAAATACATCAGTTAGAATCAGGGTTAGCAACAGAGGAGAGAGCAGGGAAACCTTCTGTTGCTTAAGTGTAAACTTTGTAGATTTGTACATGCACCCCTGAGACAGCAGTAGCTGCAGATTTACAGTGAAAGACAAAAACATGCGCATTCATTTAAAATCTCTTTGCCAGAGAACAACAGTTGGAGATAAGTGTATTTTTCTGGAAGCTAAATTTCTTGGTAGTTTACGTGGTCTTCCCTGCTGTAGGTTCTTGTGTGTGTAGTCACGCCTGTGGTTTTGACTGTTGCACATTTACCCACGATTGCAGTCAAGCTCAGCAGTGCTGTTGGTGTGTGCTGATAATTTTTTTGTTTGTTTTCTTGGTGAACTGGTTATTGGGTTGCTGACCATGGCATTCAAGTCAGCTCAGCTCTGCTAAGAGTTGTGTAATGTCCTACAAATCAGAAATCGTGCTGAGAACTCTATGGAGACGAATTCATACCCACGTGGTTGCCTCGTGTGGTTTCATCCATGGGTGTTCACGTAAATACCAGGCTGAGTTTACCTTGAGGGTAAGCACGTAGAGCTGCAAAGCTTGACTAACCAGGTGTGATAACTCGGAGGAGAATGAAAGCTCTTCAGAAAATGATGGATTAATATTCAGATCCCTGTCTCTCTCTCTGTTTAAAGTCCTGCAATATCATTAGTAAGTAATAAAATTTTTACATGCAGCCTTCAGCTTCACAACAAACAACAAATATCATTACGTAACCCCCATGGAATAGAGTGATATAGATCGGATACCTGCACCTTAGCAATATATTTCTTTCAATTTCCAGTGTTTTTATGTGATCCTATTGTAAAGGGGCTGACTGTATCTAAACCTAAACTCCAATGCAGCAGTTGTACTACTGTGCCATTGTCATTGTCAGGGTTAGTAAACATATTTTAAATGTAAGCTGTGGAAATCGTTTTCCTTTAGCATTCCACCATTTGGACACAAGCTGAAGCTATATAGCAATGGAGATCCCCCTCCTGTTAAAATTATTTCCCAACTCACCAGGTAATTTTGTTGCTGCCAGGAAATTAGGGAAGTTGATAAGCAGATTTGGAAATGGGAAGCTTGGCTGGAGAATAGCTTCAGAGTAGCTGAGGCTGTATTTTACAAGTGCTTCTTGAATGCTTTGTCTGCAGAAGTTAGCCTGTGTTTTGTAATGAGGAGTTCTATAAAATGACATCTAGACAGCTGTGTTCATTACCTTATTGTGAAGCACAGCAGGTTTAAGCATGCTTTATCTATGAATTTCACCTTGGTTTTTACTGTGGATTCATTACTGAAATTTGCATAGAGAAGTATGTAATGCTTTAAGGAAAATATCACGCCATAGGTTCATTTAAAATGCCACAGTAGTGGCTTTAAAGCAACATGTCAAGAAGAAATAGCAATTAAAAAAAAAATCAAGAAAAAGTATTCTGGTTGAACTGTTACCGGATTAAGATAAGATTATCCTTGATTAGCTTCTCAGTCTGCCTCAAAGACAAGTTTTCTAAATACAAATTACTCACTGAAAATTTCTTTGAGATTATTTTTCTTCCTGTATTTTTTTTTTATCCTGATAGAATGCACACTTTCAGTCTCTAACCATGAATTCTTATTTTTTTACTTCATTATATTTAAGATCCCTTCAT